TTCGGGAAGGTTTCTCCGTACTAGGAAGTTCGTATCGGAAGTCCATATCGGGAAGTCCTTGGCTCAGGAGATAACAATCGCCGCCAGCTCGGTGTCCTATTACGTTACCATAGTACTTGATTTCATAAGTTTTAAATCTTTAATACTGCTTCCAATACCTCGAATTCCAGGAATTACCTTATATAAAAATTATTCCCTCTAACTAATATCCGAATATCTTAACGTTTATATATATTTTCGGGCCTAAATATAGTCGGATATTATATAGAGGGATAGTTACTATAAAGGTTAGTAAGGATTAAACCTTACAGTAAATAAGATTCTAGTAGATAAAATTTGGATAAATAAGACTAACAGACAGGACCTTCCAATAGGTAAAACTTTATTGGCAAAATATTTCAGTAAATAATAGGGGTGGGCAATTCTTCAACGGATAAAGTCTTAATAAGATTTTAGGAGATAGGACATTAGCAAGTAAAATCACTTTCAGTAAATAATACGGGCGGCCCGCAATTTTAATAAGATAAAACGGCAGAATACCCAAGGGTAAATATAGGGATGCAGCCTGTGACGGTCTACAAAGGCGCTTAGTATAAGACAAGTTTGTTTCTGACTCGTAGTCAAAGAATTTTCCCATGGGGAAGAAAGGCTATCTAGGAGGGAGGATCTAGAGCCTCTATATACTGCCCGATGCTTCGCCTCAGGCAGGAATGCCTACCGGAGGGTCCCTCGATCCTATACTAACTAACCAGAACGTTCCTCCGCACCGGGAAGTTCCCTGATTTCAGGAGGTCACAGTGTACTATATACGTCAGGTCCCTGACATAAACCTTTATTTGTATTTATTTATAAATAATAATAAGATAGGTATCCAGATTTTATAGTGATAGAAGGGATCTGACAATGATAGTATGGCCGTTTGTGTGACGAACTGACCAAGAACCACTATATAGAGTGATGCGGGTACCAAGTCGTTGACTTGGTATTCTGGTCTTTTTAGTAGCTCAGTCGGTAACGACCTACTAAATCGGTCTTGGCGGGTAGAAGCGCACCTACCCACTGCCAAGCCCGTAACAGTTTGGGGGTAGGGATACTGTGTAGTGGCCTCAGGAATCACATCAGAATGAATTTATTAAAAAAGGTTTATTATTTTATTAATTTTAATAATCTTAAAGATATTAAGATTATATATTTATTAAATTAATATATATTATTATAATTGTTATCTTTTATTAGAGAAAAAAAAATAGAAATTTATTTGCAGCCACAGAGCAATGCCACCAGCAGAAGGCGGTGGGTTGGTCGCGCCGCCACTAATATCTGTAGAGTCCCTATGCAGGCACCTCGCAACTGAATTGATGGTGAGAGTCAATATAGAAGATGCCCTTATCTATTGCTTGGATTTCTTTAACTCTTCTTTCTCTTTCTCTTCCATAGGAATATTTCCCCCAGGGCAGCTGGAAGCGAAGTTGTTTAACCGTCTTGTAAATCGTCAAACCTTTACCTAGTAGTGGGAACGACACAAATCCAATTGATTCATCTCAAGTCTGTTTGGTTCCTGAAACTCCTATCAAATGGATAGGATGTCTTGGATCTGCAAGCAAGTTGGATTCAAGGTCAATACAATAGAGGCAATTGAGGCTACTATTACGGCACTTGTCACTACAATGAACTACATGGCCTTCCCCCATCTCATACCCAACTGGGAAGGCATTACCCAAAGAAGTGTGAAGTTACCGATTGGTTGAACGTAAAGTCGAGGAAATTTTTATTGACTTATCGGAAAATCATCAACAGCCTGAAACCGAGCACCGATACCGACATCAGCTCCGAACAAACATCAGTGTATCAAAGCATTAAACGGTCTGAAGAACCTGCTCCTTGAACTCCCTCTCGACCTTGTGACCCTTGTCGTCAGTAGCAGACTCTCCGTGCAAGTTGAGCAAGGCGCCGAGATCAAACTTGGGAGACTTGAGAAGCTTGACCTTGCGGATGTGGACCTAGAAACTGTTTAGCTGAGTCTTAAAACGACCCTGAGTAGAAACTGACATTTTGAAGGGGATAAATTCCCTGAGTAGCCTTCTCAATCTCGCGTCCAATAACCTCGGGAATCAGCTTCGTGGTCAGCTGCGCCAGGGAGCAGCTAGTCGCCTCCCGCTGGATGATCTCGGTCATCTTCTTCCGAATTGCGCGAATCTGAGACGAGCGAGCATATGTGGTCTTCTTGATCTGGTTGGGGCGTCTCTTGGTGAAAGCAATCGCAAACAGACGAAGAAGATACTCGTCAGTCGTCTTCACCGTCACGTTGGCCTCGATAAGCGACTGCCACTTTCGGACGAGGGATCGCAGCTTGTCGGTCGTAAAGTCCAGTCCGTGGAAGTTGGTCAAGCAGTTCTTTCCTTGGATCTCATCGACACGAAGCTTGACCTTGCGGAAAGCATGGTCTTCATCGTTCTGCAGGTCAGCGAGAGAGACCTCGAAAATCCGTCCCTTCAGAGAGTCGTTCGCATTCTTGAGACCACTGGTGCGGTTCACAAGAGTTTTTCCGACACTTCAAAGTTCATCGTCAGCTGTCGTTTCTTCGCCCAAGGTGTCAAAACAAAAATGCGGATATAAGCGGTAGACATACTCCCTGGTCTGGAAGGTCGAAGGAGCCTGCTTTATGTGAGCGATGACCAAATCAAGGAAGCCTATAATCCTACCTTCACAGAGTACTCATCCTTCCTGGTGAAAGGATCGACGGTTCTCTTCTTGATGCCCTTCTTGCCCTTGGACAAGCGCTTGTTCCTATCGGTAGTCAGCCACTGGCAATTCCGTTACTCTCAACGAAGGCAATCAATTGCAGTGGAGGGCGCGGCCATACTTTCCAACAGCCATATCTGCGACTTTAGCCTATCTTGCAATTGTCGGAGACAGCCAAGTATAGAACACCACGCTGGGGGCAGTCGATACTCTTGACGCTACTGGGTCGACGGGATGGGAGTTGAAAACAAAATCCCACAGAAAAAGTTCAGTTAAGCGAGGCGTCGGCCCTATCAGTGTATTATGTAATTTCTCAGCCCCCCACAAACATAGTACAAAGTCGCCGCGCCGTAAATTACAGTTCATTTCAATACATGTTACCGGGCATCCATGCCCGGGGCTGTTCCCTCAACAGCTGGAACCCTTCTGTAATAATTACTCAACAATCAATACGCACGCCACCACTTCTCACCTTTTGGGCAATGTACCTACGGAGTATGTATATCTACTCCCTATACCCGGCAGTCTTAAAGCACTCTGTTCTAGAGATAAGGTAACCTCGAATCTTCTTTTCTTACCTATGATCTCCCTAGCTATTGAATTATCATGATCTGGTCACTCGTAGGTACATATATCATACGATAAACGTTATGTAGGAACCGTTCTGTCTTGTGCCTCAAATTTTAGAGAATGAATTTTGGGAGGTGTATAATGTGTAGTTAGAGTTGCAAAGTTTTGAAAATTATTGACTAGAGGACCTTTACTGGTTACGCAGTTAAGACAGTGGTGGAGACTCTGACCTAAAAGTACACATGCAGAAAGATACCTACTGTACTCCGTATTAAGCAGAAGGATAAGAGATACTTATAGTCTAGTTATAGAGTGACTAGATGTAGACCGGCAGTGGCAACCCGGTAAATGTAGATTATTACTTCTGTGGTTTACACGTTGTACGGACTTTTATAGGGAGTGATATGTGGTGGAGTGCTCGAATACTCCGTCGATAACCAGATCAGAGTAGGCACTTGGATTCTACGATTCCTAGTCAGCAGTTAACTAATAGAAAAGCGACAGTCAGCAGTACATTGCCACTCAAAGCGGATTGGATTTTCCATTCCCGTGATTACTACATACATGCCTATGACCCGAGCCTACCTACCTACGTACTGACTACTGACAGCATAATTTTCGGGTAACAGTAATGAGATGTAGTCCCATTTTGTAATAGGAGAGATTTCTATCTACTCCGGAGTAGAAAATAGGAACTAAATACAGGTACGAAGTATGGGGTACCTAGGCAGGTGCACTTTTCCTCTTTGGTTTGTTTATCGATAAGGGTCAGTGTACAAAGTATGGAACTAGTTAGTTAACGTTGAAGTTACTGATGACTACTCCGTACAGCCCCGTTGGTAATGGAAATGATGTAATCCGAGTTCAGTCCAAGGGTAGGTAGGAATTGGAGACACGGTACCTACCTACTCTGGTTGTTCCATACAACCACCGCTACCTGGTACTTTTACATACATTCCATGTCTCTTGAGCCCTTCACTAACCAATACACTCAGCTTCAGTCAATGAAACTGGAACTTCCATAATTTGCCTTCCTACCGTGGAGGCGCATGGTCCTCAAACCTCCACTAACTACACATTCCGCCATTCGCAGATGCCTCAGCATATTTAAATCTACCCTTCTCATCCTTATCGTCGGTTCTTAACGCGCAAACTTTCCACGATGGTAAGTTCATGGCCTCTGTTTGAATACTGACTGGGGTAGTTGCTATCCTTTCAACGTGTCACTAACGTCATCTCGTTAATAGGGCAAGCGGAAGAAATCGAGCAGACAACCACAGGGGCCGAAGAAGGTGACTCTACCAACCTCCTCTTTATAACTGGTTCTGACAACTACCTGAAAAAAAGAGAGAGTCTCTCCCGACGACATTTGCATGTTTATTTTGCAATCATGAAAATTCTGTTATCATTAAACTGGACAAGAAGCTGGGACTAGGGAATCTGTCCTGCAAAGTTTGCGGGCAGAGATTTCAAACAGGTATCAATTGTATGTGTCCGTCAAAATTTCATACCCTCCTTATCTGGACCTGACATTTGCTCTAGACCTTTCTGCTGCCGTTGATGTGTACTCTGACTGGGTCGATGCATGCGATGCGGTGGCTAAAGATGCTGCCCACAAATACGAACCAAATACTCCAAATATGCATCCTCATGGGCGTGATATATCTTCCGGTGAACAAGATGTCGGAGATAGTGCTGCCCGGGTGGATACACACAATGATGATTATTGAATTTAGTCCTGCAGATTTTAGTGGGCAACTACAATTTCCTACTAGCTACTAATATAATACCTTTCTCCTTCCCCTCTTCAGTCTGTGTTTATGCTAAATTAATAGTCATTGGCAACAGACCGTAGGCGTTTCAATATAGAAAGAGACCCAGGCATGGTCAGAAAGCTCGAGAGCTACTTATACCTTTTTTTTTCAATGTTTATTTGATCGACATTTCACACCCTAGAGCTGTGAGTTGTGAGCAACAGACGCCGTTAATCTACACGGATAGGCGTAGTTCCACGCGCAATGAGACATCCTCAACTGGATCAACTACGCGCACGCAATCTTATAAGGTATAGTATCGGTCACCAAAATCACCAAGACCCGGAATGATGTACCTGCAATATAGATTAATATTTTGTCACTTTCACTCTGTAATAGAGATTGGCACTTACTTTTTGTCATCTAAGCCTTGATCAATAAACGCAGTGACAACTCTGAGTTTGGGAAAGCGTTCAGCAAAATCTGCAACCCCCGAAGGACTTGCGATGAGGTTCAGGAATAAAATGCGATCCTCGGGTACACCCTTCGCCTTCAAAATCTCAACAGCAAGGGTAGCGGAGCCTCCTGCACAAGCTTAGGTTAACAACACCCACTAGGCGGTTGGTGTCTCACACTTACCAGTTGCAAACATGGGATCAAGCAGCAAAACCCAGCGGCTGGATATATCGGTAGGAAGCTTCTCATAGAATAATTTTGGTTTGCATGTCTCTTCGTCTCTCTGTATCAATATTTTCCCAATGCGAACCGATCGGCAACAATCCCTCAGCCCCTGCTCCATCGCCTCACCTGCCCTCATAATTGACACGCCGCATATTTTGCCTTCAAATCTAACACCGAGATAGGCTCGACCTACAGGAGTCGTGACTGATTGCTCCACAACTGGAAGGTGGTTTAGGCCCTCTTCAACCAAGAGACGAATAATTCTGTTTGAATAGAATATAAAATCAGCACGACCGGTTCTCTTGTCTCTGATCATACTATTAAAGAGTTAGCCGTGCTCCTAAGCCCGTATGTCCATCTGAACGCTATGTCCGTTTCTTACGTCAAGAGGGCAATCAGCTGGGGCGTTTGAGGTAAGACATGGACATTGTCATATGGTATATCTTTAGATACCGTAGCTGTTGGCTTTTCGCCTTCTGGCCAGTATGTTGGGCCGACCCCTTGCGCGGGAGAAGGTATGGATTCCGTTACTTCGCTAGTCATGACTGCCAGCCGATTCTTTCAGTGAGATTCCACCAAGGTTCCGCCGCGAAAGTGAAAAAGAAACCAGAAGCAATGCGGGACGATGTAGCACTATAGGTAGGCCCGAAAAGGGATTTTGAAGTCCGAGGACCGGAAAAAAGAGGAGAAGAATCGGGGTGTGCCGATATATGCATGCACTGCAAATAGCTAGGTACATAACGTACCAGGTGCCTTACCTAATTGTAACGGTTTTATTACCTGGGGTTTTATCGGGCGCACTGCTTCCATGTTTATACAGTAGGTATTATTCCAGTTACGTACTGTAATGTACATAAATTGATACCTTAGGCAGGTCGGTAGGTAGGTACAGTATACCGGCATGTATGTACATGCTCCGTACATATCCATCCATACCTACATACCTACCTGGTACTTATACAGTACAGATGACGGGAATAGGCATATGAAATATGGGCTCCTAGCTAGCTTTAATATGGTGATGTTCTCTCTATATCAGACGTTACATGTAAATGTGATAGAACCTCGTAGTCCCACTGTGTTTACAGAACGTTAACATTACCATTGGTAAGTAAGAAACCCTTCAGTGTAACTATTCCTAGCTAACGTATCCGGTAAGCGAGCGCCGCAGCTCCGTATCCCATACTAATTCACCTTTTTTTGAGCTCTAACATCCCAACTAAACTTGGCCTAATCTACCTTATACCTGTTAATTGGCAAGTGAAGGTAGATTTAAATCTATTGTCCAAATTTTATAAGATATATACTTGTATATCTTTTGGTAATATAGATTACATTGTATTTTTGAGTAATTTACTTAAAACGGGTATTTCAAGTGCTATATTGATTTATATATAATCGTTGTTAATCTGTATAATCTAAAGGTGTATATAGAGCTATGGTTGATATCTTATTATAATTGAGCGGATGATGATAAAGATATTAGAGCTTAAAAAACGGTGAATTAGTATGGACGGAGCTGCGGCGCCCGCTTACCGGATACGTTAGTTAGTGCCGATTATTCATCTGCCCTCTCTGGTAACTTGGTATCCGCAGTCGCTACGACTTTGTTCTGTTACCTGCAACGATCACCTAGTACCTTCGGCCTACTAAGTTAGGTGAAGTCTTCGTGGATGCCCCATGGGCCCCGCTAATAGCAGCCGGCATTCATCCTGCTGCTCGTTTCGCATTCTCCAATCAAGACAATTCAATCAATGATATCAATGAATCAACTATCCAGCGAGATTACTTTCACAGTTCACGAATTAAAATTTCCCACCATATACCTATATATGCCCATGGAACCACCTAGCCTATTCAATACCAGATTAATAGGTTTCAAAACTTTGCCTGTTATTGCGTCCAAAGCATCAATCTCCTTGTCTAATCACCCAATATTATTGCACATTACAAAAACTCGAGCGTTTCGATAGGGACGGGGTTACTCGACATGCGACGTCAGACAAGGAAACCAGTGACTTACGGAAAATCGGGATTCGGCAACACTCAGGGTGACAAAAATAAGTATTCTATAATCCCAGCACCTCGCCTTACGAACAGGGTAAGGGATGATAGCAAACCCCCATCCGAATTGATGTCTTCCAATTATTCAACATTGCCGTCAGAAAATGAGTCTGGGCAATCCGAGAGCCTTGATGCTTATAAAAGAACAACCACGGCTACCTCTCATCAGTGTACACCCCACACTCACCAAGGAGAAAGTGGAGACCTCGGCGCGTCTCGGAGGAAGTGTACGAGCAGGAGGGCGAAAGTGATGCCAGCTGAGGGTGATAATCTTCACAGCAGTTCTCAAGCATCTGCAGTCGGTCACTATGCCTCCGACCTTGAAGGAAGCCCTGGCAATTCACCAGGCTTTGATAGCGATGAGGTCGTCAACACCCGGCTGCAAACCAGGAACAGACCGAATCCACTCGATAAGGGGAATTTTTGGAATCATGGCGACGCTCCGAAAGATCCCTCTTTAATTCTACCGCGTGCGCGACCAGCCCCTACAAAACGAGAGACCCCACGCAAGAGGAAGAGCCTCGCCCCATCACAAAACATCGATAGTGAAAGTTCACAAGATCCTCCACGTGCGCCCGGAAAGCATCAAAGAACAGGCTGGACAAGGAAAAGATTGGTGGATTCGTTAGGTCCTTCGGAAGATTTTACCACCGACAAGTATCCTTTCTCTGCACTTGATGATTCTCAGACGCCTTCTCACCCTGGTGCTACTTTAAGAAAGTATCACCCATCTCCGGAGCCCAGGATCAACCGTAGCGGGGCAATGTCTTTCGCCGAGCTCACTCGACAACCACCTTCTACGTCGTCCATGTTACGCGGATCCCGGGTCACTTATGCTCGCCAACGCTCATTCTTAGACGATAATCCTCTCCTGGACAGTCTCACGGGCGGCAAGTCTGTCACTTCTTCAGGGAGCCATGACCTAAGCCCATCTCGCCCGTCGGCTCTCCATACTCAGCTTCTGCATAGCGTCGACGACGATGAGAATGAAAAGGGTGATAGCAAGCCTGTTCGTAGTATTCACGAGCTTAGGCAAGCTGGAGAAAAGGCTCGTTTTTGCGAAACAGTTGAATTAATTCTGGAGGATATCGAAGGCTCGTCTAACTCGCTTTCGGAAAGATGTGATGGCTACTCCCGACTTTGTTTGAATCTCTTGGAGCCTCGGTTTGTTCGCCAATTTTGTGAATGTGGCTTCGAAGAGCGCATAGTGGAATCAACAACTGAAGGCCTTGATATGATCCCGGCCTCGCTTGCCCTCTGCGCATACAGTCTGATCTTCAACAGTGGATCCTTTTCCTTCGTCCTCTCGGGTCGCTTTTGGTGGAAGATCATGCAAATTGCTCCTCAACTCCTTGTCTTTGACGTGAGCTTCACGTGTCTAGTAGATCAACAGTCTACTACTAGCACTGCCAAACCTGTGCGTCATTCTCTCAGAAAGAATTTGCAGCAGATTCTCTCCGCAGTGTGTGGGGACCAGTCATCAAATACATCGCCGCGTTTCTTGGCGCTATATGTCATCAACACGTTTCTCCATAACCTTCGGCAAAAGGTTCGCAGTGTTGAGCCTATTTCCACGTCATTGTTGGACCAATTGGTCGGGTTACTTATGACAAACAAGCCTGGAAAACAAAGTGCCACCCAGTTCGAATTGTTTTCCTCGGTATTGTCAATATTGGACTCTTCCACAGTCTTATCATCCGGCCCTTGGAGTCATAGTCAATGCAATTCCTTTGGCTTACTTTCTCGGTTATGCTGGCTCTTTTATCCGAATCAGCTCGATCAGAACCGGAGAGTCTTGGGCCTCTACATCCGGGTAATTATGAACATTACTAACACCAACTCGTCGCTTTGTAAGGCACTCGCTACTCCCGAACTAGTCGCTGGGCTTGTCGGAATCGTCGCCGAGGAATTTTGCCATGTGCCTGATGATTCTCCCGCTAAAGAAAACAGCTCCTTGGACATTGTAATACTAGCACTCGGTGCGCTCACCAACGTGGCGGAAAAGAGCCAATCTTCCAGGGCCTTGTTTCTAATGTCGGCACGTAACTCTACTTCTTTCTTCCAGCTGCTTTTGCAGCAATTTTCCCACGGCATCAATTCCATTGGAAAGGTAAGACGACTTCCTATATTTACCAGGTGTACCTAATCTTACTAATTCCAGGCACATTCCGTCTCTGAGGTACACAAAAATGTTGCTATCGGATATCTATCAATCCTTTTGGCTACACTCTGCCTGAATGAGGAAATTCTTTCTCAGGCGGAGACAATGCTGGACAAGGGCCTTGCTCTTATATTGTCAACTGCTGAGGAGTTCTTGCAATATCATCAAAAGGTAGAGCAGGACTCTTATCCTATGGAGTCTCGGGACGACGGAGGCGCTGGGCTCAGCACGAGGCTCGAACATATAATATCTAGTTTAAGACAACATGACGCCTACCATCAGTAGTGGGCTTCCTGTTCCTAATCATCCTGATACATGTCCTGTACTATCTTTGGAGGTTAAAGTTCAACTCAGAGTCATGATGAGAATAGCCAACATAGTAGATCAAATGAATTAATGAAGTGAACGGAAAAATAAAGAATGAGTAGGTGAAATAAGACATAAAAATAGTAATACAATGACCTTGCTGTATATAGTATGCTTCTGCAGATGCCTTGTTCATAGGTAGTGTACACAAGATTGCTCAAGAGATGTCAAACAATATATATTAAGTGAAAACGTGTCTATCTGTCTACCTCGATACTTTCCCCATACAGGTAGCTTAATTTCCCATTATTGTGGATTCCACAATGACAAGAATCGTGTAATTATGGTAGCAAGCAACAGGGCATTCATTATGTTTCAGCAGCGAATTAATATTTTTTGGGGGAATACATGTGGTGTTCTCCGCGGTTGGCGCTGATCGGGAAACCCCGTTTGACCTGTTTGCCACATGAAAGCTAGTAGTAGGTAATACGTAGTGCCTCAGACATCCAGCCAGACATTTTGCCACACCCGTCCGGACCCCAGACTCGCCCATCACCGAACACTGAACATTGTCCCTCCAAAACCAATTGGACCAGGCGCCCTTGATTAATTGATTTGGACCGACCTACGATAATATCTGATCTGAGTGTATATTCACTTGGACATACAGTCTCATCACCCCTTTCGCCGCGGCTCTACGCAGCAAGGAGATCCAACAAACTCCAGGGCTGTGCAATAGTCTCTTTGCTGGATTTGCCTGCTTCAATAAGAGCCATTATAATGCCAGCAGCGCCAAAGCAGCGAAAGATAGCTATTGTTGGCAGTCGATCTGTTGGTAAGGACGCAACGAATACCCCACCATATTGACTCGATCTAACTCCTGGTATACAGGGAAATCATCCCTCACAGTGCGATTTGTTGAACACCATTTTGTAGAGAGCTATTACCCGACCATCGAGAACACGTTCAGCCGCATCATCAAATTCAACGGCCAGGATTTTGCAACGGAGATAGTTGACACAGCTGGTCAAGTAAGAACAGTGGCTGTGGGAGCCCATACCCACCAAAGCTAATACGATGATAGGATGAGTATAGCATTCTGAATTCTAAACATTTTATTGGAATCCATGGATACATCATTGTGTACTCGGTGGCCTCCCGACAATCCTTCGACATGGTCAGAGTCATTCGAGATAAGATACTAAACCATCTTGTGAGTAACCGTTACCTTTCGCACCCTCCCCCATTTTTCTGATTCATTGTTTTACTTTTTACATTTCAATCGCTGATATGATTATAGGGAGCAGACTATGTGCCTCTTGTCGTCGTGGGAAATAAAAGCGACCTCAAAGATGAGCAACGCCAGGTATCCCTAGACGAAGGCCGGCATCTGGTAGATGAGCTCCACTGTGCGTTCACCGAGGCTAGCGCTCGCCTTGGCTACAACGTCGACAGGGCCTTTGACTTAATGATTGGGGAAATTGAGAAATCGCAAAACCCGTCCCAGCCAACGGGAGGAAACAAGTGCAGTGTAATGTGACATTTGGGGCGTGTTCGAACCGAATAATAATAAGAACCAAGGCACTTGTAGACTCTGGTGTGTTGCTAAATTCAATAACTAGGTCTTTCCTGTCGAGATATTGGATGTCATTCCGTTTGTCCTCTTACAGTTCCGCTTGCCTGTCATTTAAATGCCGAAAAAAAGACGTTTAATCCTCAGCTAGTTCACCGCTAATCAGCATAGCTACTTGGAGGGTCGCCGGCAGTCGCTCGTGACCCGAATATGGGTGACAGTGAATCCATTACCAGCGATAGGAAGACACTTGCCCAGTCAGGTCACTATTCGGGGCCCCGTAAGGAAGGCTGGATTTGTCACCGGTCGGGTCTGAACCTGCCGGCGTGGTATTGAGTGTGTATGGAATCAAAATACAATATGAGTTATGTGCACCTGATCTTTGCCCACGAAACATACCCATCTTCCCCTCAGTTGAGACAGTAGCTGTAGAACGTCCTGAGTATGTACTATACTTTGTAGGCTGGCTAGTGGGCTTAACTAGTTCAATAATAGCTAACTAGTTCACTAGTTAGTTAACTATCCGCCGTAGAGGCTGACTAAGTTGAGAGCCCCTCCCGCGGGCTACTTCCACGCATTATTGCTTGTGCCCTAAGGTTTGAATGCCACCTAAGGTTTTACCCCTCACATCGGTTCTGTCTTCGATAACAAAGATTCTTCTCGGTTTCTAGCAGCCTTCCTGTTTTTGAAATACGGTCTGTCTTCCTCGGCCTGGGACGCGAACTACCTTTGAAAATGTTGGACCTTGCCGATTTTGTCAGTGACCGCGGTGGAGACCTGAAGAAAATCAAGGAAAGTCAGCGAAAACGGTTTGCCTCGGAAGATGTAGTCGATGAGGTTGTCGCTTTGTACGAGGAAGCTCGTCGAGGTATGATGTTAGCATGCAGTTTGTCTGCTCGATGTACGGAATTGACTAACATGGTTCTTACCGCAGCACGCTACGAAGTGAACAAAATAGGTTCCCAACTGAACGCGCTCCTTAAGGATATTGGAAAGAAGAAGAAGGTCAGTGGTGCTATGCCGGTTCTTGAGTATACCGAGCTAAACGTCATATGTGATACAGAACAAGGAAGACGCAGGTGACTTGATTGAGCAAAAGGCCGCCCTGGAGAAACATAAAAAGGAAGCCGAAGACCTCGCTCTTCAAAAGGAAACCCAAAGGGATATTAAAGTTCGGACAATTGGAAACTATGTTCATGAATCGGTTCCCGTGAGCAACAATGAGGTATGCCTTCCAACAGTTTTCCAAAATGCACCGTACTCATACTATGAAAACCAGGATGACAATGCTATCATAAGATCCTGGGCACCCGAAGCCTCTGCCACCGAAAAATGCAACAGCCTGTCTCATCATGAGGTTCTCACCCGCCTTGACGGCTACGACCCTGAGAGGGGAGTGAAGATTGTTGGCCACCGTGGGTATTGCCTTACGGGCTACGGTCTTTTCTTGAACCTTGCGTTGATCAATTACGGTCTGGAGTTCCTATGGGGCAAGGGATACAAACCAAACCAGCCTCCTCAGTTTATGCTCCGAGAAATGATGGCGAAAACGGCGCAGCTCGAGCAATTCGACGAAGAACTGTACAAGGTCACGGAAAGTGAAGACAAATCCACGGATAAGTACCTGATCGCTACCTCTGAACAGCCATTGTCAGCACTGCATGACGGAGAATGGCTCCAGGACAAGGACCTTCCTATCAAGTAAGTGGCTTCGCATGCAAATACTGGGTGGCTTCTGGACTGACTTAGGAGGACTTAGATACGCTGGGTATAGCACTTGTTACCGGAAAGAAGCCGGGGCACACGGTAAGGACGCTTGGGGTATCTTTCGTGTTCATCAGTTTGAAAAGGTGAGGGCATCATGAACGTAGGCTCGATTGTTCATCCTTACTCATCTCTGCGCAGATCGAGCAATTCGTCATTACCAAACCCGAGAACTCCTGGGAAGCCTTTGATGAGATGATGAACACCTCGGAGGAATTTTACCGCTCTCTTGGACTTCCGTATCAGGTTGTCTCCATCGTTTCCGGGGCATTGAACAATGCCGCGTCCAAAAAATATGATCTTGAGGCGTGGTTTCCGTTCCAAGAGGAGTACAAGGAACTGGTTTCCTGTTCAAACTGCACCGATTACCAGTCGCGTGCATTGGAAATTCGCTACGGTATCAAGAAGGCCACAGATTTGAAGAAGTCCTATGTCCATGCTCTAAATGCTACGCTTTGTGCAACCGAGCGGACGCTTTGTTGCATTTTGGAAAATTACCAAACAGAAGATGTATGTGCTGTGTCCCTTTTCCCTCACTCCTTTACTAATGCAAAGTTTAATAGGGTTTCATTGTGCCCGAGCCTCTGAGAAAATACATCCCGGGCGCCCCTGAATTCCTCCCCTATACTAAGGAGCTTCCCAAGGGCACTACATCCCAGAAGTCAAAAGGTAAGCAGGGCTCGAAAGCTGCAGATGGCGCCGAGGAGACCGCAAAGAAGATCCAGAACTTGCAGGTATGAATATAGCTATTACCAGTAGGCAGCCTTATCGATCGATCTGCGTGGTTATGAACATTTACTGGCGTTGAGGCTCGCTCCTATCTCATTTATCATTCATAGACTCCAAGTTTGTCTGACATTGCTCACGCACACATGCATCCTAATAGTAGTAACTGATCGACCCTCGGAGCGAAAAGGCCGAGGACGAGAGACAAGACGATAAGATCATAAGCCGGTATACAGAGCATGGTCCACCAGTCACTTTGGTGGGGTCGAAGTGCGTGTATATAATAAGTCAATTCGACTAGCATGGAGGGGCCCACCTGTGAGGACCGGAAGAGAGGGAAAAAAAAAAAAAAAAAAACACCGAGTGTTCTGCCCCGCCATGGTGGCACCACGGTCAATACCCACCGCCTTCCGGTTCTGCTCGTACGCCCCTCCATGTCCTATGACTATGAGTCAAAGAAGCGGCAGAAAGGACTGACTTCTAGAGGTCCGGTCCCGGAGCTGCTAAAAATTACCTCGCCGTTCTCTTCTCTTCAGACATAAAACAATACCTACCCCCTAGGTACTCCCCACCCTTTCTTCCCGCTCTCAGTTCTTTCGCCGGCTCTATCTACCTGAGTTTGTTATTTGCCTCGTCCGGTCCATTCAACCGTTATGGCATCGTTTCCCAGAGACATCAATGCAAGCCCAGAGCTTTCTGGCTCCCCATCCGCGTCGTTCCAGTCACAATCGCCAAGTCATGGAGGCTCCGCCTTCACGAATCGAATAATCCCCCTGCCCAATGCAAAGCACTTGAAACCGTTTGCAACCGAAGACATCAAGGTTCTTCTTTTGGAAAATGTGAACCAAACTGGCCGAGAGATTCTTACAAAGCAAGGCTATCAAGTGGAATTTCTGAAGTCTTCCTTACCCGAAGACCAGCTTATAGAGAAGATTCGGTTTGTTTGACACACCAATATTCAATTCATTCTAATAGGCTAATAACCCTGCCTCACCCAAAGGGACGTGCATGTCATTGGTATCCGCTCGAAAACAAAACTTACGGCTCGCGTGCTGAAAGAAGCTCGGAACCTCATAGTGGTGGGCTGCTTCTGTATTGGAACCAATCAAGTCGATCTCCAATATGCGGCAGACCACGGCATTGCAGTCTTCAACTCTCCGTTCAGTAACTCACGAAGTGTTGCCGAGCTGGTCATTGCCGAAATCATTACTCTTGCTCGTCAGCTTGGCGACCGCTCCAATGAAATGCACAATGGCACCTGGAACAAAGTCAGCAATAAATGCTGGGAGATTCGCGGGAAAACTTTGGGTACGTTCGCAGCTGTAGCGGTTTCGGTGCTGTATCTTTGCTAACAGATGCCACAGGAATTATCGGGTATGGGCACATTGGTGCTCAGCTATCGGTCCTTGCAGAAGCCATGGGCATGTCTGTTCTTTTCTACGACGTGGTAAACTTGATGGCCCTAGGAACTGCCTGCCAAGTGCCTACCTTGGAGAGCTTGCTCTCGCAATCGGACTTTGTCACATGCCATGTGCCCGAGCTCGCAGAGACGAAAAACATGATCGGTCAACCTCAATTTGAGCAAATGAAACCAGGCAGCTACCTGATAAACGCTAGCCGTGGAAGTGTCGTCGATATCCCGGCATTAATCCAAACAATGCGTTCTGGCCGTGTCGCTGGTGCTGCACTTGATGTTTATCCAAACGAACCTGCCGGTAACGGTGACTATTTCAACAATGATCTCAACACTTGGGGGGCTGATCTCCGCGGTCTCAAGAACGTGATTCTTACCCCTCATATTGGGGGTAGTACCGAGGAAGCGCAGCGTGCCATTGGTGTCGAGGTGGCGGATGCCTTGGTGAGATACGTTAACGAAGGCACAACGTTGGGTGCTGTCAATCTTCCCGAGGTCGCTCTTCGTTCTTTGACCTTGGACGAGCCGAACCATGCTCGGGTAATCTCACTTCCTGCGAGTTTGTTTCCTTTTTAAAACAGCTGCTAATATCGCGAAACAGGTTGTTTATATTCACCAGAATATTCCCGGTGTCCTACGAAAAGGTGGGTCAATTCAATATACTGTGAGACTTTAGCTAATCCCTGGGCCGTAGTAAACGAGGTCCTCGGTGACCATAACGTCGACAAACAAATGACGGATAGTCGCGGTGATGTATGCCAACTACCACTTTGTAGCTCAGCTACGTTCGGAGCTAACAAGACTAGGTCGCCTATCTAATGGCTGACATCAGCAATGTCGATAACACAACCATCAAAGATCTCTACGAAAGGCTAGAGAGCCTCTCCTGTATGATACATGACTTGCACGCCTCTGTTTGGTGCATATGCTGACCTCTCCTAGCGCGCATTATGACTCGGATCTTGTATTAGAATGGCGCTCCTTTTCACGAAAATAAATTAAAGAGAAAGAAAGGAGCATAAGAAGATATGAAGTAACCATGACCCGCCGATATTGGCGCGCTGGTGGAAATTTCTCAACGACATCGGTCTACCGTCCAGCGCGATGGGGCGATTAACTTGGATCTTTGGATATGGAAGCTCGGATGGTGCTAATTGATCGGTAGGAAATGTAGGCAATCTTGGGGCAATGTTCAACACTTTGATGTCCTCGATATATTTTCAAAAGCAGTTCAGTAAGGCGTTTTGCTAAATCTATACCATGTGCAACACATCCTTAAATCCTTCGTAATATAGGAAACTTTGATAGGAAATCTTGATATTTTCTATATCCGCTTCACCTTCGGTATGCTGGTCTATCAGATGTATGGAATCCTTCCCTGAACGCTGGGCTTCGGCTTCGCCTTCTCGGGGGATTGTTTTCCCTCGGATAATCTCGTCGGTTTATTGGACGTGACATTTCATGCCTGCTATTGCGTCGATCCCAATCTCGATCTAGGTTGCTATTTGAGGTAGTACCCTCGCCCTCACGATTACGACTGTCGAAGCCACCTGGGTAGCTGGGGACATAGGAGTCTAGATTCCCGTCTGACCGGCCCACAAATCGTCCCGGATGAATAGTGCTATCACGTCCTGGTCTACTTGAATGAACTGCAGCCCATGGTTGGTGAGTAGACGTCGGAGGCTTAGGCGGGAGACCACTGTCTCTTTGCCAGGGCGGAACCACCTCGGTGCCCTGCCTTGCTCGTGCTGTGTGGGCTTCAGTATTTCGATGGTCGAGAGACCGCCTCGAATGGCCGCCCTGGTTTCCGTAGTTTGGTTTGCCCACGCGTGCAGCGCCAGGAATGCGGCTGTTTTTGGTTTCCATTGCAGGTCTGGTTCCGGAATTTGTTGCCCAGCCTCCGTTTTGCCCTATGCCCACTGATCCGCCCGCGGGGGCTGGGGGCATAGCCGCTCGTTGTCCACGAAACCTTCTTCTATCCAATTCATGTGAATCTTCAAAATGGGGTATCTCGCCCGGGCGAGCTGGGAGGGGTGGAGTGAAAAAGTATGGATGCTCCAGTGCATCGATAGCGGTTATCCTTTTCCGCCAGTCCAATTTGAGGAGCTCACCAAGCAGTGAAATAGCAGCGGGGCTTTGGCTGTAACATTGTTAGTCACTCTCCCACGACATGCTCGCGACAACATTGCTCTTTCGAGATTCACGTTGGGGGATTCGGCCATACTCTCTGAAGACTTCGTGCAAATTCCCAGGTTTGTGACCAAAGGTTCTGACGCCCTCGCAACCGGGCAAAGAGCTCCAGCCAGGCATGCTCTCCTCTGTGGGCGCGCCCACTAGACTGAATATAAGTTGAGCTTGATTCAAGTCGCTACTACCGGCAAGGATAGGCTTTCCCTTGAACATTTCCCCAAAAACACACCTATCACTGTCAATAACAGACTGTACGACGGGCAGGCGAGAACACTCACCCGACACCCCACATGTCTATAGCCGTGGTGTACCGTCTCAGTTGTAGAAGCAATTCTGGTGGGCGATACCATCGAGTCACAACTAATGAGGTGTAATCCCTCTTGGCCTCCCCTCCACCCTTCCCAGGCTGAGGTGGGTCCTCATCGTATGGTCGGGCCAGTCCAAAGTCTGCAATTTGAAGTATGCCTTTGTTGTTGATGAGCAGATTGGCAGCTGCGGATATGTTAATACCCAGCATCACAGTTCGGGGGAAAAACCAAACATTACCTTTCATGTCACGATGCAAGATACGATTCTATGAAAATGTTAGAAGCAACGCCTCCAGGTAGGGAAAACAAACAAAGCAATACCCCATGCAAATATTTAAGGCCTTCAAGCAATTGTAGCATATAGCACTTTATTTGCGGCTGAGTAAAACTGACTGCCGGGTTCTCCAGTAGTCCCGAAAGATCATGCTCCATATAGGGCGTTACCATGTACATGCTCGGCTTCTTTCGCCCCTCTCCTAAGCAGAGGTAAGATTCCAATATAAAACGAGATAGATAAGGGGGTTTCACCTTTACTTCGCTCCACAGCCATCTCCCTTAACTGCAGGATATTATTATGGGCGAGCATTTTAAGAAGCTTGATTTCACGCAGAGCAGTGATCGGAAACTTTTGTACAGACATTAGCAACAGAAAACGCGAGCTTGGTTGCTACCTACTCCATCCTTTTCATTGTGCATGAGAATCTTTTTGAGGGCAACAGTGGAGCCGTCCCTTTTTGATCGTGCTTTATAAACTTCTCTGCGGGAAGTCAGCAAGAGAAGCTTCTGATATATGCATCGATACATACCCAAAAGTACCCTCCCCAAGCTTTCCTAGGAACTCGAAATCACGAATGTTGGTGCATCCTCGGAATCTGTTATTCCCGCTGCCATCTCTTTCCAGGGATGATGCCACCATGATCTATAAGTGGCCTGGGGTTGATGGTCACCAGAATTTAGAGAAGGACGAGGTCAAAGGAGGTGGTTCAAAGAGGGCAGCCTTGGGACAGGCCAATAATTGGCGATTCGCCGTTGATTGGATTTTGCGCCAACTGCGGTTCTTCGATCTTGAGCGTTCAAGCTGATTATGGGTATACGTGTTCGTCGCTGTTTTTATTTAAGACCAACCACCTGCTTGAACAATGTCTTTTGGGTTAGTTGGGTAAATTAACCCATGACCCAAGGGGAGAAAGAGCTACCGGGTTTGTATGTAGCTAATGATGTCAGAGGACGTCTCGTTCTAGACGGTGACAATCGCTCGGTCGGAGAGAACGGAAAGGTGAGGATGCGTAAGAGTCATAATAGTTCAAACTAACGATCAGAGTTGCAGTGTTCCGTCTCTGGGCCTTAATTAGCCCATTGTTGCGAACCCTCAAGGTGGTTCGATTTTGGCCGGTGAATCAACCGGCGGCAAAGACCAGGCGGATCACATGACTGTCATGCTTTATGGCTGGGCGGGCGTTTCCGTTGATGTTCGTCGGGAGGAGTCTTGCTATCATCCCCCGTCCTTGAAAATCAAGAGAAGTACTGCGTCACCCCCTTGTCCCTTCCTCTGCCATTTGTGTCATGCTGACATGTTATCAATAGACATGGCCTCGAACCACCCAATCCATATCCATCCTGCGCGGCCGCTCTACCGGTTCACCGCAACAGCCCTAGGTGCCAGCATGTGGTTTTTCGTACGAGTCCCGCACTCTTACCGTTCACTTTGGACTATGCTGACCGTGAAACCTTCTCTACGCTATAGTTGATGTACCGAGCTAAGAAGGACGGACCTGCTTTGTTGGGTTGGAAGCATCCTTGGGATCATTGAACGTGCTGGGGTATAATTTGCAGTCATTACAACAGGGCCTCTTGAGAGCTTCGTGTACTCATAAACTAACTACACTTTCCCGCCAATCTTGGGATTGAATGTGATTTTTGTTTCGTCAACACTCATAAAAGTGCTGGTGATGCATACTTGGGCCTCGGTCGGGTTAGCGACGCCGGACATCAGATCTTACTACTGTGCTCTGTTCCTTTTCTGTCGTGGGTGCTAAAATTTGAAGCTACGCATATCTTATAGCCGTTTGATTTGTCTGCCCTGAGAATTATCTTTATTGAATGGGTAGGACATGATGCGACGCCTAGATTCACGATCCAGTTGCAAGGACGTAGTCTAGTTATAACTCCTGCCTAGAAAACAGGCCCATGAAAACCTTCCCATGTTCATTTTCGTATTTCTTCCAGCAATAATTTGTACTGGCGGCGCTGCTTTTGGTGGTGTGGTCGAAGGAATGTGTACATGCGCCTAAGAGCTCGAGCAAGCCGGGGAAAGAGCAGGCATTCCGCGACCCAGGAGAAGGAAAACGCGCCAACAGCAAGCACGAGTAACCAGAGCGCAAATTGATCAGACAAAAACGTCAACTGCATTATTCGTGATACCCACTCAGATGGCTTGAACAGCATGTAGCAGGATACAATCAAGTCCACAGCTATGACGCACATGAAGGGCTCTATGGCTTGTTAGATGCCGGAAACGAAGTGAAAAAGGGGCAGGGGATATCGAAGGATAGACTCACTATTGGATTTCATCGGCATCCGGAACGGTGGACCGACGCTGAGAACAACACTTGCCAGGGTATACTGAAACGTGGAGATCAAAAACAGCGCAGTATTCTCAGAATTTTCGATGTTACTGTTCTCCAAATCTATCAGGGGAGGTTTGAACCTAGTTCCCAGGTCAGCAAGCCAAGTAGCAGCCTTTTGTATACACCCTAACGTACCATGGCTGTGATTGGACCGTTTTATAGGCTATAAGCTGCGTTAAGACACAAATCAATATTTGTCCCAGAAGAGGTGTCAAAACCTTCCGCGACACCAGATCAGCGGTTGGCCTTTTCCGAGAAAGCACAGGGTAAGGGCCGGTCCAGCCCACTGTTGAAAGTAGTTAGCCAAAGCGTTGCGACGGAAATTAAGAGGCCGATAAGGCCGAGTTGTTTTACTTACTGAATATTGCTATCGGAAGGATGAGAGCCAGGTCAATGAATAAGAACTAGAGGATCGGTAAGAATGAAACCGCACTATTTTGGGGGGGAATAAGTGACGCCGTTTACCTGGAAATCACCGAGGTTTGAACCTGAGGTGTATAGAAAGCTGACAGACGCAAATTGGATCGCCGAGTACAGACTCATGTACTTGAAGCAACAAAAGCTAGTGACCAATGCGGCTCGACCCTCCCTAAGCATTTATTTTAGCAAAGAAACAGGAACTTCATGGGTTGGTAATGGTGTGTACCTGATAACTGTTGGAACACACGAGACGTCAAATTGCCGGCTTGTGAACGGCGCAGCAACGGAAGCTTCCGCATCAGATAAGGATATTCCAACATCAGCGGCCTTCAATGCACCACAGTCATTCGCTCCGTCACCACAGAATCCGCAACAATAGTCAAGAGACTGGAGTTTTTCGACAAGCTCGTGTTTCTCATCTGGAGACATTCTGGCAAAAACACCCCCGAGTACAAGCATCTAGGCAAACAAAAGTAAGTTAGGTACTGCTAATGCAAGAAAGGTGCTTCGAAAGTATTGGCCCAACCACGGTTAAGGATTGTGGCACTCACCCGTTTGAGAATGGTCTCGTCACCATAATCCACGATCCACCGGAAAACATCCCCACTGACAGCAAGGGAGTATTCATGAAGATAACGGAGGTTGGTAGGTACGGACAAGTCAATATCTGCGGAGTTTAAGGGCGGCTGTAGAAGGTTAGCTGGGACTTGGAAAGAAGGCAATGCTGGTGAAAGGCATACCATTAGAGTGTTTGGGTCAAGTTTCAAGCAAGGATCGTCGACGCTCTCCCAATGAAGAGAGATCTTGGGGTCATCCGGATAACCTGATATAGAGTTAGCTGAAAAGCTTTGTGTAGCGAACGTGATAAGCACAAACCCTCCACAAAATGTGGGATGAAACATGGCTTGTCGGCGCTAATTAAACCACATTCACGAGCGACGCTGACTGCAGTAAGGATGTTATCACCCGTACACATAATGTTCCGTATTCCTGCTTGGCTCAGCTCCCTGATTGTTTCGAAAGTCTTCGGCTTTAATTTGTTTTCGAATATAATAAGTCCAATGAACTCCAGATTGCTTTCAGCCTCTGCACGACTCAATTTCTGGACTTTCATCCAGCTGAGCCTTTGTTCATATTTAGCTGCGCAGGCTATGACGCGGTAGCCCTGGTGAGTGTACTGGTTTAGGAGATCTTCGAAGTCACGGGGTACTAGAAAAAGGGTTGGTTAGCCGGGCTTCGTGTGTGAAAATGGCTGTATACCAACAAGTTTCCGGGCGGCATATGGCCTTCACACTCTCCGGCGCACCCTTGACAAAGACGCTGGCACCCCCGTCTCCAAATTGCCTTACAACCACACTTGAACGACGAAGCTCCGAAACAAACTCAAAATTACGCAGAACGCCAAGTTCGATTGGTGCCTGTGATGGATGTGAGCATCGAAGTGTGACGCGTCATAGATCTCATAAAGGGCAGATGAGGGAGAACATACACTTGAACGAGCCCCTTCGTAATCACGGAACTGAGCCGAAGAGTTTGGTGGCTTCGCGATAGCCTGGATTACAGCCTCAAAATTGGAACCTGGCTGCTCAGAAACTTGACCACCATCTTCTTGATAGGACCACCCCGTAAACTCAAACATCTTTACGTCTAGGGGGTCCCCAAGAAGTTCATCATCAATGGTTTTCAGTGAGTGGCATGTTGCCATGATGTAAGAGATTTTGGTACGATTGTCGAGATTGCCGCCTTCGATACTCGAGGGCACGGATGACATATCAGACACAAGATCGGTCAACCTTTTGCCCTGTTAGCATCCATGTCATGTTTGGTACATAGGCCTACCAACCTTATTTCATGATTCACAGTTCGTACTCCCAGAACATCTAGGCCATCCTCTGTCAGGGTGCCAGTTTTATCAAAACACACAACATCCAATTTGCCCCCAACGTTGACCCTATTTAACCAGGTTAGTATAAATGCATCATTATATTAAGCTAATTTACCTCACCTTTGAGGGCTAATGCAGAAGATTTTGTGGTTTTTCAACCGGGATAGTGCGAAATTGATTCCGATCGTCAGGGTAGCCGGTAAAGCTGGTGGAACAACAATCGTAATTAAATCAAGTGCTCTGACGATTATCAGATGCCAGGAAAGCTAAATTATGGCGTTAGCGTGCGTATTCCGGTTACCTGGTTTCAACTTACACCTAGTCGAACGAAGTTTACAAACGAGGCCACAAATCCCAAGAGGGCGACGGCACCCATCACAGAGATGTAGCGGAAAGAATCACGATAGAATTTAAACCCAGAGGGTTTGGGGAAAAGCATTGAACGAACAAGAGCACCTTTTGTAGTAAGGAACCCCGTTCTCACAACAATCGCCAAAGCAATCGCTTCGTCGTCCTCAACATTTTGAGGGCGTCTTGTTCGAATCACCCTCGTCCCACTGAAAAGGAAGTGCTTTGCGATATTAGGATGGACAGATGATGCATTCAAATCAAGATAATTGAGCGCGTCATCGGTCAATGGGGTCTTCGATATCGGAACCGATTCACCTAGTTGCGCTTTTTTAGACCAATACCTTTAATGTACGCAAACGTTTTTTCAACTCACCTGTGAGCATGCTTTCATTGACAATGCAGTCTCCAGATAGTAGAATACAATCGCAGGGAACTTGAATTAGAGATGGGTCCGAAAACTCAAATACATCTCCGGGCACTAGTTCACGAGATGCCACGGATCTCCCTGATGGTGCAGTGTGTCAGCAAATCAATATTTTACAAGAAACTAAGGGAATTTGGTTACACACAAAAACCGTTTCTAAGCACGCGAATATCACATTCAAAGAGGGAGATGCTCCTTAGGCGGCTCATTGTCTGAGAAGTTAAAACGTCTGTTCCTGTGCTGAGGAGTCTGAAGACATACCGATTTTGTTTCAAAAACAGTGGCCCCTATGCTGAAAAATGATATTGTAAATATGCAGACAGCATAATAATAATATTGGTCTAGTGACCATAGCACAAGGCTTGCGACTTGAAAGATATAGAATGGGTGAAAGGCCTAAAGAGGTAAGAATTTATTCCAAGAAGGGAGAAGGAAAAGAAGACCGACTTCATCCAGAAGAAGTTCAAACGCCGACTTTTGGTGAATGTCAATGAGGTTTTTGCCAAAGACCTGCTCTCGACTATCACGGTCATCGGCATCTAGTCCCATTCGCATCATTTTCGCGTTCGTCCACAAAGGATCTTTCCAGCCACTAATTAAACAAAACCTGTCTTCAACTTGATGGTAAAAGAAACGCAGATACCTATAATCAATGCAACGCAAGGACGAAACTGTAGGATCATTCTCCTCGTCGTATTGTTGAAAGCTGGAATCTGCAAAAATAGTGGAAAGCGGGCGTCCGTATTCTTGGCAGTGTACTTGGTATACATTGAATTGATTCCATTGATCCTGAATAGACATTAGTCGGAGGAGGCGAAGAAAGATGCCCTGGGCATGCAGGCAGGAATAAGTTAAGAAAAAAAACATACCTCTATTGCCACCCATTGGCAGGACCGAAGGGGCATGGGTCTTCCTATAACTCGAACACGCCATCTAGGGAACCATCTAAACAGCAAGTAAGCTAATCCAAGCGTAAACAGACACAGTGCATAGTATAGCGCTAGGCCTGTCAACGCTGTTGAAAATCCAGCAATTACAATTATCAGGTCCTCAGATTCGATATAAACTTTTTGATTATGCCTGTTGTCTGGTTTTCGACCACAGCTATAGGAGTTAACCGATGAGGGTCGCTGCGGCAGAAGAGGGTCTTCGATAGAGGGCCTCGAAGTAGATGGTCTTTTTGAGGCAAACGATGATCGGACAGACACGCTTGCTGGGTAAGCGTCATCTCGAAATTCTTCATCGTTGTCGCTCTCGATGTCCAAGGCATCTTCGTTTGGCCATTCGGTGAAAGACTCGTTTTCATGGAAATAGGTAAAGCTAGCCGTAGAGTTGTTACGGTTGCGACGGTAAGAGAAAGATGCGATACTGGATGGAATACTCTCGGAGATGGGACCATCGAATACCTGTTGAATCCGGTCATGCCTTGTTCATAGACAGATGGGTCATTTGGTTATTATGAAGAAACGCACCTCATTACGTGCCATTTCTACATCTGACACAATGCTATAGCTGTATGATTATCAGATAGCAGCCCCGAGCATCAATTGATTGGGTTGGAATCACCTGCTTCTCATAGAGTCGCGTCGACAGCCAGGCCCGCCAACGGGCGGTTGGAGTGGCCAATTTGGATGTGTAGAATGGTCCATTGCGTAAGTGCCGGCTCACGACCGACAGTGTTGAAATACTGTGGATGCTCACCAGTGGCTATGAGATAGAGAATCACACGACCAGAAACATGCTGGATAGGATTATAGACGGTAGATGCAGAGAAAAATCGAAAGTTCTGTCCTGTATAATATGAACATCGGCTTGACTTTCCTCTTAGGTATCACTCATATGCATGTCTTCGGTAAGGTGTTCGAATGATGCGGGTCGGCAGCGAAGCTCGATGATCGATGTTCCAATGTTATCTACACGTGACCGATAAGCTGCTAGGTACGAGGTATCGGGGGCCTGGGGTTGGGAGAGTGTAGTTATGTCATGCAGGATAACATTGAGATCTCGACTCGGAGATCGATCAGTCGCAGCAGGAGCTTGATGGACTGTGACTTAAGCCAATAATGGAGATACTAATATACATGCGTAAATCGGCTGCGACTCGGCGAAGTCGTTCTACTCCGTACTCCGTACTACACCTAGTCATACGGCCTCGGGATCGGCTGCGACTCGGCAAATCAAGATCTGAATAGTGATCGGAGGCATATGGTAGGCTGTGCAGCGTACCCTCAACGTCCTAGCTATGTACTCCCGTGTGTATCTATTCAATGCATTGTTTGTATCAGGAGTAATTATACCGGAAGAAACTACCTACCTCAGATAAATAACTTCAAGTCCTACTTATGTATGACGATGTATTTATCGTATGTATGTAATCGGGTACTAATTATACCTACCGCTTTAGATAGGTAGGTATACTTTATATGGCATAGAACCTAATAGAACATCTTTTAGATACTTCCTTCAGTACAGTTATCTTATACCTTGTATATTCCTGTAGGTCTTCCCTATAAAGAGTTCTAACTACCTATTAGGGTGTGTACGAAGTACCTACTAGGTACGGACCCATAAACCCCTAGGGTTCTAGATTCTTTCCTATGTTAGTATAGTGCTTGCAGAGTTTAGATTACAGGATGTGTATTAATACTATACGTATTGATGTAGATAATTTTCTGTAATCATCAAGGCACCTACCTAGTTATACATGACACTAGAGTAAGATATGTGGACATAATTGTTAACCTATGGTTTATCTTTAGTTACCAGCATGATTAGTTATATAACTAATCTGCTACCTACCTTCACCTACCGACAATAGGTGGCATTCATGGATGTTGTATATACCTAGCGTCGATACGGTACATGTAATTAAAGAATACATCCATGGATGTATGTATGTATATACCTACATAGGTACATACATAGGTACAGTACCTAGGTATGGGCGATAAGTACTACACATTACTGCGTACGGTAGATACCATGCAGGTATCCTGCCCCGATTAAATTTCCACGTAGGGAAGATATGGAAACTGGCAATCGGTATCTCGATGGTTACTATGGAAATCGACTGGTATTTGCCGGGGGTGTGGCCTAGAGCATCGGATATTTTCTGGTTGGCACCATAGCATAGAAGAATCGGTAGGCTTCAGCTGGTGGAGAGTGCGGTAAGTCGAACAGTTAGATGATTTTCTTTCAAGCACACAGAGCGTTTCCAGAACCCAAGTTTCCAAGGTGCATCAGACGGCCCTTGTTTGGTGGCATCGTGTCGTGTCGTGGTCAAAAAAAGAGGGAGAGACGAAGTTTCGCAGTATTGTTGGGAGCAGGCTGAAGGTTCCAGTCTCAACAGCCAGCATCCTCGTCCCGCCAAGCCCCTCGGCCCAAGGGCGCTAAGGATCCCACCAAGCCAGTATTCCAGACCTCCCAAAACTACCAAGCGTATCAAATTCTTCCCTCAACCCTTGATCTTTCGCCTCCGCGACAACCCCTCAGCCAACTTCTTTCTACACTATCTCCGACCCCTCTCTTGACCAAACAAGAACCCCCAAAATGTCTGAACCCATTAGAAATAAAAAAGCAGATTTCCCGGTTGCTCCGTAAGTCTCTATTCCACCCCCGACCTAAGTTCCATCATTGTCCACCCTGATGATACCGCTGCCGTGTAGCATCAAATCGCTGACGCCCGTTTCTGAATGCCAGGACGCCGCAAAACACTCCGGCTAACAATGCCCCTATCTCGTCTCACGCCCAACAACCCGGAGTCGACAGCATAAAAGAAGGTATACCAACAGCCCTTCTTTACCCCGTTCGCGCTGCCTATACCTAACTTCATGGCCAGAATCCCTTGATCATGCTGCCGCCGCTTCTCTTTTTGCCAGGAACCCTGGGCTTGTTTCGATGATCCAAGGGAAACTGGGATCGCTTGTTGGCCGCTCATCGGGCTACATTGAATCTTTACCAGCACCTGTGCGCCGCCGCGTGGCTGGTCTGAAGGGCATTCAGAAAGATCACGCCAAACTTGAAGCCCAGTTCCAGGAGGAAGTATTAGAGCTTGAAAAGAAGTACTTCGCGAAGTTCACTCCTCTGTACCAGAGACGTGCTACAATAATCAATGGCGCTGCGGAGCCGACCGACCCTGAGGTTGAAGCGGGTAAAGGAGATGACGAGGAGGAAGATGCGGATGTCAAGGTTGAGGATGAGTCGAAAAAGGAGGACGACAAAGAATCCCAAGCAGCTGGAATCCCAGAATTCTGGCTCTCCGCCATGAAAAACCAGATTTCTCTTGCGGAAATGATCACTGAACGGGATGAAGAAGCCCTTAAGCATCTCACCGACATTAGAATGGAATATCTCGATCGCCCAGGCTTCCGTCTCATTTTTGAGTTTTCGGAGAACGCTTTCTTCAGCAACAATACCATCTCCAAGACCTACTATTACAAAGAAGAGAACGGATACGGTGGTGATTTTATCTACGACCATGCCGAGGGCACTAAAATTGATTGGAAGCCCGACCAAGATCTCACCGTCCGTGTGGAAAGCAAAAAACAGAGAAACAAGAGTGAGCTCAATCCCATTTCCCTCACGACTTGGTGGGTTTTTCTTACTTGTTCCCAGACACCAAGCAGACTCGCGTCGTGAAGATTACCGTCCCCACCGAGTCCTTCTTCAACTTCTTTTCTCCTCCGCAGCCCCCCACAGATGATGATGATACTGTCACCACCGACATTGAGGAGCGTCTTGAACTCGACTACCAGCTTGGCGAAGATATCAAAGAGAAACTCATCCCCCGCGCCATTGATTGGTTTACAGGCGAGGCACTTCAGTTCGAGGAGCTGGGTGACGATATGGACCCGGATGAGTTTGAAGATGAGGACGATGAAGATGAGGAGGACGAAGAGGACGAAGATGAGGACGATAGAAAATCGGATCGGGACATGGACGATGACTCCGACGAAGAGGTATGTCCTCCACAAATTTCCCCGTCAACCTCCATCTATTCTAGTACTAATGGAGACCAGGACGGTACTTCCAAGCCCAAGAAAGAGGCGGCCGAATGCAAACAAAGCTGAACGTCTCGAAGCTTTATCTTACAGGCAAATGGAGCAGATAATTAGTCTATGCTACTTTCCTCGGGCCTAGCTCAAGATGGATGGTCTTCTCCGTTCCTCTTTCGCCGGTTCCCGTTCCCTGTCCACCATTGCTTTTTTCTTTCTTTCTTGTTTCCTCTTCTCCCCCCACATATATTTGGTCCCCATTTCACGCCCGTCACCTTCATGAAAATTTGCCTTATCAGATTGCTTCAACCTTACAACAGTGCCGTGCAAACTTCTACTCATCACTAATCTAAGTTCATTCATATCCGTATTCCAGAGTGTAAAATCTGTGCACGCCGTCGCGCCTTTCACTTTGGGGGATATGTAATGGATATCTATGCTCATCTTGGGCGTCCCAGAGTAAACCGCTTTGCGCTTTCGAGGTCCCGTTTTCTCCGCTGTTATTTCTGTTTCTTTTACACTCTCCCTTTATCTCTTGTTTCATGCTTTTTCTTTTCTTTTCTTTTCTTTTTATTTTTTATTTTTATTTTTTTCAATCATGCGATTCCATATTCTGCTTGTCTCAGTCTCAGTTTGTTCATTGCACCATTTAAAATTCTGGCGGCGCGAGGAGTACGCTTTTTTTTTTTTTTTTTAATTACTCTGAATTTTCATCAGATAGCTTCCCTTTGGCTCAAAAGATCCGAGGAGAGACAGTACATGGTGTAAAAGTTAAAAAATAAAAAATAAGAATTGGTAGTTTTGGTATGCGACTGGCGAGGAGCTGGGGAGGACCTCATCTCACCGCTCCTTCAGGCCAACCTTTCTTCCCCTAAAATTCTTCCTAAAACCGAGATAATAAAGTGGCCAACCATCTAACTGCATCGAAGCAGCACCCCAGAACTCTTATGACCAGAGTAGGTGTTTTTTAAACAAGGGCTGATGTCCGTAATGGTAAAACAAGCGTCTGGGAAAGCCCCCAACATGCAGATGCGTCGACATCATTAGTAGCGCCCGACCAAGTGACCAAGGCCAACATGTCTTGATTCTTGGCGGTGGCAGCTGTGGGGATTGTTCCGACAAGTGGCGCGGCTCCCCAATCCTCAGGGGTTGTGGCTCGCTAACGGCCAGCTGTTAGCAGCCATTTAGTTCAATAACTCCTTCAATAGTGAGCATAGTGGAAACCTTTCTTTTTTCATATTTCAGCGTTAAACTCGGCCTGGGCTGTCACAAACGTGGCTTGTGTTTCCGACCTTTCACATCTACTGGCCGTCCTTGTTCCTCCTTCTACTAGATGCTTCATCCCGATCTTTGCCCAGCTTGTCCAGCCCGCATTGAGTTGTTGCTCCGCCCTCGTTTGAACCTGGATTGTTCAGTCCTCTGTCAAGAGGCGTCGTCTTGATGGCACACAACTACGAAGTCGGCACAAGGGCCTGGCAGCCCGACCCGACTGAGGGATGGGTTGCTTCCGAAGTGAAGGAGAAGTCGGTTGATGGAGACAAAGTTCAACTTGTATTCTTGATGGAAAATGGGGAGGTCAGTCGCCGTCATTCGTCATCCAAAATCGTATCGTTGCATGGTGATTAACCTACCAATTCTGGGGCAAACAGTCAAAAACCGTGGAGACCACGCTGGAAGAGTTGCAGTTGGACAACAACTCACGCTTGCCTCCCTTGATGAACCCCGCCATGTTAGAAGCTAGCGAGGATCTCACGAATCTTTCTCACTTAAATGAGCCAGCTGGTTTGTCTAGCTCTGGATATTTGCATGTGCGCAGAGACTAACGGCCCCCAAGTTTTGCAGGCGATAAAACTTCGTTATGCGCAGAAGGAAATATACACATACAGTGGAATCGTCCTCATCGCGACAAATCCATTCGCTCGAGTTGACTCCCTCTACGTGCCCCAGATGGTACAAGTATACGCGGGGAAGCATCGTGCGTCACAAGCGCCTCATTTGTTCGCCATCGCCGAAGAAGCATTTGCGTAAGAACCGACAGCTCCTCTCCGCCATGCAGTATTGCTTACCGGGGACCCTATGCAGTGACATGTTACGAGATGGGAAGAACCAGACAATCGTTGTCTCCGGAGAATCGGGTGCGGGGAAGACGGTCAGCGCCAAATACATCATGCGGTATTTCGCAACCCGCGAGTCTTCGGATCAACCAGGCAAGTACACCACGAGCAGGGCAGACGCAATCAGTGAGACAGAAGAACAAATACTGGCCACCAATCCGGTTATGGAAGCTTTCGGAAACGCCAAAACCACGCGCAACGATAATTCCTCACGATTCGGAAAGTACATCGAGATCATGTTCGACGACCGGACCAACATCATTGGTGCCAAAATCAGAACATACCTCTTGGAACGGTCACGTTTAGTATTCCAGCCGCTCAAGGAACGAAACTATCACATCTTCTACCAGCTTGTAGCTGGTGCGACAGATGATGAAAGGCAAGCCTTACATCTGGGCTCGGTTGAGGATTTTGACTATCTAAATCAAGGCGGGACACCCACGATTGATGGTGTAGATGATAAGATGGAGTTTAATGCAACCAGAAAATCCCTAAGCACCATCGGTGTATCGGACAAAACACAAACCGAAATCTTCCGCATCCTAGCAGCTCTTTTGCACCTTGGCAATGTTAAGATCACAGCCACCAGGACTGACTCCACCCTTTCGCCTACGGAGCCCGGTCTGGTCAAAGCCTGTGATCTGTTTGGTATCGATGCCAACGAATTTGCCAAGTGGATTGTCAAAAAGCAGCTCATCACAAGAGGTGAAAAAATCACCTCCAATTTGACCCAACAGCAAGCCACCGTTGTCCGGGACTCAGTTGCCAAATTCATCTACTCGAGCCTCTTCGATTGGCTTGTTGACAAAATCAACTGTGGTCTAGCAACCGACCAAGTTATGAGCCAATTCAAGGCCTTCATCGGAGTTCTGGATATCTACGGCTTCGAGCATTTCGCCAAGAACTCGTTCGAACAGTTTTGCATCAACTACGCCAACGAGAAACTCCAACAGGAGTTCAATCAGCACGTTTTCAAGCTTGAGCAAGAAGAATATGTACGGGAGCAAATTGACTGGACATTCATTGATTTCTCCGACAACCAGCCATGCATTGATTTAATTGAAGCAAAACTGGGTATCTTGTCTCTCTTGGACGAGGAGTCTCGGCTTCCAATGGGTTCCGACGAGCAATTTGTGACCAAGCTGCACCACAACTTCGCGGCCGATAAGCAAAAGTTCTACAAGAAACCTCGATTTGGGAAATCCGCTTTCACCATATGTCACTATGCGGTTGACGTAACTTATGAGTCCGATGGCTTTATAGAGAAGAACAGGGACACCGTCCCTGACGAGCACATGGAAATCCTGCGCAATTCTTCGAATGAGTTTGTGAAGGAAATATTAGATACAGCAGCCGCTGTCCGCGAAAAGGATTCGGCTTCTATCTCGTCCAAGCCCGTCGCTGCTCCGGGCCGCAAAATCGGCGTGGCCGTCAACCGCAAACCCACTCTTGGTGGAATTTTCAAATCATCATTGATCGAGCTCATGAATACGATCAATTCCACGGACGTGCATTACATCCGCTGCATCAAGCCGAACGAAGCAAAGGAATCTTGGAAGTTCGAAGGGCCTATGGTTCTTAGTCAATTGAGGGCTTGTGGTGTCCTTGAGACGGTTCGGATTAGTACTGCTGGCTATCCTACTCGCTGGACTTACGAGGAATTTGCCATCCGTTACTATATGCTTTGTCATTCTTCACAATGGACATCGGAAATACGAGAAATGTGCCACGCAATTCTTCAGAAGGCTCTTGGGGACGGAAGTCACAAGAAAGAAGATAAATACCAACTTGGTTTGACCAAGATATTCTTCCGGGCTGGCATGCTCGCATTCCTTGAGAACCTGCGCACGTCGAAGTTGAATGAATGTGCGATCATGATACAGAAGAATCTCCGGTGCAAATACTACCGACGTAGGTACCTCGAAGCTCGCGCTTCCATTCTCACCACACAGGCGCTCATCAGGGGCTTTCTGGCAAGACAACATGCGGCTGAAGTGCGCCAGGTCAAGGCTGCCACGACAATTCAAAGAGTGTGGAGGGGACATAAGGACAGGAAAAATTACAACCGTATCCGTGGAAACTTCGTCCTGTTCCAGTCTGTTGCCAAGGGTTTCCTTTGTCGCCAGAATATTATGGATACTATCCATGGCAACGCAGCAAAGGTCATCCAGCGTTCTTTCCGTTCTTGGCGACAGCTGCGCGCGTGGCGACAGTATCGCCGGAACGTAATCACTGTCCAGAACCTTTGGAGGGGCAGGGAAGCCAGAAAGGAATACAAAAGGCTACGAGAGGATGCGCGAGACTTGAAGCAGATTTCGTACAAACTGGAGAACAAGGTGGTGGAACTCACTCAGTATCTTGAATCTTTGAAGCGTGAAAACAGGTCGTTGAATTCACAGTTGGAGAATTATGAGACCCAGGTCAAGTCCTGGAGGAGTCGTCACAATGCTTTGGAGAATCGCACGAGAGAACTCCAGGCTGAGGCCAACCAGGCCGGCATTACTGCAGCCCGTTTAACCGCCATGGAAGAAGAGATGAGCACATTGCGACAGAATCATCAGGACGCCCAAGCAACCATCAAGCGTCTCCAAGAGGAAGAAAGGGCGTCACGCGAATCGATTCTTGCTGCAAACCAGGAACTGGAAGGGCTCAGGCATCTGAACAACGAGGCCGAAAGCGAGAAGGTCTCCCTTCGCCAGCAGGTTGCCGACCTCGAAGAACAGTTGGAACTTGCCAAACGGACTATGCCCGTGAATGGGTTGAATGGAGAACAGCAGAACGGCGGGTCTATCCAGCCTCCCGCCACCGGTTTGATCAACCTAGTTTCCTCCAAAAAACCGAAGCCTAAAAGACGCAGTGCTGGAGCAGAAAAGATCGAAACCGATCGCTTTAGCGGTGCTTACAACCCAAGGCCCGTGTCTATGGCAATCCCAAGCACACTCGCTCGTCAGAACATCTCAAACACGACTTTCTCCCCGGGATTGGATTCCGTTGAAGTTGAACTTGAGAATCTGCTGTCCGAGGAAGATGAACTGAATGAGGAGGTCACAATGGGTTTGATCCGCAACCTTAAAATCCCACTCCCCAGTTCGACCCCACCCCCAACCGAGAAGGAGGTCCTGTTCCCTGCCTATCTTATAAACCTCGTGACCTCTGAGATGTGGAACAACGGCTTCGTGAAGGAGTCCGAACGCTTCTTGGCCAATGTCATGCAGTCAATTCAGCAGGAAGTCATGCAGCACGACGGTGACGACGCTGTCAATCCTGGGGCGTTTTGGCTCTCCAACGTTCATGAAATGCTGTCGTTTGTGTTCTTGGCTGAGGATTGGTATGAAGCGCAGAAGACCGACAATTACGAGTATGATCGTCTTCTGGAGATTGTGAAGCACGACCTGGAAAGCCTGGAATTCAATATCTATCATACTTGGATGAAAGTCCTGAAGAAAAAGCTTTTCAAGATGATTGTCCCGGCCATCATCGAATCCCAATCCCTGCCGGGATTCGTCACCAGTGAAACCAATCGATTTTTAGGAAAGCTTCTTCCCTCTAACAATAATCCGGCCTATAGCATGGATAATCTTCTTAGCCTCTTGAACAACGTTTACAAGGCAATGAAAGCATTCTACCTTGAGGATTCGATTATCATCCAAACCGTCACCGAGCTTCTTCGTCTCGTTGGGGTTACCGCGTTCAACGATCTTCTCATGCGGCGAAATTTCCTGTCTTGGAAACGTGGCCTCCAGATCAATTACAACATAACGCGCATTGAGGAGTGGTGCAAGAGTCACGATATGCCCGAGGGCACACTGCAACTAGAGCACTTGATGGTATGGTCTTTCTTTAACAGGGACTGAGTCTATGACTGGGCCGAGTCTGAATACTGACAATCAAATAGCAAGCCACTAAGCTCCTTCAACTAAAGAAGGCCACGTTGAACGATATTGAAATTATACAGGATATATGCTGGATGTAGGCAACCAATCCTGTCCGAGCATTCCAGGTTCGACTCCGCTAAACAGGACTATAGGCTTTCCCCCAATCAGATCCAAAAACTGCTGAATCAATACCTTGTGGCGGATTACGAGCAACCGATCAATGGCGAAATTATGAAGGCAGTGGCCTCTCGTGTCACGGAAAAGAGCGATGTCCTTTTATTGACACCCGTTGATATGGAAGACAGCGGGCCGTATGAAATTGCCGACCCGCGGGTCATCACGGCTCTGGAGACTTATACTCCTTCCTGTATGTTCACCGACAGCGAGAATTGGGATTTGTGCTAATCGTGTCTCAGGGCTTCAAACGCCGCGACTTAAACGACTTGCTGAAATTGTGTCCGCCCAGGCAATGGCACAGCAGGAGAGGCTTGAAATGGCGGAGAACGGGAGTATGACAGCTGAGTAGTGCTCGGGGTAGACCACCGGCCGTCACAGGGCCTATGAATCAGAGTGGGAGTCGTTTTTTCTTACAACGGTCCCGGTTTTTGCAGTTGGATGCACATATATCATTTGGCGACATAATCCGTCGTTTTCTGTGTTTATCGTTATCATTATGATTAGATTCCCGTTTGAAATCTGGACGTCCTCGATGCATAGATACGAAAGACAAATCAATCAGCTTGAGAAGTTAAGGCGTTGCCGACACTAGAATGATAGATGTAGGAGCCGGGGGGGTAATGCGAGCGACTGGGTGGATGCCACTAGGAATGCATTCACATATGCGGGCGCTGTAGGGTGAGCAGTCGACATGATGGTTTACACTGGTAGGGGGGCAGGTACATATTGCAGTGTATGCGCACACACTAGATTAGAAGAAGGGATCAATGAAGTAAATAAATTCGAAGAAACATTCTGCTCCACCTCAATAGTATATCCGCAGTGTCCAGTGACAGGGCCTCGGCAAGTGCTTCCGCGGGGTGTTTGGCACAACAACCAACAACCCCTTCACAACAACCCTTCCTTCCGCTTGAGTCCCTGACGGTCCATTTAACTGAATCGTGACACTATTATCCACCATGGCTTCTGCTCCTCAAAAATTAAATTTCATCACAGGTAACAAAAACAAATTGGCGGAAGTGAGGGCAATCTTGGGCAGTGTCGTCAAGGTTGATAACCAGGCCGTCGATGTGCCCGAAATACAGGGAACCATTGAAGAAATCGCCAAGGAAAAGTGCAGACGCGCAGCAGAGGTGGTGAGCATCAACTCGATATCTTTCAGTCGGCACATTTGGCACCATGCTAATCAAATGGCGGGGGTAGGTCGGGGGTCCTGTCCTAACAGAGGACACAGCACTTGAGTTTCGCGCGCTGAAGGGCCTACCGGGCCCATACATGTTAGATCATTCCCCCTTACTTAGCCCGGCTTGCAGCCGATGCTAACTGCCTGGTTTTAATAAAACTAGCAAACAATTCCTTGATGCACTAGGTCACGAAGGATTGAATAAGTTGCTCGACTCGTTCGACGACAGAGCGGCCGAGGCCGTGTGCACGTTTGCATTCTGCCCTGGGCCCGGCTCCGCGGTTATTTTGTTCCAGGGAAGAACAGAGGTATGTTATGTTATGCCATCTGCTGAGGATCCTTGTTTCGATGGTGGGCTAATCTGTGTTTGTTGTTTGAAAGGGTACCATCGTTAGGCCCAGAGGGCCCGCGAATTTTGGTTAGTCACTTGGATTGGAGGACGTTTGTATCCTACTAATTTTTTATGATTTAATATAGGCTGGGATCCAATCTTCGAATACGAAACCCACACATACGCCGAGATGGAGAAGGAGAAGAAGGTAAGAGCCCGGGCCGTATGGCCTGAATTTGCACTAACGGACGAATAGAACAAAATCTCTCACAGATATAAAGCTCTAGTCAAGCTACAACAGTGGTTGATTGATGGACAACACTAGTCTTCTGGGCACGTCAGGTCTATTCGGTTTCAGAATGATCTTTCTTCCATGACTCGATCCAAGCCGAAATCCTCGCGCAGTTGTTCTCTACATCGTCATCCTTTTCACTACTGAGCTCGACCACCACTTCCTCATCGAAAGCCTCCCGAGCCTCTTCGAGGAGAACCCCGAAAATCTCCGCGTCTAAGTTCTCTTGCAGTTTTTCTTGTTTATATGCCCTGTTACAAACGGAATTTGTAAGAATCTTGTCTGAATAGGTGGGATGGAGGTTTCTGGTGGGCGTTGTGCGGGTCAAGTAGATGAAAGAAATAGAAGCTCAAACATGCCGGTAAAGAAACCAGGGAGAAAGGCTGCGGGTTTGTTGGTGCGTACCTTGTGGAAAGACGATCGTAGTGAACAGAGGTGGAGGGGCATCGCAGGACTACGACGAGATCGATCCAGGATTTCGGAAATAGATCACACGCATGCCAATCAATCAGGTAGCCACCCTTAAGTATCTCGTCCTCAATCGCATCCAAAAGCTGCTCAAGGAGTAAGTAACAGAAGAACCGGGATCGCTTGACGATAGCGCGGCATAATGTGCATTGAACATACTTTGTCTTCATCCACGACCCATGTTTCTAATTTCGAATCATAGGTATCGAAGCAGTCCCGTTCTTTTGCGATCTGGTTGATCGATAGATGCTGCAGGCCTGTCTCCTGCGCCAATTGCTGACAATGTACCGTTTTCCCTACGCCAGGGGTGCCTGTGATGATCACATTCGGAGTTGTTCGCATCTTGGCCTCAGCGGCAGTGCTGAGCAGCCAGAACCTGTAGTTTTTGCCAACAAGGGATGATAACGATTGAGGGGTAAGATCTCCAGTCAATCTATTTTATTTTTTTTTGCCTGCGGCTGCGGGGAAGCCTTATTGATGCCTGAGGCATAAATCAGGCGAGCCGGAGGCCCGGAACCAGAAAATCCGGCGGACTATGGAAGTATATTCTGTCTAGTAGATACACCTCACCGCTATCCTTTGAGTACAGATCTGCTCGAGCACCCATCGTGAATGGCCTATATCAAGATCACTTGTTTAAACACTGTTAATTCGTAGTGGCTATCTATGGTGGACCATAGAGCGTAGGTATACTTACAGGAAACATTTGTCTTTACAATAATAGCCTTGCTGCAGTCACCCTTCGGTAGGGCTTTTAGGAGGGGGCAACCTTCATTGGTTAGACGCATTCAACTCGAAACTCTAAACTCAAACCTGACTCACTTGAGAATTTCAAAGACCGGATACTTTTGCAAGTAACTTATCCCGCGTCGGTATCCCTTCAGGGTATGGAGTGGATTGCGGAACTTGAACTGCACCTCCTTTAAACGCTTTATCCATGAAGGGACCTGAAGCTTTGGATCAAAAACGAGGAGGTTTGCACTTCCATCGTCACGGACTTCGAATCCAACAATGGTCATGGAATGACCTTTTATTATCTTGTTAGCTAGTCTCCTATTTTTCTTCTCTTCTGTAAGGGTGCGTTAACATACCTTGATGCTGGAAGTAGATGGGAGGTAGATCTGTCACGAGAACTTTCTCATCGGTTTGACATGGACTCCCTGTTCGAAAATAATTTGCAACATTTGATAACAAAGCATTATGAGCCCGTAGCTGCGGAGTCTCTCCAATGCTACAAGCCTCACATCTACTCGCTGTTAGTGCTATAGTAGCAAGGGATCCTATGCTGAGACGTACGGGATTCCTAAACTCAGGAACAGAGCCTGTGCCTGTGGTTATGTATTAGAAACAGCGAACCCACTTTCTGGAGGCTGTGCCCTACCTCCGACGTGCCAATGAATTTCCTGGTGCCTCGTATGCCCCCGGTCTCTTCTCTCCCCACGCTATTGAGCCCCATGTCCCATGCATGTTCAATCATATCCTGTAGTTGCAAAATAGTAGGTAGCGGCCCAGAAAAGCGATCCTGACCCGGGAGATCAGAATGCCGTATATATGAGACCAGCATTTGAATATTCCGATAGCCGCAAAATCCGCCTTCTCTCGGCATCTTGGAAACTTGGGAAATTTTGGGGCTGCATAGGAACGCCCGTTTCACTGAGTTGTCGGCCCGGCAAAGACGCTCGAGAATTGGTATAATACCAGTAGCCTCATTTTCAACGGTTTCCAGTTTCTGGATTGTTCCATCGGGCGCGATTTGATTTGTTCGCGTCACTTTTGGCCCCTTCTCCAGCATCTTCCGAAGCCAGAAGGGCATCTGCCTCTCATGAACATGGGGTCCTAACTCTGCACGCTGTAAACGGCGTTTTTAGCTTTTCACGAAAGCGTGTCATCTAGGGAAGGTGAGAAAAGGGTATTAATATACCCCAAGCTTTCTAGTGCTCTCCTCCCGAGCGGTTGGTGAATGCATGACAACCAGGCTCGCGGGAGCCTTTGCGACTCATGCACTGTGTTCTTGGTTATTAGTGTGTCTGTAACCAGGGACAGGGATCAATACATATGTACATGTAATAACTGTCGTGGGAGCCAATCTCGTTGCCTGAAGAGGCGCTACTCCGTATGCAGAGACATCCAGGTAGGGGGAGATGAGGCAATGACGGCGGCGGTGGGTACAGTCCTGTGCCTACCTATCTCTATACGGAGTACTGTACAAGTGTACATGTACGTAGTTAAAAATACACCGTAGGTAACTCGGAGACTCGGAGTAGGTACCGTTCTGGGCCCCACTAGCGTAGTCGTAGCTTATCGCCGGACACTCTCCGTATTTGAAATTGCGGCAGAATTCACGGCGCCCCACTAGACTCCGATATCGTGTGCCCGGAAAAAGAAGGCGGAGGCAAAAACTCAACGGGCAGAATTCTCTTGGCCACCCCTGCTTCTTGTATCGGCTCCGCTTTCGCAATCAATTCCCCCGCCAAGTGCACATAAAAAAAAGAGTCCCGCTGCCGACGTGAGTCAACCCAGTCAATTATAAGGATTGGATTGAACTTCTTCCACCCCCCCCGACTGTACACTCTTGTTCCGTCGCTGAAATCCCACCAGCATGGAAAACCAATTGCAGTTCACTTCCAATCCCCCAGTGGGCAAGACAAATAAAAATTGGGTTGTACAGAAGTTTGGGGGTACCAGTGTCGGGAAATTTGCTCTTAATATCATTGATCAAGTCGTCCTGTAAGCAATGATCCCATAATCCACCCTGCGATAATACTCATTGTCCATCTTTAGACCGAGTCTCTCAGAAAATAAAGTAGCCGTTGTATGTTCTGCAAGAAGCAGTTCAACAAAAGCTGAAGGTACTACCAATCGGTGAGTCATCCCTGTTGCGATGAAGCCTCTCTCCCTCGGCGCGCGCGCGTACGCACCCACGCAGGTTCATTATATTGCATGTCTGATTTCGTGGCTACTGGATTGCTTCCATCTGTTGTCTTCTACTCTTCATCCTCTGACTCATGGGCTACTTTCAGATTATTACGAGCCGCGCGGGACGCAGAGAATGCTCAATCGCAACACTATGTTGCCTTTATCGAGGCGGTCAGACAGGAACATGCCCAAGAAGCCGAGGATCAAATCCACTCCGACGAACTCAAAACTCAGCTCATTGCCGAAATCAATGGTGATTGCGAAAAGGTGCTTAAGGTTCTCGAGGCCGCCCAGACCCTCGGAGAGATAAGTGCTCGCTGTGTAGACAAGGTCATCAGCACCGGAGAAAAGCTCAGCTGTCGATTGATGGCCGCCCTCCTTCAAGACCGGGGGGTGGATTCGCAGTACGTGGATTTGGCCGAGGTCATCGACTTTCCCATCTCGAGTCAAGGCCTCGACCAAGGATTCTATGACAATCTCGCCGCTGCCCTGAGCAGAAAGATCGGATCCTGCGAGGGGAAAGTTCCAGTCATCACCGGGTTCTTTGGAACCGTGCCCGGCGGTCTTCTCGACCAGGTGGGCCGTGGATACACGGATCTCTGTGCCGCTCTAGTAGCCGTGGGAATCCATGCTCAAGAATTACAGGTGTGGAAGGAAGTCGATGGCATATTCACTGCCGATCCCCGGAAGGTGCCAACTGCGCGCCTTCTGTCTGCCATTACGCCTGCGGAAGCAGCCGAGTTGACATTCTACGGCTCAGAAGTCATCCACCCTTTTACAATGGAGCAGGTCATACGAGCCAAGATCCCAATTCGCATCAAAAATGTCATGAACCCCAAAGGCAACGGCACTGTCATCTTTCCCGACTCTACCTATGAGCTGGAAAAGACGGCCCCCGGACATGACCCCCGATTATTCCGGACAAGAAGCCCTAGTCTGATGCAAAGACCGAAGCGCCCGACTGCTGTGACCATCAAGCATAAAATCTTGGTGATCAATGTACATTCCAACAAGCGTTCCCTGTCTCACGGATTTTTCGCCGGAATATTTTCCGTCCTTGATCGGTGGAGGCTTTCGATTGATCTGATATCCACCAGTGAAGTGCACGTGTCCATGGCACTCCACTCCGAAATACCGCTCCTCAACGGGGTTGGCAGGGATGAGTACCAGGTGATTGATGACGACCTCAAGGGCGCCTTGCATGATCTGCAGAGATATGGGACGGTTGATATTATCCCCGAGATGGCTATCCTCAGTCTGGTCGGCAAACAAATGAAGAACATGATTGGGGTCGCCGGCCGGATGTTTACTACTCTTGGGGAAAACAACGTAAATATCGAGATGATCTCCCAAGGTAAGTACTTTCTTCATCCCGTCCTGCATGGTCTAGAAGCTAATGGATGATCGCGTTCCAAGGTGCAAGTGAGATCAATATTTCCTGCGTTATCGAAGAGAGAGACGCCGACCGTGCACTGAACATAATACACACAACCATGTTCACCTTTCTAGACTAGATACCATTGATCTATCTCAATTTCGTTCCAAGCCTCCCCTCCCCGGGGGCTACCTACCTAGGGGGCTGCCCTCCCTCTCCCGAAGGCATCCCGCTAGGCCTCCCGCTTATCGTCTTTCCTCGCTCCCTGCCTGCGCAACCCCCGGCCTTTTTATTTTTATTTTATCGTTGTAAATTTTTTACCCTTCTTTGGAGTCCATGCGATTCGGGTGAGTAGCTTCAAAATCTTTTTATGACCAAATCACTTTGATACTCTGTGCGTGAATTGTCTCATGCCTTGTTTATATGATTCCAGAAGTCATGGTCACTTCCTCGGCTGCATATGATAACGTTGCGTTTTCGACTTGATGCCCTACTTTTTCTCTCTTCGACTTGCTCTGATAGACCTGTGGTCGTTCCTCGTTAGATTCTGCCTTTTGTTCTCCCAAATGTTTCATTTCTAAGCGTTACGTTAACTGTCCTGGTTTTCTTTTCAAAATAGAGGGGTTTCGATTTGGCAAGAAGTACATACATAGAACCTGAGAGATATTTTCGGACGCTATTAGCTATAATTCGTACGTTTTCAATGCGAAATCTGCTCGACATAAGACCGATCGGGCTTTAGGTATAAAGGGATATGGGACAGTGGACCTAAGCCGCTTGATACTTGAAACATGATTAGTTGGGCGACGGTACGTGCCTCGACCCTTCATCCCTTCGTATCAAGCACCACGCGCAATGTACAGGCAAGTGGGACTCCAAGAACCACTTGCGTAGGTACGGTGCATATTACATGGGGCTTAGAGATTATCCCGTGCAGACGACCTGTACTTGAAGTCTGAGGAGATTGGTAGTAGTACTCTACGGGTACAGTATGTAATGTATGTACATGATTCATCCGAGCCAAATGTTAATTGGAAGAGGAAAAGATACTACTCCGGAGTCGTGCGTTGTGGTGGATAAGAAGGTCAAGCATTTCATGGAGGGAGATCAATGGGGGGAGGGTCCATGATCTGCCGAAACCGCGGGACTGTACGGAGTAATGGAGTAAGGACTAAGGACCACTGGCTCCAGCCCGGCCGAAATTTAAAAAAGAAAAAGAAAAGAAGAAGAGAGTACGTCATGGTCTTGCAACCCAACCCGCAATACCGGTAATAAACCCCTTTCTTTCCCCCCCGGCGGTGGCGGGCTGGCGGCACCTGCAGGGCTGCAACGCGTGACGCGACCGCGTCGGAACCATACCATACACGGTACGGCGAGTCGCGAGGTGGAGGCTCCCCCCCCCCCCCCCAGTGCAATCAACACCACCTCTTCAATGCTTTCCTCCATTCCTCACTTCCCGGAGTTCCACTAGTCATACCTACTTATTAACGAAGTATTTCACTCATCCCCACCTTGATGGCAGAGTTGGATTTAGAGTCAAGCCATCTGCTCGCCTAGCTCCTCTTTTCCTCTCGTTCCCCATAAACATCGCCATCTTGCCCCCAATCGCCCAATCCAATCTCATCGCCGGCCGTTCTTTGTTCCCTACACGCGTCAATTTCCTGGCTTTCCCTCCAGAAACCCAGGCGCACTGAAGATCATTTGAATTACGTTCTTCTGAGGCCATCCGGTGGACACACATTTGCTTGTCTGCTCTTGCTCAACGATATCTGGAATCTCTTCGGGGCTGCCCCCTCCATGCCTCTTAGCGCTTTGTCGCCCAACTCGATCATCACCTTGGGCGCGACACCCCATCTGGGTTTGCATTTTCTCCCCCTTCCTCCGACCATCGCCTTGAACCTGCTCCCACCACCTTTGACTTACTAGCAACAAGTCAACTGCTGGTAGAGCGTCCTGGTCTCCTGTTTTTGATACCTTCCCTTGTGGTCTCTACTAGCAATTCAGCCCTCATTGTCGCTTGATGTCCAAAAACCTGGCTACGCGCACGGATTCTTTTGAACGCCAACCAGAGTCTGAGTCCAGCTGAGAAACCATGATCTCGGCGCGCTCTGGGCCAGCTGCGCAGACAAACTCAGAGGCGCCCTTTCCATCCAACCAAACTGCAGTCAACATACGCGCTTGTTTAGAACAATCGCCTTTGCCCACTGCCGAAAACACCGACCCGAACTGTGATTACGTTCTCAATCCGCCCTCTGCCGGTACGCACAGACCATCGCCAACCAAGGCGTCTCGTAGATCGAGCGCTTCGGTCTCTGGACGAGGGAAATTGGAATTCGTCTCCATTTCTGCGCCTGCTCCCCCATCTTTTCCCACGGATTCCCCGGCGAAAAAGCCGCCCTTGCATCCTTACGCACAATCTGCCGCCACTGCCCCAATGCCACACTCCGCCTTGTTCACGACATTTTCCAGCGTCAATACCGACAAGGAGTCCCTGCAAGGACATCAACTGGCCGATGAACCAACTAGCGATAACTTTGCTGATTTTCCCGAGCCAACCTTGACCTCCAAACCGCCTCTGAAAAGAGCGCTCCTAGAGGCGGCGCCATTGAAAGAGCGATCGATCAAGAAGCACAAGCGAGAAGATATTGTCTCCATACGCCTGCCTGAGCCTCATGAAATGCCGCCAATCGAAGATGATGGCACAAAGCCTCCGTACAGCTATGCCACATTAATTGGAATGTCTATTCTGCGTGCACAAAACCGACGCTTGACTTTGGCGCAAATATACAAGTGGATTTCTGATACCTTCTCGTACTATAAGAATAGCGACCCTGGCTGGCAGAATAGCATTCGGCATAATCTCAGTCTCAACAAGGCGTTCATCAAGCAAGAGAGGCCTAAGGACGATCCGGGAAAAGGAAACTATTGGGCCATTGAATCTGGAATGGAGGCACAGTTCCTCAAGGACAAGCCTCTGCGTCGTGCTACTATGTCAAGTCTTCCCCTACCGGCGCCTCTCCAGAGAGAACATACTCACCCACCGACGCAAAATGCTTCCTCCACTGCTTGGGCTATCCCAACGCCGTCTTTTCCTCCGACTGGGCCGAAGCCATCCAAGAATGTTGATTTGTCCTCTGACGCAACACTACCTGCCTCAGATCCCGCGCTTCAGGAAGACACTGTCGATGAATGCGTCCCAGCTCCCGCACCTCACGCTCTTCCACCACGCTCCTCTCCACCTCAGCCCATTCATTCTTCTCCTCCGATTGTATCACCTCGATTCACCCGTCAAGGAACCCCCCCTACGCCGTCGCAGGTAGCCGCTTCCGGATTCATCTCTCGCACCAGAAAACGGAAATCGATTGCTATGAATGATAGCGGCTATTTCTCATCTCTAGAATCTTCGGCCATGCGCCCAAACAAGGCAGGGCATATCCTGACTTCCGACCTGGATATCGAGCCACCTCGCATCAAGCGAGGCCGGGCCGAGGAAGAGATTGCGCGAATCCGAAGCTCTTCCCATGATGCTAGCCCAAGCCGATCAGGTGTCTTGAAGGATGCTGGGTTGATAGTCGGTTCTTCGCCCCTCCGTGGGGAATATGTCAGCATGCTTCCACCTCCTCTCACCCCTATTATTAAATTCAAAAAACCCGCAAAACCCCCGCCATCAGTGTCACCCAACACAAACCTTCGGAATCACCGCAAAAAGATTCAACAGATGGTAAACTCTCCCATCAAACATCTCGGTTTAACCGACGAGGATCTTCCGTGGAGTCCGGCATTTAACATCCAGGACGAAACATTTACACCGAATGATAACCTGCATGCATCCTTTGATGTTTTTGCAGACCACACCGCGGACAATATGTCGGCCTCGGCATACGGATCGCCTGAAAAGCGCTCTATCAAGCGGGTTAGAAACGAGGCCAGCGGGTCTGGTAGCAATGTACTCACAGACATCACCGCCGTGAATGTAAACAGCCGGACCGGCGCGCCGTCTATGCCAGCAAGCAAGTCGAAAGGCCTGCTTTTCCCTGATTCCCCGTCCAAGGTGCCTGATTCTGGCCGCTTTGTCGACACAGCCAACGACGACTTTTTTTCATTCCATCTCTTTGATGAAAGCCCTGGAGACGTGGATGGGGTTGACCTCCTGCAAGGATTTCAAAAAATAGGCGGCGCAAGCCGGGATGATTTATCCAGATCCAAGCCAAGGCCTCATCTGAACCATCGCAGCAACACTTCTTTGTTCTAAAAGGATCTTGGGGTCTCCGTTTCAAAAACCAGCCAGAAGAATAAGGGCCAAACGCGAAACAAGGATGATGCTGTTCCATTCTAAGATGCCGTTCCTATCGGCTTGGTCCTGACTGACTGACTTTGGCTAACGAGTAACGTTTTGATGGGATTTTCTAGGGTGAGAGCTGGAGTTTATCTTAAAAGGGTCTTGGTGTTTATAATTTCGTCTTTTTATTGCTGATCTTCCTGGAGTTTGGAACTGAGTTCATGGTTGGAGTTGGGACTGCGCCTGACTTTCACTGGCCTGAAATGACCTGTTAACGACTTTTATGATGACATTTGCTAAGATGTACATGAGCGAGCCAGACAGAGAGATCGCAGGTAAGGGCGCGTGTTTTGAGCTTCAATCTGGGTTGTTTTTTTTTTGGCCTTTTCTGCTTTCTGTTGTTTTTGCCGTTTTTCATCTTGTACTTGGGAGCTCCTCATGTTTATGACACCTTGACTTCAATTATGTTTTGTTTAATAGGCTTTACCTTAATCCAAAATCTTGACTTTCTCTGTTATTAGTGATACGACATGAAATTTGGTATGGGTGTAGATTATCGTAACTGTATTCTTTTTTGGAGGGTATCACATTGCTCATAAGGAACTGAGACTTGAAGAGAGAAGAAACGAAACAGATGGGTACAGATGGGAGGAAAGGACAAAGGGGAAGAGGAAAAGACAGAAGAAAATATGATGATAAGGGAATGATGATCATCCGTCTCACACAGACATCTTGGGCACCGCTTCATGCTTTCCCAATTCGTATTATAAGCAAGGGTGGTAAATCTTGCAGCCCCGCCTATCCAGCCCTCCTTTTTGGCCCCCAGAGGCTGCTGGGAAAGATATGGCAGGCGGGAATTAATCACTACTGCCGCAGCCTCGGCATCCGCAACTGACACATTGAATCATTTGATCCTCCTTGAGTTGAGCTTTCGGGACGCGGCAGATGCACGTGGAGTTGAAGTTCGTTTCCTTCGTCTGAATACAGCGCAGGCAGCAAAGCTACATAGAGATGGTTAGCGGAGACAAGACGTTGGGTGTTGGTAAATCGGGAGTGAAAGTTGGACTAGAGCCGTCTATGGAATGACAGACACCCACCTTCTCATATCCTTGTTTCTTCCATTTGGCAATCAAATTGGCGTCTGCGTAGTTGTTCTTGAGAAGCCAGTCATACAGCTGCTTTGATATAGCCTCTTTTTCGTAATACAGGTCGTAGATGTACCGCGAGCCTGGCGGGGCCGTAATTAGCCATGATACTTGATGGGCCAGCAAGGAGGGTATTGTTTGCTTACGCTGGTGGCTTATTTGGAAGATGGGCCATAGCATCTCATGCTTCTTCTTGCCGCCATGCGACGCATTCTCGGCGTCCTTCATCTTATTGCTAAACTCTAGCAGTGTGTCCTCGATGTCATCGAAGCCTGCCGGAGGCGGCTTGCGGTTGCGGGATGTACGTATCGGTGGCATTGTTGCGATTTGGATAGAAGCTGTCTGCTGGGAACTGACGGGATTCCCCGGGTCTCGAGGTCTGCAGCGTGTTGTTGGAGGAAGCTAGACAAAAATCCAGCTGGCAGCAAGAGGGATCGAGATACCCTGGTGGCGAGGACCTGCAGCTCTTTTCTGCCTCTCCCTACCGCCTACGGCACGGACAAGCCTTGATCTTCCAAATGGAGCAGCAGAAGAACCGCTAGAAAACGCCTGCCATTCAATTGAAATTCCTCCAACCCGAAAGACGCGCCTTCCATCATCACGCTCTACTTCTAATCCGCTTGAGAAACCCCCTGAAATCAACAATGGATCAACAGCTCGACGTCTCCAAGCTCAGCGATGGCGACAAGAAGGAATTGAACCAGTTCTTGACGAACGAAGCTCAAAAGTCCAACATCCAACAAAGTAAATCAATTTGCTCCCCAACCCTCGACATCATTGATTGCTTACTGACCCTCTGCCAGCCGTTCACCACCTTGCCGACATCTGCTGGAAGAAGTGCATTACTGGAAAGATCTCCTCCGGCCGCCTAGACCAATCTGAAGAATCATGCGCTCACAACTGCGTGGAGCGATGGATGGACACCAATTTGGCCGTACTGAAACATCTCGAGACTTTGCGTGGACAATAAGCTTCTTCGTGCTGGTGAGCGAACTATTGTTTGATAGGTACTTTTTGTCGGCTTTACCTCTTTCCTGGGCTTGACACGGGTGGGTTCGGAAGAGGGAACAATACACAGTACGTCCATATATACTTTTAGCCTACCGGCCTGCCAACCTGGGATTTTATTTCATTCCCACTGGTGATAATAGAGAATGTAACATTATATATTACTTTCAAATCACCGACTTCTGCATGTATCAAGTAACCCATGGGACCATACGGGTCTGCTCAGTTGCTCGAGCCTGCAGCAGCCCGTGCTGCAAATGACATACTTGCTCGTGAGGATCAACCATGGTAAACACTACAAAACTATTGTGACCAATTGGACATCTCATTACCGGTAGAATCGTGCATTCAAGTGAAATCTTTTTAACGATCATTTAGCCCGTCATTGCAGCGTTGGCAGTTAACTGCATGATCGATGTTTATGAACCACCGCGTAAAAACAGAACCATTCACCCAGACCCATAAGAAACTAAATCATCTAGACAATAGCAAGCTTGGTGGCAGCAATGTCCAGGGCATCCACATCAGGGGTTAGCCGGGCGAAAGCCTTCTTCGAACCATCGGGCCTACGGACAAGTTAGAAGACTGGGATTTTCACAGAAAACACAAGAGTCTGGAGGTGGTGTTGATTCTCCTGGAACAGTCATACCTGACAAGGGTGTTGACCTTGACGGTCTCGACGTCGTACAGCTTCTTGAGGGCGATCTTGATCTGCCTCTTGTTCGCCTTCACGTCGACGATGAAGACGAGGGTGTTGTTCTCCTCGATCTTCTTCATGGCGCTCTCGGTGTTGAGGGGGTACAGGATGACCTGGTGGGAGTCGAGGCGGGGTCCATGAGGGATCGACTTGCGGGGGAACTTGGGCGACCGGGAGAGCTCAAGGGTCTTGGGGCGGTGGAAAGTCGTCGAGGTGCGGACCTTGCGGGATTTGTGCGCCTGTTATCGAACTCCGGGTTAGTATGGAACACGGCTAGTATGAATGTCGGCCTTGGTGTTAACGTACACCTGCACCCTTCAGGACTGCCTTGGCGGCAGCACCAGCCCGGTTGCTGGGGTTGGTCTTGCCTATAATGAAGAGATAAAGTCAGCGCATCCGCAAATAAAGAGCAACTCATATGATGTCTTCCGGGCAAAAGCAATTCAAATTGTTTCCCTCCTCTTTGTTCGGCGCCTCCACGACTTTTGGTCTTGTCCCTTCTTTTTTCTGTCTTTTTCTTCTATTCTTTTTCTGCTGGGGATAAATAACATGACACATCTGGCTCGAATGACGCTTGTTCATGGTGTATTGTGTGCGACTCGGTCATGTGTGAGGATGCGGGTGATAAAAAAAGCCTTCTCGCTGCCTTCACACACTTGCGACTCGAAATTCGATAGTTGTTCATGATTGACGGGCAACAAAACAAAACGAATGCGCTCATTGTGCACCTACCTTGCTTGTTTTCCACCTTAGGGGCCATGGCTGTCGTCCGGCGCTGTCGTGATAATTGTCGCAGTGTCGAGAGTCAAGTTATTTGCAGTGAGTTCGCTTAGCGAAAACCCTACGGGTTGGGTTGCCTCTGTGTGGGTCACCTGACCTGCTTCTCCGGCCTGCACTTCCTGGATATCTTGGCGCTCCCAATCGGGACTAGGGTTTCTCCCTTTTCTTTTTCTTTTTATGCAGATTACTAAGATCCGGCATGGCGTCTTTCCGCGCTCTACTGGACTTCCCTTCTACTTAAGGTATGAAAGAGTTACTCCATAAAAGACTCTGGCATCTCTAACAGTAGTTAGTGACCTACCTAGACAGTAGCCCATCTTATCTGCTATACACTCTCCTCTTCATCGAACCATTCTGATTCATTATTTTCATTACATTCATTATATCTCGGCTCATTCTCCACTCTTCACAATCATGGTCTCCAAGAAACATCGCGCTAAAAAACCTGTGTTGTTATCTCGCACCCGCCCATCCGCGATCAGAGGGGAGCGTGCAGCGCTGTCATCCAAGGCAACTCGGAATTTGATCCGGTCCCATCATCGACTGCTCAAGCGACGGGCTCAAGCGCAGCAGGCAGGAGATGAGCTTCTGGTCAATCAACTCGATCGCGAGATTCGCGAGAACGGCGGGCTGGAAAGTTACCAGCTCGCCAGCAAACTCGGGCAGTCCCGAGAACGTGGTGGCGATTCAAGTAAGGTCCTGGTCAATTGGCTGGGCCCGCATTTGCCTCGTGGGAAAGACACACAGGCAAGGCTCCGCGTGCTCGAAGTCGGGGCGCTCAGCACCAAGAATGCGTGCTCTACGAATCAATCCCTAGAGGTTACCAGGATTGATCTGAACTCCCAAGGCCCGGGGATCTTGAAACAGGACTTTATGGAGCGACCACTGCCTCATGATGACGCTGATCGATTTCACATCATCAGTCTTTCGTTGGTACTCAACTACGTCCCAGATGCCATTGGCCGAGGTGAAATGTTGAAGCGATGCGTGGCTTTTTTGACATCGTCGTCGCCATCTGACTCTATCCCGCCCGTCACGCCCCGACTGTTCCTAGTTCTACCAGCTCCATGTGTCAACAACTCGCGATATCTTACTCATGGCAGACTCCACGATATAATGACTAGCATGGGATTTTCTTTGTCTGAGAACAAGGAAACTTCGAAGCTGATATATCAACTTTGGGAATACAACCATAAATTCCAACCATGTTCTTGGAAAAAGGAACTCTTGAATGATGGCAAAACAAGGAACAACTTTGCCATTACCGTCAAATGAAAAACTCCACGGGAACTCCTATCATGTGGAGATCATGTCCTGCGGAAGGAATGCCCAAGCCGTTCCTATGATCGCTAACATTGACGATAAAATCAGAAGACACCAGTCTAAAACCCGCTCCCTTGGACTGATTTCATGCCCAAAGATTTTCAGATAGAATGCGAGCGGCAAGATCACGCATATCGTAAAGCACAAAGCGGATCCCATCAATGCCATGATTCTATCGAAAGACGGGAAGAGAATGGCCATCAAAACTACAGCAGCCAGCACAACCACACGTATCATGGCCTTGAATGACTGCAGAGCCATAGCTCGAACTCCCTCGGAGCGGTTTGAGATTGCGTGAGGATGTGGCTCCAAACCACAGAGTACTTCCACGGTGGCCACCAAGGGGCGGCAGCTGATATTATGTCAGTGAAGTTACACCGGGAGTTCTTGGAGAGGCTTACTTCAAAGGAACTTTGGTTATTGGTATAACTGCAATGGAAATGATGATGCAAATCGATAATACTTGTGGATAGTCCGGGGATAGCAACACATTGGCTGTGATTTCATCTCTCACTGCATCACCAAACATGGCCCAGCCGATTATAGCCATTGCGCAATCGAGGCAATACTAGGACATACATCAAATTAGTTTTTCCTTCTTTCTTGGTTTCTTTCTTCCCTTTTAGAGGATTTACCACTTACCGTGAAAAGGTATGTGATCCAAAGGCTCTTCCCATACTTCTGTGGGTGTCTCATATCCCTGTATATGTTTGGGAAAACTCCATGGCCTCCCCAAGGCGCTAGATAGAGGTCAGCTATAAGTTTCGAAGGGTTATTCTGCAAACGTACACATAATCAATCCAAAACTAAGGGGCAGAGTCCCCCAGTTTTTTGGAAACAACGAGGTCTCGGCTGGTTCACGAAGTGATCCCGGAGTATGGGGCGTGATAAATCCATCGATGCATATTATAATTACGACTTTGAAGGCGGCATCTCTATTAGTTTCAATCAACTTCGAAGGAACGCAAGATAAATCCCATACTTGAGGTGCAAGAAAGTATCCCTAGAATACTAGTCACACTTAGAAGCCGGAGAGGCACAAAATTCAGTGGGACAAGTAGTAGCCCGCATATTAACTTCCACTGAAGGATGCTTATCGTGGGAATGAGTGCATGAAGGCTGTCTGCGAAAAGCACAACCAGGGCAACACAGGCTCCTATAAGCTCCAAGCAAAATAGAAGACTTGTTATTAGGCGTGCATGGTGCCCGAAACTAATATAAGCCAGATCAGCATACGTGACCAGGCTGCGGTCGATATCGAGGCATTTGGCAAGAATTTTGGCTGTGTATGAGGTGGTCACGGCAGCAAACAAAAGAAACAATAGACCAAAAAGCCAGCCGGCCTGTTTCATTGCTAGCGGCAGGCTTAGAAGACCGACGCCAATCAGGACGTTGACGGAATTGAAAATGGTCTGAGGTACTGTCGATTGACCAACAACAACGTTCGATTTAGTACCATCCTCATGCTGTATACTTTTGACAGATAGAGGCTCTATGTTGCCGTCCAAAGGTACATCTATATGTGCTTGATGCTCCCGGTGGAATTGAGTCACATTCCTCCGTGTGGCTTCACTAACGCGAGAGGATATTGTGCCGTAAGAGGTCCCCAGGCTTCTGTCGAATGATGTTCCGAGGACACTTTTTCTTGACGGGTTGTCGTTGTCATTTGGCAGGTTGCCTGCCTCGGTCTCTCTTTCGGGAGTCAGGAGTGGTCGTGTCTCATCAATCTCCGGGCGAAACAGACGAGAGCCTTGTGCGTCAGCCACCTCATTTGCTGCAGTGAGCCATTCTTCATCCGAATCTGCTGTAAGAAATGAGGAGCGGCGGGGAAGTACTTCCGGAAAACCTGCGGCGCGTTGCCATGACCGAGCAAAGTTATCGATGCTATTAACGCCGCCAGCTTGTCTGAAACGCATAGAGAGCGATTCTGACCTAGCATAATTCATGAGTATAAGCTATAGTTCATCCAATTGACTAGGTTGGTTGAGTTGGAGTCTGCGTATGTGAGTTACCTTGGCCTCTGGAAGTCACCACCACCAGTGATATAGCCAGCAAAGCCCGACGAGCTGCCGTAGGAATCAAAAGTTGATTCGAAGGGTGAACGAGGAACTGGGATCCGCACTCCTTGGGTCTCAGGCTCATAGTGGTCGGGCTCTTCAGGATCCCTATCGACTAATGTCGGAGGCAATGACATCTTCTAGTGTTGGGACGTGCGTGCTAGTTAAGCTAGTCAACAGAACAACGAGATGAGTGGCGAAACCCTGGCAGGACTACTTCAAGGGGGATGCGCATTCATTTATAGCTTCGTTACCATCATTCTTTCCAATAGCGAAGGTTCTTCTAGGCGCGATAAGGGCACCAGGGTAGTAAATAAGGTGGCGATGATGACCGAAAAGAATTGCAAATGGCAAAGGATGCAGACCACCTCAAGAATTCAGGATTGGGAATCAAAGTATTAAGGATGAATGGATGGCTGCTAGTGCTCTTGCTAACGAAGTGGGGTTAGTTCAAGATAAGGATAAGGTCAATAAATAATCAGTGTACCTAGTTAGTGGTTAAAAGGAAGGTGGACACTTGATAGCGACGGCAGGTACGGAGTAGATCAGATAGAGAGATAAACGGATTGACAGAAGATTGTTTGTGCTCCGCACAAGTCAGTTATCACCTCGGCAGCTCTCTGGGGGGGTTGCATTGTCGCATGAAAATAATAATCAGTCTAGAAAGCATCATGATTTCTTTGCCAGATTAAGGACTCGCGTCATAAGCAGGAAGGCGGAGATGTACATAGGTACAGTACATACATAATTGTAATGTACTGTTATGTGTCTGTCTGTATCTATGGATGTGTGAACACTTACTCCGTACTGCCTGATATGTACACCTAGTATGTACAACTGTGAGTAAAATACAGTAAGGTATATACCACCTCAGTACAAGATGGAGGGAGCACCCAACGGGTACAGTAAGGTACGGATGCTTACATCGATATACATACACATCGAGGTACTCCGTACATACGTCACCAGGTAAGGTACACACACCAGGCAAAACTCAGGTGCTTATGTCATCCCCAACAGGCGACTTCGGGTCACACCCCACGGTGCCTGATGAAATTTACTGAACTCCCCCCCGCGCTGCACTACTTGGACGGCAAATCGACCAGCCTCAAGGTAAGTGGAATACACTCAGCCACGTGTTGACTATCCTCCCTTTTGCAAACACTTTCATGTGTCCCTCCTGCTGCTTCCGTCGCTAACAAGACCCTATTCAGCACCGGCGGACTTCTTCATTCCTCCTCCACTTTCCACCCCTCTCCTGGTCGTTTTGACATCGTCACCTCGCCCAAAGATGAGCGCGGCCCAGGCGAACGAAGCGGAGAAGAACATTGAGATTTGGAAGGTGAACAAGCTCATCAAGCGCCTCGAGGCAGCTCGCGGAAATGGAACCTCCATGATCTCTTTAATCATTCGTGTGTTTTCCCGTCCCATAATGCTCGTCATATCATTGCATATAGCCGCTAACCTCTTGGCTCTGTAGCCCCCAAGGATCAGGTATCCAGGGCAGCCAAAATGCTGGCGGAAGAGTTTGTAGGTTTTTCTCCTTCGGCAAGATACTTGGCCGAAGTTGCCTTGTCGCGATTGTATGCTTATGGAAATTCCAGGGCACTGCTTCCAACATCAAGTCCCGTGTCAACCGACTTTCAGTTCTGTCCGCCATCACCTCCACGCAACAGCGTCTCAAGCTATACAACAAGGTCCCGCCTAATGGCTTGGTCGTCTACTGTGGTGAAATCATCACATCCGAGGGTAAAGAGCGCAAGATTAACATCGATTTCGAGCCCTTCAAACCGATCAACACGTCGCTTTACCTCTGTGACAACAAATTCCATACGGAAGCACTGAGCGAGCTGCTTGAGTCGGATCAGAAATTCGGTTTCATTATCATGGACGGAAACGGTGCTCTCTTTGGCACGCTTAGTGGGAACACTAGAGAAGTGCTCCAGAAGCTGAGCGTCGACCTGCCGAAGAAGCACGGTCGTGGTGGACAGTCTGCTCTCCGTTTCTCCCGTCTTCGTGAAGAGAAACGTCACAACTATGTCCGTAAAATTGCTGAGCTGGCCGTTCAGAACTACATCACCAACGATAAGATCAACGTTGCTGGCTTGATTTTGGCCGGTTCTGCCGACTTCAAGAACGACTTGAACCAGTCGGATATGTTCGATCAACGCCTGCAGTCCAAGGTCATTAAGGTGGTTGATGTTTCTTACGGAGGAGAAAATGGCTTCAACCAGGCTATTGAACTTGCATCCGAGACATTGAGCAACGTCAAGTTCGTTCAGGAGAAGAAATTGATTGGCAAATACTTCGAGGAGATCAGTCAGGACACCGGAAAAGTCTGCTACGGTATTGAAGATACACTTAAGGCCCTCGAGCTCGGTGCTGCAGAGACCCTTATTGTCTATGAGAATTTGGACATTACCAGATTCACTCTAAAGAATTCCGAGGGCGCTGAGGTCGTCGTTCATTCATCGAAGGCTCAAGAAGCCAATCGGGAGTTGTTTACCGATAAGGAAACCGGCACGGAAATGGAGGTTGTTGATTCGACGTCGTTCCTGGAGTGGCTTGCCGAAAACTACAAGGATTTCGGTGCCACCCTGGAATTCGTTTCGGACAAATCCAGTGAGGGTAATCAATTCGTCAAGGGCTTTGGTGGTATCGGTGCCATTCTCCGATACAAGGTCAATTTCGAACAGCTTGCCGACTATTCTGACGAGGACGAATTTTACGACGGTGCGTGAAATTTTATCATCTTTTCGTGTCTTTTTCTGAGTTGAGCCAACAACTAATGGATACTCTACAGATTGACGGTTCAGCGACCTCGCAGGGAGCGAGGATGAACGGCCAGAAGTTCCCCAAGCGGATCTTTTGACGGCTCGCCCTATACAAGGTGACGGGGGTTTCCATGGCCAAACCATGGTTCCCCTGGTTGATGATACCTTGACGTCGTCTGGAAAGAGCTCTGAAAAAGGGCTCTTAGGTGTGTTAACCATTCAATGCTTATGCTTACTCTACGTTACTGACAACCAACAGGGCCATCCAAGCTCCGTAACATTGTGACTGGGGTTGCCTAAATGCATACTTCAGATAACTCGAGATCTGTTTTGAACTTTCAAGGGGCGGTGGATCGTCAAACAACCTCTGCAACAATTCCTTCGGATTGTCGGACTTTGATGACTTAAGCTAACAGGTGGAAGATTGTTTCATCTCGGCACACTCTGCTGGGTCGGGCTTGCTTTTGCTTTTATGCTACTGGTTGTTGTTTTTTTTTTCTCATTCTCCATAGGCATGCTTTTTGTAGGATGACAACAATGTGTCGCATTCATCGCCTCATAGGGTGTCTTCATGATCTTTAGTAGTCAGGTAGTAGATGCTTTTTGTAATCTTATTGGTCGCTCGATGAGCTCATACTGTTCCACGTCCCCAGGTCCCTGCTATTTTCAGTAACATCCTTCAGCCCCGCCAGAACCTCGGTGACTGCCTCCTTGTCATCGTAAGCCGGAGCCATCTGGCACTCGACCAGAAAGACGTATTGCCAGGGTTTCCTCTGGCTTGGACGGGTATTGATACTCGTGAGATTCATGCCATGCTTCTTGAAGATCAGCAAGGCGTCTGCCAGCGCCCCGGGGGCGTTCTGATAGACCATGAACGAAATCAGTGTTTTCCTGATGGTGGTTGAAGGCGAGGGGGTAATCTTGATCTTCTCAAAGGGCAGTCGAGTTGTGCGTTCCGAATTCATATTCCTCAGAACCAGAAACCGCGTTGTATTATTGGCGTTATCCTCGATATTCTCTTCTATTATTTCAAGTCCGTGGTGCTCGGCAGCAAACCGACTAGCTATTGCGGCACTCCGTTCTGTAGTTTCGCTGGCAACGATCTCGCCCGCCTTTGAGGTCGACGAGACGTCCTGTCTTTCAACGCCCTTGAAATGTTTCGCAAGAAATTTATCGCATTGACCCCACGCTTGCGGGTGTGTGTATAGTTTATTTATTGAGTTGAGGTCCGTTTGTCCATTTCTACCCAAGAGACAGTGGTGCACGCTCAGATAGTGCTCGCCACACACTCTCACATCTGGGTATGAACCGGCGGGGTCGGCCAGAAGGTCGAGCGTTTGAACAACCGACCCATTGGAAGAGTTCTCGGAGGGAACGATCGCATAATCCACCTCCTGCTGTTGCACGGCAGCAAAAGCGTCTGCGAACGATGGGCGAGTTTGTAATTCTACCGAGGTCCCAAAGGATTCAACAGCGGCCTAGGACTCCAATTAATGACGTTATGGGTTGAGGGAGGAGGGGCAGCTTCTAACCTGATGGGAAAACGAAGCCGCAGGCCCCAGGAAGGTGACTGTAACGAGCGCCATGAGACCGAAAGTATCTGCGAAAGATCAGGGCAACCGCCAATTCCGCAACTCAAAAGGTGATCAGGAGTTCGGTGGAAATTTCTCACATCTTCAGCTGAAAAGGGTGGGTGGCTGTAGATCTCCAGACAAACAAGTCAAACTGCGACTTATGGATTTATCCGGCGCCAATTTATTGGATTTTGACTCTTGTTGATTGCCCTTCCTACTCCCCCTCCTGCTCATCCTCCTTCCTCTTCCCTCCACCCCTCCCATTGCCTGGTTCCGTCTATCTTTTATGTAGATGTTTTATGCGTCATAATGAGAAGACCGGTGTTGCGCATCCTGGGCCTTGGGCGCAAAGCCAACCCCGTATTACGGGCACACTCGACCCTTGCCGGTGAACTGGGTCGGGATATGACATCGCGGAGTTTGCCTCTAACATTTGACTATCTGCATACTCAACCCTCGCATCTCCTTGATTTGACATTAAGGGACATTCTTCCCCATTCTCGGCCTCTAGGGAGAGAAAACTCGGTTCTTCCCTCGGTGGAATCCGCCGTCCCTTTGCCGGCGGGCCATCACTTGGTCTATTTTCCTCCTCAGGTCACGCTCTCGCAACTATTAGCAGACGGCACTGATACTCTTCATAGCCCAGGCGCACCCTTTAACAGGCGTTTGTGGGCTGGTGGGAGAGTCAGATTCCCGACTCGTAGTGGATTGGCTCTTGACGGTAGTCGAGCCGTCTGTATCGAAACGATTCGCGACATAGTGTGCAAAGGACGACCAGGAGAGGAGAAGGTCATTGTCAGGATAGAGAGGCGCATGGGTCCAGTTCAGGAGTCCGAGCAAGAAGACAGTATCCGAAAACGCATCTGGAGGGAGAATGAAGAAGACTTCGGGCTGTCGTCCATCATCGAAAACCGCGACTTGATCTTCATGCGTGAGAAATCTCCCGAAGAACTAGCTCGCGACCAGGTGAATTTTCAAACCCAACAAAGAATTGTAAAATGTGCGCATAATAAAAACATCTGGCTCCCATGGTATTTTGTACTGATTTGCTCTCTCTCTTCCTCTTTTTCTTTGAAAAGCACCGTCGGACGCTGCATTTAGTTATAACGTCACGCCCACCAAGGCTTTACTGTTCCGCTTCTCTGCACTCACATTCAACGCCCACGCTATCCACCTGGACGAAGCCTACACGCGAGACATGGAGGGGTTTCGAGGTCTTCTCGTCCATGGTCCTTTGACCTTGACTCTACTACTTACAGCTATCCAGCCTCATTTGGTCAAGCTTAATCGAACGGTCAGAGAGATCGAATACAAAAACCTTACTCCAGTGTACGCCGGAGAGACGTTATCAGTATGTGGGAAACCCAAACCAGCTAATCCCAATGCCGCTTGGGATGTGTGGATTGAAGGTAAAGATGGAGGTCTAGCCGTTCGAGGAGCTGTTAGATTTGATGCTTTGTAGTATCGCGAGAAGTCCGGCTGTTATGGAGTAAAAGGCTTTTGTCTCGTCATTCTGGGTATTTGCGCTCTATGGGTGTACGATATCAACATAGTTGTCTGACAGTGGTCAATCATATTATTTCACATTGTTGCACCCATTTCGGATGATGACTATATATATACATGTCAATAGATTGAAGTGCGTACAATAACAACAACGGTACCTCGGTAGGACGCAACAGGTGCTGGTTTTTAGCCACACCCATTACCTTTAAATAGATACTGTCAGGGATGGCCTGCCAACTTCTGTACCTAGGATACCACGAATCTGTTCTCATTTCTTCGGGTTGCTTCTCTCCCGCGAAAGGGAATCAAGGACCGAAAGAGGCTAGACCGGCCCGTGAGGGTCAGCTGACCAGCCGTCTCGGCAAAACCATTACTCCACCTGCACAGCTACGGATCGGGAAAAAAGCTCCCCCGAGGCACACGTTTATAATTTCTTTCAAACCGCGGGAGTTTCTTGTTTTTCTCCCTCCTCACTGCTCATTCGGTCAACGACTTCAAGCACCGGGAACAATTCCTGCACACGTTTTAATGTTTAACGTGTGTTGTGCTCAACTCTAACCGGTACCTCGTCCACATCTGGCAAGAATTGGAGAGAGGAAACCAATCAGCTGCCCAAGATGGATCGCTTCTGGTCTGCTCCTCCGGTTTCGAGGTACCATCTACCCATTCAGTGGCGTGTGAACCAGCTTCGGTGGCTCTGAGCTAACCTGAAGGAAGGACTCTCACTGCACTGACATGTATCCAGTCTGCTCTGGTGTACGGTGGCCTGTTGAGTGGCATACGGGTCCTGTTCTTGCCAGAGCTGGTTGTCAAGTTTCCCCCAGAAGTCTGGAGGCCTTTCACCTCATTCTTACTGACAGGGCCGCGGCTTGACTTCCTATTTGATCTCTACTTCAGTATAGAATTGTCTGGGCCCGGGCTAGCATCCATGCTGACTTCCTGGTAGTGTTCACCTACAGCAGTTCGCTTGAGACAGGCTCGTCGCGGTTCAGCTCACCGGGTGATTTTTTCACCTACACGTTCTTTGTAGCTACTATCATCGTGGTAAGTCATGAGTGGAACTGGTCTCTCGATCGTCCCTCATTAGATCGGTCGTTCCGTCTGTTTTTTTTTTTTTATCCTTGCCCTCCCTCTCCTTGCGTTATTGTTTTCACAACCAGGGTTTCATAAAATCCCAAACCTCGCATATCTGCCCGCCCAGACTGTACTAGCTGAAGCGGTTCCTGGAAGCGAGGAAGATCACCTCTGTATCCCGTATAGCGCCTACGATCCTTAAACAGGGCTATATGCGTTACAGAAATGGTGGGATGGCCTATTGAGATAGCCTAGGTGATCAAAAAATTCACCTAGGTGGTTATGGTGCCCTACATTCTTTTTATATCTTATGTATCATCAATTTCATCCATTATTGATCTGAATTTCTCCCTCGAACAAAACCACAAAAGTAGCAGTGACGTGCCCATGCTAACAGGCATACAAGCTTACCGCAGGTTTTCTGTTGAATAGCGTAATTTTTACCCATGGTGAGCTTGCCACGGCACGCTGCTCGTTCCATCATACTGATAGGCAATAGCTTTGATCCTCGCCTTCATCTACACCTTCGCCCAGGACAATCGAGGCCGAAAGGCCAATTTCTTTGTGATTCAGATTCCCATCGAATTCTTGCCATGGGCAACACTTGCCTTCACCCTCGTGCGAAGCGGATGGCCTGCGGCCTTGAACGATAGCATGGGGGTAGTTGCCGCCCATCTGTATGACTTTCTCACCCGCATTTACCCTACCTTTGGTGGTGGCCGGAACTACATCACCACGCCCGCCTTTGTGAGAAGGCTCTTTGCCAGCGGGGAGCGCCGGGGCGAGTATCGAGCGTATGGAACAGCATACCAACCGGGGAGCCAGGCGCAAAACATTCCTTCCTCTGGTTCAAGCTGGAGTTCAGCCTTCCAAAACCCGTGGAGTAGCAGGGGACCTGGTCGCAGACTCGGATAGATGGTGTGTCCTGGTTGATGCGATCATACGACCAGGCGATTGGAAGGTGGAAATGAAAGTGGCAGTGGAAGTGGGAGTGGCGGAGACTGGATGACGGTTGAAGGGAGACTGGAAGAATCAATGCACCAAGTAAGCGAGACTGACATATGAGAGAGTGTTGAATGTAACAATCCAACTTCCCTATGTACCTACCTAAGTCGTAGATACCGTACTGTACGGGTGCGGTCACGGGACTGTACGGACCGGGAGAAATTTCTGCGCTAAGCCGCATTCCGCACTGGAAAATTTCCCAGCGGCCGTCCGCCTCGCTAGCGCCAGAACAAAACTTTAGCGTAGTCAAATACAATTTTTCTTGCGCTCTCCCCCCCCCCAACACGCCTGGCTGCTCTATACACCCCCAGCCAACCTATTCGATATCCGAACAAGATGGCGGTTGTCGTGGCCAAGGAAGAGATGGACTACACCATTAAGCCAGAGGCCAACGCGGCCAGCATTAACACCGCGGATTGGCCGCTTCTGCTGAAAAATTATGAACAGCGTAAGTGCTTGTCTGGGGGAACTTGATAGCCCTGTAGCAATCACTCGTTGCACTCTTCCGGGACACGGTTCACTGATTGTTCTCGAAGTTCTTGTCAGGACGGCTCACTTCACTCCAATTCCCGCCGGTTGCTCTCCTCTCAAGCGTGACTTGAAATCGTACATCAACTCCGGTGTGATCAACCTGGACAAGCCCTCCAACCCTTCCAGTCACGAAGTTGTGGCTTGGATGAAGAGGATCTTGAGGTAAATACTCCCACGTGTAACCAGGAGGGTGTGGAAAAAAAAAAAAGAGTTGAATGCTGAACTTGGATCTTTTTAAAGGGCGGAAAAGACTGGCCACAGCGGTACTCTCGATCCCAAGGTCACCGGTTGCTTGATCGTGTGTATCGACCGCGCTACCCGCCTGGTTAAATCTCAACAAGGCGCCGGAAAGGAGTACGTCTGCGTGATCCGCTTGCACGACAAGATCCCTGGCGGCGAGGCCCAGTTCCGACGGGCCCTTGAGACATTGACCGGTGCGCTTTTCCAGCGCCCGCCTCTGATTTCTGCCGTCAAGCGTCAGCTCCGTATTAGAACCATCCACGAGAGCAAGCTTTATGAGTTCGATAACGAAAGACACCTTGGTGTCTTCTGGGTCAGCTGTGAAGCCGGAACGTACATCCGAACTCTCTGCGTTCACTTGGGTCTTCTCCTGGGTGTTGGCGCACACATGCAAGAGCTCCGCCGTGTGAGAAGTGGAGCTATGGACGAGAACAAGGGCCTGGTCACCCTGCACGACGTTATGGATGCGCAGTGGCTGTACGACAACCAGCGTGACGAATCCTACCTACGAAAGGTCATTAGTCCGCTCGAATCCCTTCTCACGTCCTACAAGCGTATCGTTGTCAAGGACAGCGCTGTGAACGCCGTTTGCTATGGTGCTAAGCTCATGATTCCCGGTCTTCTGCGATTTGGTATGTTTTCGATATGTGCGGTGCTGGTATCTCGAAAATGTCCTAATTTCTGACTCAATCACAGAGGCTGGTATCGACGTCAACGAGGAGGTTGTGCTCATGACCACGAAGGGTGAGGCCATCGCCATCGGTATCTCCCAGATGTCGACGGTTGAACTCTCAACCTGTGACCACGGTGTTGTGGCCAAGGTCAAGCGTTGCATCATGGAACGTGACCTCTACCCCCGCAGATGGGGTCTGGGCCCCGTTGCTTTGGAGAAGAAGAAGCTCAAGTCTGCCGGAAAACTTGACGTAAGTACCTAAATTTCTCGTTACCTGAGCTTCCTAGTCTAGCTTTGCTAATGGACCTCATAGAAATACGGACGTACCAACGAGGCTACCCCTGCCAAGTGGAAGAGCGACTACAAGGACTACACTGCACCTGAGGGAGAGTCCGCAACCGAGGCTCCCAAGGCCGAGGTGACTGCCGCACCTGCCGAAGCTACCGAACTCCCCTCATCTCCGAACAAGATGGAAGTTGACGATGAGAAGGATGACGATGACAAGAAGAAACGCAAGCGCCACGACGGCGAGACGCCAGAGGAGAAAGCCGAGCGTAAGCGCAAGAAGAAGGAGAAGAAGGAGAAGAAGGAGCGACGAAAGTCCAAGCAGGACAAGGACGATAGCGATGACAGTGACTAGACAGTCAACATCTTCAGGAAGTCCCTTGACTGGCTCTGATTGAGAGTTGTTTCCTCTGGCGTGCTTGTGTAGTCAAAACGGTGCTGTCGGAGCTTCACTTGGGGGCGTGTTCCTGTAATATACTTGCCATATTTCTTTATATCGTTTTGTGTTGTTTTTGTTCTTTCTCGGAGTCCTGGGTTGAAAAGGTGTATTGAATTAACACAACTAAGTCGCTTGTTGTCATACTACATCATTCTCCACGATCGAATCACTTCCGGTCCGTAACTACTAGCTGCAGACGGAGTGAAGGCGGTGATTATTCATGGCCTCGTGACTTTCCGCCTTCCCCACTCTACCCATCTACATCATTCATTCCATCTACTCTACCTTATCTACTCCGTACTCCACCCCCTCCCTCATTCACACATCCTTCCATCTCGCTATCTGGGGTCTTACTTTCCCCGTTCTTGTTGACAGGTGTTGGTCCTTCTAAACAACGACATAGTCGAGAACAGCACGTCATGGCAGCGGAGCTCACCTCCACCAAACTCAATGCGGAGAATCAGCTTCTTCTGGTAACTACCCCGTCGGCTTGTTGGGCAACGATGATTTCTTATTGAGAGAATTGTCTCTATACAGGACCAACCTCTTCTTCGGCTACCGCATGAACTCGCGCGACGAAACTTTAAATCGGTACAGCGACTCGTTGAGCGTGAAAGAGAACATGTCCTTCCCGCACTTAAAGAAACGGCGAATGCATCGCTGTCCAACAACCAGACGCCCGATCAGACACTTGCCGCACTCGACGCCATGATATCCCGTATGCAGGGCCTGAAGCGAAAGATGGAGAACCTACACCAGGAAGAGCGGAGGATTCATGACCAGTCGAAGAAACGCATACAGCATCTGGAGAGTCTCCACAAAATCCCGAGCCTTGCCGACGTCAAGTATGACCAGTGGTCCAGGGTTCGCTTAGACAGGCTCGTCGTGGATCACATGTTGCGTTCGGGATACACGGAAAGTGCTCAACAATTAGCCCACGAAAAAGACATCGAAGACCTGGTCGATCTCAATGTGTTCGTGCAGTGCCAACGGATTGCCGAGAGTCTGCGCCGTGGGGTGACCAAGGACGCTCTGCAGTGGTGCAGCGAAAATAAGGCCGCCTTGAAGAAAAGCCAGGTGCGTAACAAACCTCATCGTTTCGCTTCAGCCAGGTACCTGTTCGAGAACTGACCTGTAGCATGAAGTACAACCTGGAGTTTGAGTTACGCATGCAGCAGTACATTGAAATGCTTAGGTCCGGGAACAAAGAGAAGGTTGTCGAGGCGATGATGCATGCACAAAAATACCTGTCATCTTATGTTGAGACACAGTCGGCTGAAATCCATCGGGCTGCGGGTCTTCTCGCTTTCCCCCGGGATACTAAAGCTGAGCCGTACAAGGTAGGCACCTATGGACCATCACCTCCTGTCCCTAACGCCAATCTAACGTGTGTTTCAGTCGATGTATTCTTTCGATCGATGGACTCACCTGTCTGATCTGTTCGTTCGCACCCATCATGAACTCCTTTCTTTGCCTTCGCGGCCCTTGCTACACATCGCCCTATCGGCGGGGCTCTCGGCTTTGAAAACCCCGTCATGCCACTCTGCCTACACTTCTTCAAGCTCCAATTCTTTGTCCACTACGACGTCGGTGTGCCCAATTTGTTCAACCGAGTTGAACGAACTAGCGCGAAAAATGCCATACGCCCACCACGCCAAGAGTTACGTGGAGAGCGATCCAATTGTTCTGCCTAATGGTAGAATTTATGGCCAGCAACGACTGCTGGAAATGAGCAAGAAGGTTGGATGTGTTGAAGCAGGCAAGGTCAAAGACCCAACCACTGGGGAAGTCTTCGAGGAAAGAGAGATGAAAAAGGTTTATATCATGTAACCGACGACGACGATGGGCCGTCAGCGTGATGCACGGGCATGACGTACTGTACAATTAATCCAACGGTAACGCTTATACAGTGCTTTCTAATCGCTGTCACTCTCAGACGCGTCTCTCGACCTCTTCCTTCCCGCACTACCGTTCTTGCCTGAGGATTTAGGGTTCCTCATAGGTGCAGGATGGTCTTCCTGCTTGACCTCAAACACGTACATCCTAGCGTCTCTATCCTCACCTCGCCAGCCACCTCTTCCTCCATGCTTTCCTTCGATGTCCCCTATCGTCCGGGCATGGGAATAATCTTTATAGGAGCTCCATGGGAATTTGAAACTTGTAACAACCCTCAGACCGGCGTGGCGTGCCAGGTCCCTGATGTTCCAGAGGGTGTAAGGCTCTCCCTCGAACATGGTTACTAATATTTGTCCAGGCTCCGTCCTTATTTGGCTTTTCGCTGGACCCGGAGCGTCTGCCGAAGGAGAATTCTGCTCATCCAAGTCCGAATCTTCGTCATCGTCGCTATATTCCCACTCGTCCTCGTCAAGGTCTTCGTCGACCCTTTGAGGCAAGGATAGAAACGGGACGCAAGCCTTGAAAAACGCCACGAGCAACTCCTGATTGGCGCGAACTTGTCGGTTGACATCGGTGGACAGACCACCGACATGGGGGAAATTAAAGCAGATGATGTCCCACGGTCCGCCTTTCGTTGCAGATGACGGTCCCTCCTTCGCCTCTATCCAAGCAGGGCGCTTACGCTTTCGCCGGGGAAAGCCCTGACGAACGTCCTTGCCACCCCCGGAGGCTAGCCCAAGCTTCCGGGCGTCGACTGAAAAGAGGACATTCGGCCCTCGACTCTTTTGAACACTGTCGGATACCTTCCCGGGAGCCGTCCTGTCCTCGGCCTGGCCCTCATTGCTCACCGCTTCGCCGCCGGCCTTCTTAGAGAAAGCGCCGAGAATCTCACTGATCGTTACTTCTGTTTTGGGGTACTTCTCACAGAGCACCTCTTTAGAGTCATAGCAGGTAGCCAAAACATGCCGGCAGCGATGCTGCGTCACCAAAGAGCGCGCAAAGGAGAAATCTCCTAGCTAGATTGTCAGTAGCCAGAAACTTGATAATACCGACATAAAACAAACATCTGTGATGCGGGGCCTTTTTTTGAAAAAAAAATTTTTTTTTAAAAAAAATCATTTCTAGCCCTTGGAGTGTCACACAACGTACCTTCGCCAACAAGTAAAATATGATCATTGGTACCGAACGGGATGATCGGCCGTTTCTGTTGAGCCGGTTGCTTCTTAGATTGACTTTGAGCGTTGGCGGCGCCGGGGTTTTGCGCCGTCGAGAGCTTGGAAAAGGTGTGCATTTTGCGGCCCTTTTTGGGATTTGAACGGGCGGCGCCACCGGCCACGGGAACCTGCGACCGGGCTTTCTTGGAGGATTTGGGCATTATGTTGGTATTGATTGATTGATTGATCGGTATTGGTATGAGTATATAAATGGGGTTTGAAATGGGAAGAGAGAAGTGAAGGAGAGAAGATGAGAAGAGAAAAAAAAAAGTTGACTCTCCAGTTCAGGGACGATGTCGCGGCTGAACGGCCAGTCAGGAACATCAATACCTACGTTCACTTATATATTTTCCACGCGCAGAAAGTTGGCGTGGTAAATATTTGTCCTATTTTGGGTCATTTCTACAATTCTATATATCAAGTTAATTTAACTTTTAACCTCTCTAGGCACGTACGAGGCAGAACGTGCGGATTTTACCTGAGGGTTACTATGTATATGTATGTTATCTGTCCATTGGGACTCTCGCGTCCAAAATAAAAATACGCCTTCTATACCCGTATTAAAAATATGAAGATGTAAATAACAAATATATACAGGTTCAGATGCCAGAAACGAAAAGTTCCCACCCTTCCTCAAGCAAGCAGCATCACCCTCAGACATTCCTTCCGCCCAGAACCAACAGGAGCTGTTTAAACGACGGGAAAGACAAGCAAAGGTGAATGCTCTATGCGACGGGAAGGGAGGTTGAGGGGCCAAACAAGTGTCGGGGGTAGAAAAAAATAAAAACGGTGGATCGAGGTGCGAAAGATAAAGTACACAAAAGTCACCAACACCGACCAGTACAACGCTATTACTGTTCAATCAAAATCCGTAAAATTTACTTCAACTGCCGATGGAACATGAGCCATGGAACGTGAGCCATATGGCACATGCCGGTCGTTAATATGGAGTCTACAAGAGACTCCGACTGTATGCTGTCCAGCGCGAACGGTTGATGGCGAAGGAGTAGCAAGGAGGTCTCTCATTGAGCCCGATTTCCCCTCCAGGAAGACACGCAACCAGCGCGGAATACCCTAGGATCGAAGGGAGTCCCTCATGCTTTGGCTGCTGGCACTGACGGGAGGGTTGGACATGGGTAGAACGCCGGTCTTAGGCTTGGCGTTCTGCTTGATCTTGGCCACGGCGTAGACGATGCCACTCACGAAGCCGACAACAATGGCAGACACACTGGGGAAGGTCACAGGGGCATCGAAGAAGATCAGACCCGAGACGGCAATGGGGAGTTTGTTGAGAGCTCCCACCATGGAGTAGGTGGTCGAGGACGTCACACGAACACACCAGGCGGAGGTATAGGAGATGAACACCGACGACAGTCCCGACAGAATCATGGCGAACATAATGTAGTTGCGGTCAATGGCGGGGAAGTTGCGGTTGAGGTTGGCAGAGGACCAGTCTTCCAAAAAGGCCGTGGACACGATCAGGATGGGGATGGACAACAGGTTGTTGTAGAACATAGCTGGAGAGAGACATCGTTAGCAAAGGCAACTTCCTTTGGCTTCCCTGTCTCCAAGTGCCATAATGGGTTAATAAAGCCAGATCACGTACTGTCAAAATCCTTGAAGTTGGTCAACTTGATTCTCTTGCGCATTCCCAGCACGTAGGACGAGGTACAGAGACAGTTTATCAACATCCAAATGTAGCCGGAATTCAGGGTGGAAACCCGGGCGGTCGCATCGGTGTTGCTCTCAACGGCATGTTTAATGTCGGCCCAGGCGGCGATGATAGAGCTCACAACCATCAATCCGAAAGAGAACAGGGTGAGACCGGTAACCGAGCCGCCGAACCAGAGCACCTCACCGTACGCAATGAGAATGATGGTCAGGTTCTTGAAGATGGTATACACGGGGATCGACAGGAACTGGAGAGCCTTGGAACCCGTGTAGATCATGCCAATCAGTAGCAGGGAGATCGGAAACCCTGTGAAAGAACAGCCAGTCAGCTCAATTCGCAGCAATTATCGCAAAGGGCCGCCGTCGAGACACTTACACTTCCGTGCCTCATCGGCGCTGAAATCACGGTAGGTGATGAGACCGCAAGACTTGCATGTTTGAATCGCAAGAATACACACCAGAGACTGAAGGGAGCGACCGTTAGCTTCGACTTCCAAGCACCACGACGTCCCAACGGGGGAGCCAGCCTTACCTGGACAAGAAGGAGGAAGAAGTTGAGGTTGAAGTCTAAGCCCGAGAGAACATATTTGTTCATAACCGTCATCAAGATGGACGATCCGCAATAAGCCAGGACAGGCAGGGCGGGACTGTTGGCGACTTGGTTGGACGGAGGACTGCGCGGCTGGGGAGGCGGCGCGGCCGCCTCGAAGTTCTTATTCCCCTGGTCTATCTTGTCCATCTCAATCGTGTAATCGTCGGTCTTTTTGTCTTCAACCATTTTGTCGGAAGCAGGAAATCCCCTGTAGGAGAAAAGGAGGAAGATCGGAGTCGGGCTGAGATGCGAAGTCGAAGGGCCAGACGAGGTGAGTGAGGGAGAGCCTCGGAGACGGAAGGGGAAGGGAGATATAAAAGGAAATGAATAAAATAAAAATTAAATTAGATAAGTGGAGACCCCAAGGAGAAACGCACGAGACAGTCAACGAATGTGGATGGAGGATGAGGGTGAACGAGGAGGAGGAGGAGGAGGAGGAGTGGGAAAACTAACGATAACAATCGAAATCTGAAAGCCTTAAAGAAATCGGCGCAGCCTGGCGGGAGACCAGAGGAAAAAAAAAAAAAAAAAAAAAAAAAAACCGACCAGGCTGTTTGTTCCTGTTTGCGGTTCCCGTACGGCAGTCGGTAAGGTACCGACGGGACCGTACCGTATCCGTGGATGTACCGTATGCCTCGTATTCCCGAATCGACCCTTTTCGACCACCCTTTTCGCTTTCGACTGTCCCCTCATTCTTCCTCCAGATCCTAATATCAACCTATATCTAGTCATCTACTATAATACAGACAATCTCTCCTCTTGCGCACTTGGCGCATTCTCCTGACTTTACCCCTCTGCTCCCACCGCACACCCCCACCACCGCCAATGGACCGCACCGCCGAACGTAAGCCTTCTGCACGAGACGTCGACGATGAGCTTGACGACGACGCCCTGTTTGAGGCCCTAGAAAACGAGGATGACTCCGGCTATCGTGCCAATCGCATTGAGCAACTCAATTCCGAGTTCGCATCGGCCCAAAACAATTCTTCTGCTCTCTCCTCGACGGGTGCAGTCCCACCAGCGACGCTTCGCGAAGATGGCCTATACCCTACGCTGCAAAGTGATCAGGCACTGCTCGACTTCACGACCCAGACCCATCGCTGTGTTATTCATTTCGCGCATCCGGATTTCGCCCGCTGCAATACCATGGACGAGCACATCTGCGCTCTAGCCGCGCGTCATCACGAAGTGCCTTTCGCTCGAGTCGATGTGCGAAACACCCCATTTGTAGTAGAGAAGATCAAGATCAAGGTGCTTCCCTGCGTGATTGGCTTCAAGGATGGGGTTGCGGTTGAGCGTGTGATCGGCTTTGAGGGCCTTGGGTCTGGGGGACGGGATGGCAAGGACAGCTTCAGCACGGCAACTCTCGAGAAGAGACTGCTTTATACGGGCATTTTGAACCAAACCAAGCTGAAGCCCGGGGATAAGGACTCTCTCACATCTGACGACGATAGTGATGAGGACGAACCCGCCTCCAGGAAGACTATCCGCACCGGAAATGCGCGATATCGGAGTGGTCACGACGACGAGGAGGACGAGGACGATTGGGATTGAGTCAAATGAATTGGATCTGCTCTTGTACTTAGCAGAAGTGGACATATACGACCAGCGGAGTCTGTTTCTGTATGAACTTAAGGAGGAAGAAGACGACGACGATGGCGAAGAAAAACCGCGCGTGGTACGTCTGGTATACAGGAAACTCGCATACTCTCTCCCCTTCTATGGGAATGCCTGGTTCGGAGAGAGGGTTCGAAGGCAGGAAAGGATCAAGACAAACAACGACTCACATGCACCTGGAGCCTGGGATGGCCTGCTGTCATGATCGTAGGTTTCGGGTCGAGTCTGCTGTTCGGATCAATCTGCATTAGATCATATTATAACAAGAGGTGAACAAGTCCACTAGAAGACTACTTGGCTGGTCCCTGATGCCTTCCCTGCATGTACTACGTACCGCCCGAATACGTTGCCAGTGTTAGAGCCGCTATGTACTACCTTCCTTCAAAGGGAGAGTCACCGAAGAACCCTTGTAAGACAGCCGTGGTAATGAAAGGATCGAATCTCATGGGTGACCGGCGCTTCAACCTGGGTGTATTATCTGCTCTTGACGGTGGAAGAGTTGCATGGCCTCGAGGAGTGAATGGGAAAGGGGTGGGCAATGAAATCGCAAAACCAGCGAGGACTAAGACTGCATGATCATCGAGATAGAATTACAGGCGATCTGGATAGAACGGATTCCAAACGAAACGAACAAAAAGGCTTCCCTGAAGCTCAAGAGAATGCCATAGAATACATCGGGAATAAACTAGAAAATTTATACAAGCAGGTCAAAAAAACAGGCTCCACCCGAATCCATCAACTCGAAATAAGCGCCAAACACATCTCAAACTGGGAAGGGGGAAATATGGGTGAAGATTTGGAGAGACTGAAGCTCTTCGCGAGAGCGGCAGAGCCCAAATCTCCCGGAAAGGAGGGGGCGTGGATTCGACGTGAATGAAAAAAGCTGCAAAGAAAAGAAGACAACCCTGAAGGCAAGCTTAAATGGCTACATTTTTCATTTCACCCAAGACCTCGGCATCCAAGGTCGCGGCGCCAGCTGCTCCTGGATTCGACTCACGCTTTTGCGCTTTCTCTGTTTCCGACGGTTTCTGCTCATCTTCCTTCCCGAGAATTCCGTCGTTCTCCTTATCCTGTACTTGAGGCGTTGCCACTTCCATTAGATCTTCGCTTTGAGCCTCCTTCAGGTCTGGTTTCGTTGACCCCTCGGGAAGCTCAGGCTCGCCATTCGTCTGTACAGGGCTTGGTGCCTCTTCCGTGACACGAGCGAGAGGGCTGGATATACCAAATTGTGTTTTAGGACTCTGAGTAGACCCGCGGTTGGGGAAGCGGTGAGGTGACCTTCCACGTTCTTCACTCGGCGTCGGGCTCCCGTAGGGAGATTCCTTGCCGGATTTGCCGCCGGTACTCAGACCTAGTCCATTGGGGCCCTTGCGGCGAGGTGCTCTCCTGCCGTACTTTTGGTCCGTTCTCCATCGAAGAATTTCCATGTAGGGAGGCTCGACATTCTGAGATTTGAATTCCAGCAGCTTCAGTTCGTTCGTTTCCTCGTCAACGGAGACCTTACCGCTGCAGAGATCATCGGCCATGACCGCGAGAAAAGCGGCCCAAGACCGGGCGACAACGTATTTACAATCATAATCCCGACCGAAAATGATGACTTGGCCCCATTTGCCTGAGGGTCCCGGTGCGAGGTCGATAGCAATGTTGTTGCCACCCCAGTCACGAGCGAGAGGGATCCAGGCAGGGTGGGCATACGCCTTTTGCACCGCCCCGGGGGGCTGAGAATCCTGGCGCTCGAGAAGATCCTGCCTCCACATTGCATTGGAGCCCTGGGGGGGTGGGGCGGCGGACGAGGAACTCGCCGGAGCTTTAGGCGGAAGGGGCGAGGCCATCATACCGGAGGAGCTCAGGTATTCCTCGTTGACAGTCCGCCAATTTTTCCATTCCTGAACGATTTCTTCGCAGTCCAGAAGCATGCAGCTGAAGATTAGACCCGTGGGCAAACCAGGACGTTCCTGCCCATCATGAACCATCAGCGACTCTCGCACCTCCAGCGGTAGGCTGCAGTCCAACTCATGCTCTAGCTCGTTGATGTCGTTTTGCGTACATCCCTCGCATAGATTATCGAAAAGCTCCTCGTAATTACCTTCTAGCCATCGGTCAATTTTTCTCCAAGAGTGAGCAACCGGGGGCGGAGGCGGAGCGCCGTCATGGAAGCTTTGCATTTGAATCTCTGGAGCGCCATCTACACCGGGTTCGGACGACTGCCGTTTCTGGGAGGAGAGAGACCGCATTCCAGGGGAATAAGGACGGTTGGGGGAGCCCATTCCGGTTGGAGAACCAGTCCAGCCATTGGGATTAGAACCTGTCGATGCTTTGTGTTGCTCGTCTTCGTAGGAATCAGTGAGGTCCGGTCGCGATTCGATCGCGCTCGTCGCAATAGAAGTCAGAGGTTCATGACGGCTTTGACTCAGAGGCACATGTTTGCCGGTCCGATAAGGGGAGTCGTGGGATGCGTGCCGGTCATACGAGGTCATCGTATGCCAGAAGGAACGCCATGCTGAACCAATGCTGCGGAGGGTCAGTCAGCCAGTCCAGGCGGCGGTGCTTGTCGAGGGGAAGGAGGGCCATTTCAATCACTCACGCATTCGCCATGATGGAGACTCAATAGACTCGGCCAAGACAGTTGGATAACAAAATTCCGATTCCTCAGCACAGTTTGATGTGAAGTTCACACAAGACAGGGCATTGGATAACAAGTTCAGTATTATTCGCAGACAGTCCAGAAATACGTGGTCGTGACGGAAGACTAGACAGAGGGAGGCCGAGGCGGAGAGGCAGGGAGTTTAAATTCAAGTCTTAAAGAAGGGGGTCGCAGACGAGAGTGGGTAACAGGATTAGGGAAGGTGGGAGAGAATAAGAGTGAATAAAGTATTTAAACGGAGATCGAGTGACGATTTTGACAAAATGGAATAGAATAGAAAACGTAAAGAAGAATAAAATTTAAAAAAGAAAAAAAGAGGAAAGAAAGAGGCAAAAAAAAGAAAGCAAGAAAACAAAAAAACGACAGGTCTGCGATAAGGGAGGAGAGAGGAAGGGGGAGGGTAAGAGAGCGAAAGAGCGAGTGAGCGAGCGAAGAGAGGGATGGGAATGATTGATGACCTCAGTGCTAGAAAACGGACGAGAGAGCAAGAATGGAAGAAGATGGAGAAGGAGAATGAAGATCAATAAGACGATGAAGGGAGTTAACTACTTGTCTTTGGGTCTTTGGGTTTATCGAGTCTCGCGGGACTTTCGACCCCTGGAAAGGGAAGGAGCCACAAGGGATGCCCGTTCTGTACCGTACCGTATTCTTTCTATTTCCGTTGGTATTTTACACCTGTGTCTAGATACCTATGGGTACCTACCGTAGTAACTAAGGTCAGGTACAGACGGCCACCGTATCCATAATGCATCCATCCTGTGGGTGCATCCATCAATTCTCCGGTCTTGAGTCAGATGCAAACATGCCCGTCGACACCGTGAATCGCCTCCCCAAATAAACAGCCGCATTGGACCTGGAATTCGTTTGCAGTCATTTCGCCCGTCCTTCCGTCCTTCCGCAGGCGGTAGGAGGCGGTGTCATCCGGCAAGGAGCTGGAGCATCTATCGCTTTCAGTGTGCTCCTTGACTTCTACTCCTCCTCGCAGCACCCGTCGATAATTGTCCCTCAACCCGTACATTTCGTCGTCAACTTGACATCATGCCTTCTTCGTAGCTGCCACGAAAACAGCTGCATCGTCAGCGCTCCCCATCCCCCAATCGTTGTGACCTCATTCGAGTTCCAATAGGTACCAGTAGTCTACTCAGTGGAGATCTATACGCCTAGTAATCATGTTTGCGGTGCAAGGCTGCCCGGTGACTAAAAAGCCTCGGAAAATAGGTGCATTGTGAAGAGTTAACGAGTGTGAGTGTCTGACATAAGACGGAGCGCCAATATGACTGTGTGCGAAGTGCAGATACACAGGTTGGTTCACATGACGGAACAAAGCCAATAGAGGAATGGCTAGAAAATTCAATAAAGCGAGGAAGATCAAGAGAAACGGTGAAGAAAAGGAAGACGGTCATCGACCAAGGCATCAGGAAGGAAGGAACGTCAAAAAGAAGGGAAGAGACATCATAATAGGGGAAAAAAAAAAAAAAAAAAAAAAAAAAAAAAAACTATTGGAGAGGAAGGAACAACTGCAAGCACATGAACGGTGCTTCCACAATCCCCTAAATTAAACCAAAACCAAAACCAAAACCACTCCGAATATTACCCCCGCCACCCACTGCCCCCCCAAAAGAAGACCAACAAGAGAGAAGGCGGAAAGAAAACGAAGCACCAGCAACCCTCCGGGTTTGACAACCCATCAAAGGGTTAGATAGATCCGTGAACCGTAGAGAAGGAACAATGAATAGAACAAACATCCGGAGATTTCAACGAGAGACGTTCAAGAGTGAAATAAATAGGCAAGATAAAGGGAACAAAAGGAAAACAAAGGAATCAAAAATAAAAAGAAAGACTTGGCAAATCTGATTATAATTATTGCCAAACACAGTTTGAATAAGCCCATGAGTGAGCAAATACCGAAAGTTAATTCACGAGATTCACAAGTCATGTAAAGTCGAAGGCATCGGCAAGACGGGAGAGGCCGAAAGGATTAGGCGTACGAGCTCTGAATTCCATTGGGAGGAAAGCCTGGGTTCACGTCTAACTTCAGAACTCGTCGTAGATCGTCTTCCATCTTTTTGGTGTCGAGGGTCTGAGCTGATGTGTTCGTTGACATGGAACGGGACGAAGGAGACTGGTGATGAATAGGAGAGTATGAATGCACCGAACTGTACGGGTGCTTTGGATCATAGGCGACGGGAGAAGAACGGTATGGCTGTCCCACAAAGTCCCCGGCGCTCCCAGGAATCGAGGTCAGATTTTCCTTTCTCGGTGGCGGGTTGTAAGCCCGCGTTGGGTGAGCACCACTAGGGTACGTATGTTCATAAACTGGTGAATATAGTACGTTGCCAACCACGCGAGGTCTTTGTTCATGCATAGCATGGTAAGACGGGCTGGTGGCTGGTGGCCCAGAACTAGTCCGCAGCGGGGTCGCAAAATGAGGAACGCTGGCACAAGGACTCGGTCGCTCCTTGTACCCGTTGGTGTGTTCATGAGCTGGGGTAGACGCATGTGAAGGTCGCTGAGGACGGGGATTAAGCAATAAACTCTTTAACGCTTCAGTTTTAGCTCTCCGCTGGTCTTCGTCGAGTTCTGCCACGGGCGGAGAGGGAGAGCTAGCAGACCGCAATGCATTCATGCGATCCTTGTACGGCGTAGCGAAGGAGGGCCCAATTTGCGAATTGTGAGCCTTGGGGCTTTCCATTTCTAGGGAAAATATTCCATTGGCGACCCCCTCGGTTTTGCGTTGTTGAAGAGTTTTGGAGTCTGTTTGAGGGGTCCTCGTCCTGGAGCTGGGCTCAGGACTAGATTGTGATTGAGAAGTGCGGGCTTCGACGGCAGCTTTGAAGAGGAAGTCCAGGGGTGTTGATTTTTGATCATCACCTTGAGGTTGCGGCCGTGTTTTGGGTTTCGAAGGCGTAGATTCCAGGTCCGGTCCAGCATCAGAGTTGTCGTTGTCCGCGTCCAGTGAAGTCGCAATATCTGAATCCGGCACGGATTTAGAGAAGAAACTCGGTATGGGGAGAGCGGAAGGTGCTGGGGATGCGTGAAATGTAGGACCAGCATAGTGAGGGCTGTCCTTCAGTTGAGGTGTCATGGCGTTGTTCGGGTGCGAGGAAGTATGTCGATGGCCACTCTTCTGAGCTGGAGATGCTCGCGGAGCATCTCGGGGTTTCTTGTTAGACCGAGCGGGTTTTTTCTTCGACATATTCACGTTGTTTGAGGAATCTGTCGTTGCATCTCCCGGGCTCGGGATCTGCGGCGGCGAGGACGGAGGCGTCGTCACCAATGCGACTTTCTGCGTTGAAGGGGTCATGTTTCTTTTCTGATTGCGTCGGTTGTTGTTATTGTTTCGAGGACCCTTGGGAGTTGGAGGTGTTGGTGATTGTGTCGACATTGCGACTAGAAGGCTTAAAAAATAGGCAGCCTTTGAAGAGTATAAATAAGAAGATGCTAAAAAGGTATCGAAAGAGATCACAGAGAAACTCCGATGAAAACAAAGAGACCGAAAATAAATTAGAAAAAAAGAAAATAAGGGACAATCCTAGAAAGGCTGTTCGAGTACTGCCCAGCAGTCTGCACTGAACACGCGAGCGCTGAGAAAATAGCGATGAAGTCCGGTATATAAAACGCCGTGGGCAGCGAGTGGGCTGACTCTTAAATGATGGCAGTGGCACACTGATTGAACCAAGATAAGTTGTCTATTATGAAAACCATAGAGATCGCGATGAAAGTTGTAAGTCAGGACTGTTCGGCATGCTCAAGTCTAGATAGGTGAACGGAGGGGAAGAACGGAAGAACAAAAACAGATGGGCATCGTAGGGCATTCATTGATTGACTGACGTTGGTCGAGGATTGGGAGAGTCGAAAGGCTGGTTGGGGGAGGAGAAGAGGAACTGAGCGGGGAGCGATCGATGACTAACCGCCATGACTTGGGTTAACTAACTAATTGGGCGCTAACCAGGTTAGTGAGTGACATTGTCCCTCTGTTCTTGCGCCACTTCAGCCTCACCAGTCACCACACCTTGAATGCTGGCTCGACCACCGCGACTCCGCCCAACACCGTGCCTGCCGCCCACCAAACAAAAATCAGAACCACGGAGGTCCTCATCTTCCGGCCAAAACCCTAATCCCTCTTGCAAGGTTACTCTTAAAAGGCTGTATGTGACTCTTGTGATCCTTCCGTTCTACCAATTTTCTAGGTTACGTCAGTAGTGGGCTGATTCTAACCGCGGCACCAAACAGTTACGTCTCATCTCCAACCCATCAATAAGTCAACAATCGCAAGCGGACAAATACCATCACTCGAGATGGCGGACGTGGAAATGAAGGAAGCTGCTACGGGTGCTTCGGCTAAGGCGAAAGGATCATCCAAGGCCTCCGAAGGGGCAGTTGATGGCAAGAAGAGGTTTGAAGTCAAAAAGGTAGGCGTTTAACAATCTTTATTTCTCCTTTGCGATTTCCTGCCGGCTGACCAGAAATCTGAAAATGACTACAGTGGAATGCGGTAGCTCTCTGGGCGTGGGATATTGTCGTCGACAACTGTGCCATCTGCCGTAACCACATAATGGATCTATGTATGTTTCGTGCCATCATACGGGGAGGATTGGAACTGACTCGTCGAATATAGGTATCGAATGTCAAGCAAACCAGGGCTCATCTACAACGGAAGAATGCACAGTCGCTTGGGGTATTTGCAACGTGAGTCTATACTTTTCCCATGTGGTGTTCCAGAATCGAAGCCTGACCTCTCTTGGCACTCCCTCTAGCACGCATTCCATTTCCACTGTATATCTCGTTGGTTGAAAACTCGCCAGGTCTGTCCGTTGGATAATCGAGACTGGGAATTCCAAAAGTACGGACGGTAAAATAGGAAGCTACGAGCGCGAGAGGCCTTCGGGGTCCATGACGACCTTTATTCATGAAACGACTTTACCATAGGACAGAAGACTGGCAAGGAAAGAAGAGAGGAAGGATGAAATTTGTCGGCGTTAATAAGGGGGTATTGATTTCAGTCTCCTTTCTACATGACTACATGCGGGCATTTGGTTGTGAAGATGAAGAGGTCGAAATGTATTAGATTCACAGAACAAGCTGGTATTCATGCAACCTTCACTCCGTCTACCGTGACACCGGCAGCGATCCCAGCCACAGGAACGAGCCATCTTTCTGGGTTCTTATTGAACATAGGCCATGGAGGAATGACAGCTAATCCTGTGATAATTGTGCCCGCCAAACCAACCCAGAGTGTAAGATGAATGTCTTCATTGATGTATCCGACTAGAAAAGCGATAAACTGCACGAGAACTAGTTAGCCTTGACGATAAGGTTATCGGGTAGGGACACGTTTCAATCAAAACATTCCCAAGTTGGGTAAAGAGAAGAGTATATTCACACTCACCCCGGAGAGGATCAAAAGAGCGGTCGACAGATATTCGGCGATGCGTTGACCGTGGAAGTCCTACTCTCATTTCAAGTTGCCACATTACCATCTGATGCGGAGTGCCAATGATGACGGGGCCTGGTAGGGTAAGGAGAGGCCATATCAACTTACGATTTGTCCTTCCAAAACATCCTGAACCGGTGCAAGAAAATCGTCCATGACTGGAATATTGAGTATAATGCAGATTTGAATTAAGAAGAGTGCTTAGAGGTGGGTGGAACCCTTGGAAGTTATGAGGAATACACAAGGTACGAGCCCCAGCGTTCCCGCGTTGGTAGTGAAAGCACGCTGACCGCCTTAGGCCTAGAACCAGTCCTGTATTCTATAGTACCTGTAGGTAGGTGGTAGGTTTACTCCCACCATCCCTTTTCCTTTGACTTACTAGTATGATCTTTCAATTCCTAGAAGTGCAGGTATTTATAATTTTCAATCTATATTTGGTTTATTCTCATCTTTATTTTAAAAGGTACATGGTAGCTCCCTCGTCCCGACTCTCTCTAGTTGAGGTATTCTCTTGAGAGGGTTCTATCTTACCCTGTATTCCTGTTCATGGGCACATGAATCATTGCCAACAAGCAATCTGTCGGCATCCGCGGGGAAACACCTACCGATATCCACCGGTGAATGCTCCTTTCCCCTTAGATATAACATGTCCAACATCCTAATATTGAACCGTGGCACCAGCCTGAGCTGGTTCCAAAAGCTTCCACTGACAGTTTATGTTATTGGAGGCAAATCGGGAGACGATGCGGTCTGCGATTTCCGTGAAGTTATCAGTGGCCAAAGCCAAGATAGTTGGACCGGCACCCGACAGGCAAATTCCCAGTAGCCCGGGTTGGGTGCTTGGGTTCATTGATTGGAGAATCTCGGTCAATCCCGGGATCAGAGTCTGGCGATAAGGCTGATGCACCTTATCCTGCATGGCTAAATATATCATGTCCGGATCAGGCGGAGACGTGCCCAAAGCCGCCGGCAGTAGGGCAGCACGCTGAAGGTTGAATACCTGAGAGATTGGGAATCAGCGCACGTCTCAAATTGACCCGTCGAAATCACAATCCTAAATGTCCAGGGAAGGCCGGGGAGAACTTACGACGTCAGCCCGCGTGTACGTGGTGGGGAGGACATTTCGTGCATTGGCGGTAGGCACGACAAAGTCGGGGATGATGGCAATGGCCTTGATCTCCTTGGCCCAGTCAAACTTCCGGTAGTGACCAATTCCGAGAGGGGGCTCAGGCGGCTGTTTGCCCGTGTCAACCCCTCCGGCAGGGGCCGGTAACACCTCACTCAGAGGGATCTCCTTGCGGGCTACGTCTTCGGGCCTGAGGTCATTTAGATAGGTACCCACGAAGCCGCCAAACAGGGAGGCGGCGACGTTGTCCGGGTGGCGCTCTGATGGGGGAGAGTAAGTCAAACGACCACACACACCGCAAGGGTTGGATGCATGGAGTGGAAACAGGCGGTTTACCGACTCCATCAGGCGGCTCACTCACCGATCATTAAGCAGTAGTCCAATAGGCGGTCTTTGCTCAGTCCCAAGCGACCTACCTCATTCCCCAGCATGACGCCGGCCACGACGGCAGTCCCCGACGATCCAAGACCCCGGCCCAGAGGGATGGGATTTACGATGTGCACATGGGTTTCGACAGGGAAGGATCTCTGTTCATGGCATCTAAGTACGTATAGAGCTACACGCGTGATCAAGTTCACTTCGGGGTCCAGGCTGATTTTCTCGGTGCTGTTGCTTTGATCATCATAGGTGATCGCACAATTGAAGGGATGTTGGGAAGAGGGTTTGGACGAGTCGATTGTGACATGGAGTTCCAGGTGAAGGGACAGCGCCAGGCCGATCACATCGAAGCCCGGGCCGATATTGGCAGAAGAGCAGGGGATGTTGAGGCGGAAAGAGGATGCAGCCATGATAGAATGGAGGGAGGTGATTTGGTCAATAGAAGAAGAGAGGAAGGTATGACCGCAACGACACCAATAATTATCCAGATATCGGATATTTCTGGTTGGTTTAGGTGGGATGCGAGATGAAGAAAGGCGGAGAGTTTCCAGTTGGTTAATTTTTGGCTACAGAATTGGAGTATGAGTCTTTGCTTTTCTTGGCACACCGAGAGGCAAAGGGAAAAGGAAAAGACCCCGCCGACGTCGGGGGGGGGTTACTAATATTACCTGTTCGTATCTCTTCGGTCGATGATTCGTACAGCAATGTAGCACGATTCGAGTCTTGACTCTTGACCGATCTCTCTTGGAGACACCAAAGGATCTCCCTCCCATGTGCTGCCGCTGCACGTCATGAGACGCCCTCGACGACTCCTGTGGTAAGATAGTAATTAGTCATCCGGGTTCACGAGCAGTTTCGTTTATGCAGAGTAGATGGAAAGATCCTAATCCTATAAGGCTATCCCACGGTTCTAGACAGCGGGATGGATGCTGATGTAATTCATGATGAAAATAATGGACGTATTGAACGGAAGCGATACGGAATCTTCCTGCTGGGAGTTTTCCTCCGACTGGAAAGGTGGAAGTCTCTGCCCGCCCCTCTTTTTTTTTTTTTTTTTAATTTAGTTCTTTTAAAGCTCCCGCTCTGTCGTGTTTCATTTATGTTAACGGGCTAATGTTGCCGACTTGCCTTAGCTTCTTTCACCACTGACAAGTCCACCCTTTTTTTTTCTCCCTCCCTCCCGCGGCCTTTCGAGACTTATCCCCAAAGTCACCTCCTAGGTCGACGACTTCTTTTCCACTGCCCCTTTTTCTTACCCCTACTTTTTTTTTCTCTACTTTTGCTTTTTTTTTTTTTTTTTTTTCTTACTGTTTCTTTTCTCTGTGCCTTTCTATTTATCAACTTTTATTATCATACCTCTACACCGTCCTGAAAATCGAGATTTATTCGATTCTTTATTCTCCGTGCCCTCAAGATCGTACGACCGCTTTGCGTCCGGTCTCTCTGTCATATCTTTTCTCGACTTGGATTCAATCCTCACCCACTTATTTCGCAACACATCAGCCCATCATAGCTTGAAAAAGAAAAGGGGGGAGAAACAAGTTAGGCATCTAGCTTTTTTTATCTACTTGTGGGGGATCCTATTCTCGATCTTTCAGCTGATCTTGAACCTCCCACCCCCTTGTCGCCTCCATATCGTTTCTGCATCCTTCCTCTCTCTGCCCCCTTCTCGAACGGGTTGGGCGTCAACGCCATCTATCAGAAATCGAAACCTCACCGCCACTGGTGGAGTACGAGGATCGTGTCAAGGTGCTTTCCCTGTCAACGCGCATTTCCCCTGCAACCTCGGAGCGACAACGCTCCTATCGATCTTATTCAGTCAAGTTGGCGGGCATTCGCTACAACCAGTCCTCCTTCCTCCACCCTCTTCTGGGCCCCAAGTTCAGGGTCTTCTGCGGGGGCGATACCAGACCCCCTTAATAGGACTTTTCCAGCGACGTTAAAGCTGGCAAACGGACGCGCGTCGGTAATGTCAGGCCCTTGCGAGGGGTCTGGCTAATAGATGGAGGAGCAGTAATCCCTGGGTTTCGCTCATCCGTGACCGTCTTCCCTGACTGGGAGACTCCGATCATCTATCAGATACTACACGGCGCGACTCTTTGTTGTCGGTGCAGATTGCTCGTGTTTTTGGGCTAGCTTTCTTGGTGCATTCTTCTTCCGTCGTCGAACGCCGCCAACATGTCCGAATCACCGAGGTCAGAAAAGTACATGTGCCTGACTAGGTTCAGCACACCGGTCCCCGAACTGGACGACCATAGATTCCAATTGGATCACCCCCGCCTCGAAGCGGCGCCAGATACTCCGCTTAGTCGCCAGAACACCGCCCAACAAGGCCTAAACCCGGAGACCCCCCAGCGTCAAGACATGCTCCATGTGCAGGATGCTCTTCGAGAAGCGGGTTCCTTCTCCCGCGATTTTGAGCAGGCGGTTGTGGACGACGACAGATCGGCCAAGGACATTGGTGGGTTGGGGCAGCGTTTCTCGATCGACCCCGCTGGAAACGTCCGTCACGCTCGTACCTTTAGTCGGACGCACCAGGACCTGGCAAACATATCGAGGGAGTCGTCGGTTTCCGCCAGGTCAACGTCTCCGCCCAATTCGGTCGAAGCTTTTGCAGACCCACGTCGGCGTGAGCGTGCGAATACTTTGGAAAGCCATGCCCCGCCAGATCTGGAGGCCATTCTCCAGCGCACGGTCTCTGGCGGTACGCATCCACGCCGGCCGACTTTTAGCAACGCGGATGCCATTAGACCCCAGCCGGGTGATATTCAATTGGAGTCGACGGATGATACATGTGTTCCGTCGTTCGAGCAACCGGGGCGCATTCCGGTCATTGATTATGAAGAACTGGAAGAGTTCGTGGCATTGAATCAAAAGTCGAAGCCAGCGACCGTCAGTCGCAAGCACAGCTTGAGCTCCCAGAGCCGCAAACCACGCATTTTCTACGATCTTCGCCCCGGGGCCCAGAATTCCGATGTGGACGGCATGAAGCGTTCATCCAGCGTCGAACGTTCCTCCAATGACGTGACGGGCTCCAATCTTAAGGAGAGCGCGCTTGAGTCCGGGGTAGAAATGAACGAGAAAAAAATGCTCGAGAATCTCAAGAACGAGAACGAGCCCTCCAGATTCGGATTTTTTTCGTCCGAGTCTCAGAGCACCGTACATGCTGCGGAACTCGGCGATCTCGTACTACCCGGAGACACATTCCGGGATCTCTTTCAGCTGGGCCCGGATGGCGGTGTCTGGTGGCTCGACGTTCTAAATCCGACCGAAGCCGAAGTTGGAGCTCTCTCGCGGGCCTTCTCCATTCACCCTTTGACAACCGAGGATATTCTGACCCAGGAAGCTCGTGAGAAGGTGGAGTTGTTCAAACAGTACTACTTTGTCTGTTTCCGGACTTTCTATCAGCTGGACAAGACCAGCGAGGAATTTATGGAACCCGTCAACTTTTATATGATCGTGTTCCGCGACGGGGTGCTGTCCTTTTCCTTTACGGACAACCCGCATGCGTCCAACGTCCGAAAGAGAATCGGCAAACTTCGTGACTACGTGTCTCTCAGTAGTGACTGGATCTGCTACGCCATGATGTATGATTTCCCTTCTCCATTTCTGTACCTTTGCCATCGATTCTAACTCCCTTTAGCGACGACATTGTGGATAGTTTTGGCCCCGTGATCCGCGAGATCGAGGTTGAGTCCGAAGCCATTGAAGACCTAGTCTTCATCGCGCGCATGGACGATTTCGAATCCTTTTTGCCGAAAATCGGTGGTCTCCGCAAGAAGGTCATGAGTTTGATGCGCCTATTGGGCGGTAAGGCGGACGTCATCCGAGGATTTTCCAAGCGGTGTAATGAGCAGTACTCGGTGACGCCGCGTGGTGACATCGGCCTTTACCTTGGTGACATTCAGGATCACGTAGTGACCATGATGTCGAACCTGGCGCATTTCGAGAAAATGCTTAGCCGCTCACATACCAACTATTTGGCGCAGCTGAACGTGACCAACCTCGTGCTTGGAAACCACGTGAACAAGGTTCTCAGCAAGGTCACGCTTATCGCCACCATGCTAGTCCCCATGAATTTGATCTGTGGTCTGTTCGGAATGAACGTGAATGTCCCAGGGCAAGGTGTCGACGGCCTCGGCTGGTTTTTCGGCATTCTCGGGGTGATTGCAGCCGTGGTAGTTATCAGCGGCGTTGCAGCCCGCTTCTACCGACTCGTATAATACGGGCTTTATTTGTTGACAGTGAAGCATCGACCTTGCGTGAAGCAAGGGCGCAGCCAGACGTTCTCAGATCAACACGAGGAAGAGGGAAAGTAAAGATCTCTAATCATCGCCCGCAACCGGGATTTGATGTATTCGTATTGTTCGTCGGTCTGATTGAGATCTAGTTTGTTACATATATATATACTTGGCGCATATCAATACATATAATATAATATAACTATACAACCTCAAACTTTTGTAGACCCGTATCGTACTGTATGTATGGATGTATCGTACGTAAGGCGGCGGGACGTGGCGGTGCGGTGTGGCGCCAGGCATACATCCTTCTTCTCCTGTCCACCTTGCAGTTAATCCATCCATCAATAATAAATCCCCGCCTCGGCAGGCGTATGAAAATTTGGGGCATCCCCAATCTTCCTTGCAAACGAACAAGAAAGAAAAAGCCGGCCATCGCTGAATGAATCTTATCATCGTCGCGCTATTCACCAGGCCTTTTTCCCTCGCGATTTGGCTAGCCTCCGCCGTGACAGGCGCATCGTGACATCTCTATTCTGTCTTCTACCTACCTCTGTTGTTTGGAGGTTAAGGATCTACTATCGGATCTTCACGCCGCGCAATCATTTTGATGTCGTGGTTGCAGACTCAATAGCATACCCTGGATATCTATGCGGCTAAATCGCCTCCTCCCGCTGGGCCGCTCTGATGCGACTGTCAGCGCAACCGCCCTCTACTGCATTCTTGCATTTGGTCTCTTCCACCTGGACCTTGCTGATGTGGCGAACCCGGCTAGCTCGTCAGGGGGAAATGAAGGCAACGTGAGTATCGGAGGCGGTGTGCAGTTTCCGTACGCCTTAGAGTCTCACCAGGGACTTGTCCTTGAAGATGCTACGGATGAAACTGGAGAGACCCGGGGCCTCGAAATCATCCGTCGAGCTCCCGCGGAGTCATCTGCACTATCAGACAATAAGTCCAAGAAAAGCACCATCAAGCTCGGCCAGATGCAGTGGTGGTATTTCCCACAAGACGCCGGGAATGACAAAACGACGAATAAGACCTCGAGCGACCAGATTCACGAGAATTTGAAACGCTCACGCACTGTGTTCATCTCCCTGACTACCTGCTCGAAACCGAGCGCCGACAAGGCTGATTCCGGCCATGAGCAATCACTGCCTCAGCTCGAGGTTTACGTCTCTATATCCAACTCTGTGCAGAAACCAGGACCCGATGAAGACTTCAGCAATCAGATGGTAACCAAATCCGAGGATGGCTATATGAGCATTGCTACACTGGCTCAAGGGGATGTCTATATTGGTGTTGCCGCTCCTAATAGCAGCGACTATTCGGGGTCGTATAGTTACGAAATTGCTGCTTCAACCGACGGTTATTACCACAACGTTGACGATGAGGATCAATTCGTAAGCTTTTTAGATTCAGACGCGAATGCCGCGCTTTTCGCCACGCCAGGCTCAGCAGAGTCAGATCTCGATTTACAGAATGCCAGCAATTGGACCAAAATGACACCGCCTTACACCATGTTCGTCAGCAACGTGAACAACACTGCCATCTCGGGCCTGCGCCGGTCATACTGTGCACTCAATCAATTTGCCCAGATTGGAAAAGGGGGCCATGGACTACAAACAAGCATGGCTAACCGAAGCGAGGTAATCGAGGAACAGCTCTACGTCACGGGACTCAATCGAAGCTCTGTTTATACCGGGATTCTAGCCATGGATGGCAATTCGACAGAGGATGGGAGTAGCGGCGGTGGCGGGAAAGTTTGGAAACCATTCCGGTTCTCGACGAAAGCAGGTAAGCTACTGTTCTCTTCCCATCGCACCAATGAATATTAACGAATTGAACAGAGGACAGCTGCGCCGTCCTATTCAACCTGTCGTTTTGCTCCGACGTCGCGTACGCGGTGCCTTCTAACCCGTCATTGAAGGCAGCCAAGCTGGGGTCCATCTACGACGACTACGCCGCCGCCATGTACAAAAACTTCACCTACTCCCTTGATCAGATCCAATGCGATGCTTCTGACGAAACCCGATTCTCGCTAGCCGTTGGATGCGATGACTGTGCCAAGGCGTACAAGCAATGGCTTTGCGCCGTCACCATCCCCCGGTGTTCCGACTTCTCGAGCTCGGAGACATTCCTGCGGACTCGCAACGCCGGCCAGGCGTTTCTCAACGGCACCTCTCTTACCGATCAGGATCCCCTGCGCCGCAGCCCGGTCACCAATCAGTCCCGGAACTCGTTGATAGACAGCGACATCAAACCGGGGCCATACAAGGAGGTTCTCCCGTGCCAGGAAGTGTGCTATAATCTCGTCAAGAGCTGTCCGGCGGCGCTCGGGTTCAGCTGTCCCGACGGGAAATGGCTGAATGCCTCGTACAGTGCGCGCTCCGATAACTCGAGCATCATATCCTGCAACTATCCCGGGGTGGAAGCCCGGCGAAATGGCCACCCGGATCTGCATCGATCTCTGTGGATGACTCTGCGGATCCTGGCCCTCGTGTGGGCTCCCTTTTGGGTTCTAGGAAACTGAAAAAAAAAAAAAAAAAAAAAAAAAAAAACCGAGCAGGCTGGCCCTGCGGGTCTACTGGCTGCAAATTTTCCTTGTACTGTACATACATATATGCATATACACTCATATCTCACTGTCGTGCAATTGCGTCCTGTCTAGTTATGTCTGATTCTAAGACAAACCCACTACAAATTCCTCGAGCATAGTCCTGAGTGGTATACCGTATTTAATATTTAAGCACTTGGTCTAGTATTGCCCTATTTTTCGGCGTACAACTTCCTGAGTGTAGGCGCAAGATGCATGGATCAAAAAGCTCTCAGCTTGATCAATATGTTCATTTAGAAATAAGGGCCGTTGAACCGTGGCTTTCACACGCCCGGGGAATACAAAGACAATAAGAACAAATAGCAAGATGTATCATAACGCCAGCCAGATATCTGTGTAGCATAAAGTCGTTAATCGGGTTAAAACAATGTATATTTACAATAAACCCGGTAAGATATTGTGTATCAAGTGGAGAAAATGGAAAGACGGGAAAGAACCGTAGCGTTCACTTTCGTCTCTTCGGTGTAGGAGTCCAGATGTTTCGTATACTTGAATTCGAGCCGGTCGGTCTAGGCGTGCTGCCCATGCGGTGAAGCAATTGCTGGGCTGCCGGGGTGAGCATTTTCCCTGAGCCGGAGGTCGAGCCGGGCGTGCGAGATCCAAAGTCCAACCGCGGACTGCTGGCGAACCGCGGCGTTGTAGTAACCGGCGTTTTCGTCACTCGCATCGCTTTCTCTGATCGCTTCGTTCGCGCCACGCGATCGACCATCCGATGGTGAAGATCCTCTCGTTTTCTGTTCTCTCGGATCTGGAAAGGGTTCGGGTTCGCATCGCTACTCCCCAACAAGCGAAGGTCATCCATATAACCGTGCCCCGAGGTGAACGCAGTGGCGTCCTCAGGTGTCGGCTCGTCTTCGTCCACGAATGCATACCCATTTACTCGAGGCGTCTCGCCCCCCGTATAGCCTGCCTCGGATTCGGTCGGGCGTGGACGTCCAGCAATAGCATTTTTGATAGCCGATATAGCGGGGGAAGGTGGAGGCGCGCGACCTTCAGACGCTGCGGCGTGAGCACCCTCATCAGGTAGCCGTGTGTTTTGATACACCACGCGCTTGGGGCCAGCTCGAGAGGAAGCCTCGGACTTCTGTTGGATGGTCTCGTAAGAGTCTTCAACAGACGCAGGCATGAACATGAGGGAGTTCTCCGGTCCAGCATCCCACGTGTCCGGCTTCGCCGGTCTCGCATCGAGGTCCGTCTTGATTGCCACCTGTTTATCCTTGTCCGGATTCCCACCCTGTGCCTCGATACGTTTGGTTTCACGTTTGTGATGGGCGATTTGTCGCGCGGTGGGGATCTTGTTCCCGCTCCAGATCCAACCGTACTTTTCTCGTCGCTTGATATTTTGCTTGTCCAGCAGTTTGTTGAACGATTCGTTGTCTTCACTTGTGAACTTGGCCTGGAAATCGAGAAGGCCGAGGTTGGAGACATCTGGCGCGTTGCTTTGCGCGGGCAGTTGAGGATTCGCCGATGAGACCGAGGATACTGACATCGGGGTGTCGCCGCCCCAGCCCATCGGGGTATCACCGGGATGTCCCGGGTGAATGGGCGTATTAGTGACGGACTTGCTAGGGCGTCCCCGAGCTCTTCCCGGCGTCAGCATTAGATCGGCGAGTTTCTTCTTGGAAGTAGTAATCCATTCCTGGTCCTTCGAATCCAAGGCTTCTAGATACTCCTGCTTCGCCTGCGTCTCGACCAGACCGGGGAAGTAGTCTCTTGCAATGATATCCGAAAGAGCGCTGGTATAAACATCCTCATCCAAGACGGACGCTGGTCGTTTGATGCGCTTAGGGGGCGGTGGAGGGCGCATGAGACTATTTTCGCCTTGACGCTTGGTCAGCGCCTGCGAAGAAGTCGACATGCTGATGAGCTTTTGGCCCACAAGGGTGAGCAGGTTGACTGGATTGATTTGATGTACAAGAAAGAAGCAGACACAACGGTCGGGGAATGCGGCGAGTCGAAAATGGACGGCAAAATGATCTAAGGCGGTGAGAGTGGATGAGTCGGATGACGTAAAGCTCAGTCAACGTCGCTAACTTTAACTTACCTTGATGATAATAATGATTCTTCTTCTACTGCAGAGGACGCACGAGTTCTCGAAAATGGTCATTCGTCTTTCTCTCTATGGTTGATATGTATAATCACATAATAAAACATCTCTAAACTAGTCAGACAAATCCAAAAACACAAAGAAACCCAGATCCCATCGTATCAAAGACCGACATGCTGAACAAACCACAGCCATGAATAATAATAGCAGTATAGTACCTAAGAGAAAACCTCCCTTTTTGCCTTGGTCCCAATCCTTCGTCCCGAATAAAACACCCAACACTTTTTGTTCCTGTGGAAACAACCGCTGAGAAATGCAACAATGATGCTAACGAGAGTTATGAAAACCGCAGAAAACAAAGAAAATCATAGCAAGGCCTTGAGAAAGGTGCGTATACGCGATTCGCAAGATGGAATAGCAACGGACAAGCAAAAGAAAATGGGGCTGAATAAGCAATATCAAAATCATCAGGTCGTACAAAAGGTCTAGAAGTGAATGGTTCGACGTCGAAAGAATGATTTCAACGAGCTTGTAAGAGGGGGTTCCTCCCAAAGGCAGGATGGAATAGAAAATGAGAGAAGATATAGGAAGAGAAAGACGAGCTCATGCGACAGCTTAGTGAGACGGAAAGAGAGAGTAGGAGGTGGTCCTGCCCTTTTTCCGCTGTGCCCCTTTAAGCGGGAGCTCAGCCTTCGCGGCAGCCTGAGCAACGAGGGGGGCCGCTTCAACCTCAGATGTGGATTTGGCCCGATCTTTGATGGATGGGCCAATGGACGGTGGCAGCTCCGCAGATTCCCGGCTCGCATTGTCGGTCCGGTAAAAGAACTGGTTTTCAATCTCTCGTGCCAGGCTCTTCGTCTGTCGATGGTGAGAGGAAGAGTCAGGGCGTCCCAAATTGGACAAAGATGGCGAGGCAGACGGCATGGATTGCTCCCCCGAGGCCAGCTGGTCAGCCATGGATAGATCTCTGCTGTTGGCCAGGCTGTGCACAAGCTCGGGGACGCTTGTTGTCGAAACAGAGGACCGATGCTTACGAACAACTGATGCCGCACGGGATAGAATCAAGCTCTCCTGTGAATTGCATTTGCTAATGGGAGAGAAACTGCTTCGCGGGGAGACGGGATGCTCCATGGGTTGAATCACTCCTTGCGAGCAGAAGGAGAAATGTCGATCCGATTCCGTATCGGCAGAGAGGTATTCCTCATAAAGCGTATCTTGCGTTACGTGTTTACCAAAGGGAGACGACAGAATTGCGGAACCCACAGGCTGAAAGAACTCGCCATTTCTGGGAGGGACGATCAGCTCGCCCTCATATCCCACAGGGCCGGAAGACATGGGGTGGTGCGAGCCCGGTAGAGAACCAGAGGGGCTAGATTCCACGATGGGGGTAGGCAGCGTGCACGATAGGCGTACTGGTGGTAGAACGCCGCGGGCTTCATCTTCAAACGGACTGTCGATATCAGATGTGGTAACGGGTATGCCGATACCCCCGCGTCGCTGTTCATCGAGTGAATTGCGAGCCCAGTCAAAGTTCGAGTTTGATTCTGCCGCATGCTCATAGCAGTAATCAATGTCGGCGTCCCAGGATTCATAAATCGTCTCATACATTGGCTCGGGTTGGATGGAAGGTCGTCGTTGGGGGGCTTCTCCCGCTGTGTGGCCGTCCTGGGACACAACTGAACCCAGGCGGTACTGAGGCAGTGTCGGCGATCCAAGTGCCTCGGAAAATTTCCTCGACAGCTCCTCGGCCACGTTGATCGACAAGTCGGACTTGGGACGAGCCACCGAGGCTGATTCCGTCCCATTCGACACGGCACTAAAAGGGGAGATCGCGCTCTCAGCGTGGGACGCGGGACTGTCATGCCAATGCGTCGCCGCCGCCGCCGCCGCCGCCTCCTCTTCTTCGGGGACGTCATCCAGGTCAGAAGACAGGTTGGTAAAGGACATCGAGGGAGCCCTTGCCGGTCCTGCCGTATCTTTGCTGGGCCCGGTGGAAATAGCATAGCCACTGACCATTGGCAACATGGCCTCAAGGTTCATACTGGACAAATGAGAGCCGAGGCGAGCATCGTCGTCATCGTGGGAATACACATGCTCCGGATAAGTCGGAGGAGAAGAGAGACCCAAAATTTCATCGATAGCCCGAGGAGCTGGCTCTGAGATTTCCGGAGACGCCGCCAGTCGCGGCGAGGTTTTGGGCGGCGGGGTGGTCGATCCAGCCCGGGGATATCTGGGAACCGGGCGAGAGAAATTCTCAAATACGCGCGACTCCCTTGGCGGCTTGATATCCCGAGGGCTCCTGGCAGTCGCAGACGAGGGCGACGTCGCGCCCGGCGAAATCGGTGGACTGGCTGGATCGGGGCGATCGTCTGCTACGACCGTTCCGCAATTGGTGAGATCTTCGGTGGAGAAATCACGGAAATGAAGGTCTTCAGCACGGATACCCTTGAGACCCGTCACGGGTCTCTGCGAGGCCCGGATGGCAGAGAATTCAGTAACCAGGTCGTTTTCACCTGCTTTGTCCAAGGTCTGGAATTGGGATTGACTCGTGTGGGTGAGATGGTGAAAATCAAAGGGATCAGAGATAAGACTTTTGAGATTGTCATCTGCAACGAGAGTGTGAGTTTGAGTAAATTCCCGAGGAATCCGGGTGACTTACGGGCATCACTTTGGCGGGACTTGTGGCGGCCGAAGCGAGACTTCTCACGCTCTACCTCTTCCTCCTCATCCACGGTGGCGGCGATATTGAACTTGCTGCCCTGACGCCGCAGAATGCGACTGCCGCGGTTGAAGAGCGACTTCGTCATGCTTCCATGTCGCTCGGTGCGAACGCCGGCCACGGGGGCCGTACGATCCTCTTGCGAAGGCAACGACGCAGCATCGGCGGAGGTCATAGAGGAGGCGGGAGAGGGACGCGAGGAGGTAGTGGAGGTCGTAGTATTACTCCGAGAGCGACCGCTGAAGACGGAGAGACGTTTGGGGCTCTGAGCATGGGCGGTTGAACGAGATCGTACATGGGCTGAATGTTCAGGAGGGTCGTTGGACCCTCTCGTAGACGGACGGTCCGGATCCTGGGACATAGTCCTGGAGGTCGAGGCCGGCAAGTGAGAGGTCTGCATGTTGATACCACGGCTGCGGATCAATCGATGCGAGCCGGGAATGAGGGAGAGGACGATTTAAGCATGCAATTGCGGCGGACTGGTCGATTTCAGGACCATGGTAGAGGCCAGGAAGAAGAGGGGGGAGTGGTGATCGATCTGAAGAATCAGGAGGAAAAAGTGAACATGTCACGTCTAGTAATGGGCGAGTTTCCGATGTGTTTTGGATTTAGAGTTGCAGATGAAACCAGTCACAGAAGCCAGTGGACTATAATTTGGGCAATGTTGGGGTCGAGTTGGAGTCCCAGTGCGAGGCAGAAATCAGAAACCACGAGATCAGAGGCTAAGGAGAGCGAGTTTAAAAATAATGATTGAATGAAACGGATATAAAAGAACGAACTGAATTTGATAGTGGTCAGCCAACTAAGGAACTAACTATCCGGGGGAGAAGAGAAAAGGGAAGGAAAAGGAAGAAATAATAATGAGTGAGGGAGAGGGAGAGAATCCGAGGGAGGGATTTAGGGGAGGGGGGCTCTAACAGATAGGAGTTTAGTGAGGGAGTCAGTCAGTTAGTTCGATTTTAGTTCCGTATAGTTTCAACGGGTTCCCGGTAGGACTGGAGGATTTAGTTTGGGGAGCGAAGGCTGGGGGAGGTGGTGCAAGGGAAAGAAAGAAAGAAAGAAAGAAAGAAAGAGAAGAGAACTTGAAAATGAAGAAGAGCCAAAAAGAGGAAGAAAAAGAAGAGAACCAGGATTATTTGGATGATCTTTTTTATTGTGGTGTTATAATTATTTGGTTTTATTGTTCATTTTATTTTATTTTTATTTAAATATTGATTTGACGGACGGAGTATATTTATTATTTTCTAAATTAATAAATTTGGCCCGAGTGGAAAAAAAAAAAAAAAAAAAAAAAGGCCCCCGGTGGTTGGCACGAGACTCGGGCTGGCTGGTAATTTCCTATAACCCTTGTACCCTTGTACCCTTGTACCCTGTACCTGTACGGCGACGCGGGTTCCCTGCCCTGTAACCCGTACCCTGTACTTTCGTGCTTCGTGCTCTTTCTCCGTACAGCGTACCTTCCCCTCGGTAAAGAGGAGGAGGTACCGTTGCATCCGCCCCCTCAATTCCTCCCTCTCCCTCTCCTTTGTAGGAATCCCTCTGAATGGATTCTTAATTTGTAACATGATTCACCGTCATGACTATTTCGCCCCCTTCCCTCCTGCTCCTTCTTGGTTTTTAACTTGTTTTTCCCAACCGTACTCCGTCTCCTGCCCTCTACCGGGTGTTTCCTTCCTCACTATCGCTGTCTTCTGTGTGTATGCTGTATGATAGTCATTCGTCATTATGGGGTCGAACGAGGACGATCACCGGCCTGCTCAGGTCGTGGAGACGTTCAAATCAGGAGATTCGGGCTTGACTTCTTTGCCCTCTAGTGTCCGCACAGACGTCCGACTACTACTAGCCTCCTACGTACCCATGGATGGGGACTCTGGTCGTCGGTGGATATGTCACTAACGAGTTACATAGCAGTAGTTCTACCTAACGCCTAGTGACTACGTACTCCTATGCATATTGCATGAAATGATCACGGTGATCGAGGCTCACCTACCCCGTAGGACCTAGGACCTACAGTCCTACACCGTAGGTCTTAGGTCTTACGGAGTAGTTCACAGGAATGGAAGGATGTCGACCGAGAACCGACCCCTGCTCGCCAATGGTGAATGGACACACGGAATTTCCCGTCTGTTGCTGATCGATCTCTCTTAATCTTGGTACACTAGAACCGAGAATGGGAAATGAGCTGAGGATAAAGAGCTGAGTTTGCTGTCTCCCCCCTGGTTGACGATGCCAAACCGGGAAAAGAAGGGCGAAAAAAGGAATAAGAAAAAGTAGAAGCAAAAGAGGAAGAAAGAGAGGGGGCAGGGGCTGACAGAGGGGGACAAAAAATGGAAGGAAGCGACCCTCTCTGGCTTCTCTTGAGGAATAAGAAGATAGTATGTATATACTACTGCAGACGAACGGATACCGATTCCTGCTGGAATTATTGCTCGACCGTGGAGCAGGAATGAATAATCACGACAGACGACAAACGAGCTGGCCAGACGCGATCCCACACGGGGGTGGGCAGGAATCGGCGATGGACGATGGGGCGACTTAGATTAAAGATAGGCAGCTAGCAACGATAGAATGGGATGGAGGGATAGAAATAGAACCGCGAGATCCATCATTGGATCGATCGATAAGTCGAGTGTCGAGCGTCGACAGTCGACACCGGTCTCTCCGTGTAGGGCCGAGTTTCGAACATCCTCATCCCTCTCGGACTCTCTCCACGGAGTAATGATGCTTGATGTCAAAGGATTTTGTTACTTTGTACTCTCCTGTAGGACTTGGGTCCGGGGCGATTCTCCGACCAGCGAGGGTGACATCTCTGGAACGCCGATCTCCACGTGCACCCATTGCTGTCTGTCTGTCTGTCTTTCATTCTTTTTTGTTTTCCCTGATTCGTGTTCTTGTTGTCTTTGTCTGGACGAGACCGAGGTAGAATGAAACACGCACAAATTTAAAAACAAGAAGCCAAAGTCAAAGCAGTGTGTCAGGCACCGGATCATCATTCGCTTAGAGAGGCGGACCCAGTCCAACGTTCACTCCCTCGGAGCGTGCATTAGACAATGTCATTACGGAGACGATGGGCGGGCTTTCCCTGCATGGCTGAAGTTTGTGGTCGGCGAGCGGATCCTGTTGGATTAGGGGCTGGGATTTTAGTGGGCATCGGAGGGGCCTGTCGCACGCTCTTTGGGTCGGACAGAGAACCACGGTACAGACTGCGCTCTACCGTCCGTCTGCGACGTTCCCAGGAGAATTGGGACCAATGAGGTGGATTCGGGGCCTGGGCGAGAAGGAAGCATAATGTTCCTGATCCGTTGGTTCTCTAATTTTGCGGTAGAGAGGGGAGTCTTCAGGATAGAGTTCCGTCGGCGGTTGAGGGTGGATGATGGACAGTAGATAGTCGGCACTCCAAGAGGACATTGCGATATGAAAGGACGATCCAGATGGGGGAAGCCAACACGAGACCGAGACCGAGGGCGAAACCAGACCTGGGTGCCTCGTGGACTGGGGCAGAAAGGCGTCAAATTACCGAAATGAGACATTTAGGGCTCCCCCTCCCGCTCGGGCCCGATCAGGTTAGCCTGTCCGGTGTCTGTACTGTACGGCTTACAGGGCTTTACGTAGTCTACCATACGAAGTACAAACAAAGGACAGATACCTTGTACAGTACCAATAGGTACCCTGGATGAGCACAGGGGTACCTGGTATAGCACCAACTCTCGCATTGACTACCAAGTACTACTGTACCTCCTACTGTACCTCCTCCTACTAAGGCAGGCACCTCGGTACACCGTAGGAGTTCGGTCCTTCTGTCTTGCTTCTGACCGCCTAAATTTCAGCCGCCCTCAGCCGCGGGTCGCTTTCCCGATCGTCATCGCTTTTCTCCTTCTTTTGCCCCCTTCTTCACAACTCTTGGTTACACCATCGTCTCAACCTTCAACCTGTTCCTTCGCCCTTTTCTTTCCCCCCTTTAGCGTGTTTCACCCACGCCCCCAATGTCTCCATAGTTCGGCCTCCTGACGATCCCGGGTTGTCTAGACTCTCGAATCCCAGTCTCTCAGTCTCCCACTCGGGACGGGGAACTGGGAACTGGGAAAAGGGTCAGACCGTCAGTGAGAATGACCGTATGACGGGCCTCAACTTCCTTTTTAACTCGGCCCATGACGGGGCTGGGTCCTGATGATCATGAAGGGTCTTTTGACTTGCTCTCGTTCTCTCGAGTCTGGTCCCATCTCATCTGGCAATCTCCGTCATTTGGGATCGCGATGAAGAGCAGATCCGGTTCGGCATCGTCGTTAAATTAAATCGATGCGCATCCTTCCTCCCTTTTAGTTAGCTCGTCTCGTCTAGCTAACTATAAGATGATGGTAATAATGACGATGGTGGCATTACTGCCCGGGCCTGTTGGCCCTGCTTTTCAAATTGCATATTCATTCACCATTGCTAAGTGTTTGTCGGCCTCCGATTTTTCTCCCAACGCCCATGTACATAATAACCTATGGTCAATACAACTCGAGAATAGAAGTGCCATGCGAAAGGAAGGAGAAAGAACAGAAAGTAAAGAAAAGGAATACATTGTACACGCAAAAGAAGGCAGAATTATAGAAGGCAACCAGTAGTATGAATCCAGATGCGAGGTTTAGGTTTACTCATCATCATCCTTCATTCATCGCCGTATCTTCATCGCCGGGTCCCTCACTGAATAGCCCGTCGTCATCATCGTCATCTCCAGCTCCTCCCGCTCCTTCGCCCTTCTTCTCCCCCCTGTCGGCTTCCTCTTCGTCCTCTTCGTCGTCGTCCGCGACTCGACGACTAGATTTATTCCGTCGTCGCTGGAAAACTTCGTCCTCGTCCTCGTCTGCTGCCGCAGCGCCAACTTCCTCATCATCGTCGGGGGCGGCAGCGCCGGCATCGTCGGAGTCGGAGTCCACCACCATCTCGCTGCTCTTATATTTGTTCGACTGCACTTTGCCGCCCGATCGGCGTTCCAGGCGTCGACGCTTTTTTGGCGCCGTCTCGCCCTCGCTGTCGGGTTCCGAGCTCTTGTCCCGACCAGGAGACCCTCTGTCGTTGATGAAATCGTCCTCGTTCCGCTGCTTCTTGCGCTTCGACGGCTTCTTCTTGCGCTTGACCTTGGCGCCGGTGTCCGATTCCGTGGTCAGGTCCGCCTCCTCACGGGCGCGCTCCTCATCCGCGCGCTGTTCCGCCAGCCGCTGCGCTTCTTCGACCATCCGCTGTCGTTCCTCGGCAACCCGCTGCTTGCGCTCTTGCTCCATTTCCTGCGCCTTGCGCACCTCCTCCTCGCGACGCCGGATCTCGGCCTCGCGCGCCTCGCGCGCCTGCTGCAGCTTGGCCGCGTTCTTCTCCTCGTAATCCTTCTGGCTCTGGAGTGCGCGCTCCAGCTGCTTGATGATGGTCTTGCCCATGTTCGCGCGCTGCTCCAGGGCCCCAGCCGGGTAGGGCGGATTCTTGGCCTGCGCGATGCGTCCAAACGTCTCCACTGCCTGGCGGAGGCCGTCTGCCGCGTCCTGCACATCCTGCACCGTCCGCTGCGTCTCTGGCAACCCGTACGTCAAAGACGCGATCTGATTCTGTACGAAGGCCATGTTGAACTCGAGGTGGATCTGGGCCGGCGCGACGGAGTGGGCGCGCTGCGCGTAGTCCAGGGCCGACTTCATCGCCGACAGGTTCATCTCCTGCTTACCCTTCAGTAGCCACACGCGACCCAGGCACGCCAGGATCTGCGCGTCGCGGGCACGGTCCTTGGATAGCGCCGCCTCGTAATGTTCAATCGAGCGCGTATATTGACGGAGCTCTGCGTAGACATGGCCCAGGTTCAGGTAGACGCTGGCATCCCGCAAGGTGTCCCGGATCCTCGAGAAGATGTGCACGGCGGTGCTGTGATCTTTCTTGTCGTCTACCAGGGCGATGGCAATGCCCTGGGCCGCGTAAGCGTTGCGCGGATCGAGCTGAAGAGCCTTGTCGAAGAACTCGACTGCCCGTTCGTACATCTTGCGGCGCTTTTCCTTCTCCGGTTCGGTTTCACGTCGCATGTCTCGTGCCGTGAGGAGATGGACGTTGCCCATCCCGGTCAACGAGTAGCGATCGTGCTTGTCGAAGTACTGAAGTGTATGCTTGTAGTGCCGCTGTTCCTGGTCTTCCGCCAGATTGGACGTCCGTTTCTTAGATTTGCTGAGATACCACCCGAACAGCGCTCGAACTTCCAGGTTGGTGGAGTCGGCCTCGTAAAGCTTGGCCATCTTCTTGGGTCCCTCGTCCGTGGGGCTCTGCCGCAACGCAATGTAGGTCAGTCTGGCGTTGGCCTCCGTGTAGTCCGAATGGCGCTCTAAGAGCCCGTCGTAGACCTTCTTGGCCTCCTCCGGCATATCGGAAACCTCGTAGCTTCGGCCAAGGTTGTAGCTGATGGTCGTGACGAGCGCGTCAATGCCAAGCTCACTTTCCTTCTCCTGCGATCGGACGCAGGCGTTCAAGGCCGCTTGGAACATGGTCCGCGACTGTTCCACCTTCTCCGCCTGATACAGGAAGCAGCCAATGTTGTTGAGCAGCTGCGGGGGCAGATTCACCCGAAGCGCGGCCTTGATTTGCTCCTCATCCTCGAGGCCTTCCGGCTGTAGTTCTTCGGGGACCTCCGCCAACTGTATTTCCTCCAGCCGAGACAGGCACTGCATGCTCTTCTCGGGCGCGGTCTGTTCATAAAGTCGGGCAAGGTACACCAATACTGACTCGTCGGGCGTGAGCTTCTTGCTCTCATCTTTCCACAGGGCACGGACGGATTCCAAGAGGCCGGTGGCTTTCTTCGCTTCCGCCGACTTGTCTTCCTTGCTACCGCTGCTCTGCGCGGCGAAGACCTCCTCGGCAAGGAGTGCTCCAAGCAGCACCATACACTCAGGATTCTTGGTCTGCTGGATGATCTTCTCCAGGCGGAATTTCGCTCCATCAAGATCCTTGTTCGACACTTGCATTTGCACCGCGCCAAACTTGGCGGGCAGATAGCCCTTGTCACCACCGCCGCGCGCTTGGTCGGAGCGGTTGTAATACTCTGCAGCACGAGCAAGATCGCCCTCGTAATGGGCTTTGCGACCCAGCAGGTACCACCCGTCGCTAGCGATCTGCATCACGTCCGTGTGCTCGATGGCTTTGCGTGCCAGGGTGTCGACGGTGGAGTAGGACTTCCGCAGAAGGAAATAGCCACCAAACAGGGAACAGGTCATTGGGTATTCTTTATCCAGTTTGAACGCCTTCTGCGTGTATTGGGTCATGGCTACCTTGTACAAAGAGCCGAAGACCGGGTCGGTCGTAGCGTGTCGCGAACTATCGTAAAGGTAGTATACGGCAAGTAGAATGTTGGCAACCTTGGAATCGGGGTTCTAGATCACCGGAGCCAGTATCAGTATCAATCGAAAGTCAGGTGGAGGACTGGGGTCTGGGCCCGCTCAGCGGGTGAACTCACCAGTGCCAATGCTCGGTCCCAGGCAACCTTCGCCTGGTCTTTGAAGCCCAACTGCCACAGGCAGCTTCCAATTCCAATGCGGGGGTCCGGGTCAGTTAGCCCGGGCATTTTCATCAGCACCTTCTGGTAGCCTTCCAATGCGTCGGCATATCTGCCCAGCATATACTGGGTTCTCGCACGACCCAGGATTGCCATGACGTTCCGGCCGCCGAAGGCCTTGGACGATTCATCGAAGCATTTGAGCGCCTGTCGCAGGGACTCCACTCTTTCCGAGGTGTCGACGGTGCCAGGGCGAATGGGTCTCGGAGGGTGCAAAGAGGAGCGCAAGAGGGACAGAACACCCCGAGCAAGGAACAGCGGCGGGAAAGCCGGGTTCAGCCGAGAGGCCTCGTTCAGCGTCGACGTCGCGAGTTGGAGATAGTAGTCTTTCGTCTTGGCCTCGGTGTACAGTTCGCCTTCGGAGGCGACCCGGGGAGCTTGACGACTCTTCAACATCAACAGCCAGCATACCCAGCCCAGGAGGCCTAGCTTCTCCTTGGTCGCTCCATGGGCGACCGAGGCCAATCCCTTATTGAGGATGTCGATGGCATGGTCGATTTGTTTCTGTTTGGCATACGCGAGCGCGATGATCACCCAGAAATTCTTCGCGGCCCTCTCGTTCTCCAGGAGTGTACATAGTTCCGTAGGGTCATCCGGAAGCCCTTCCAAGCTCACTTCCACCTCACTGTCGAGGGTCGACGCGGGAATGTCGATGGCGGACGGGATGTCAGAGAAACGCAGGTTAGCCAACGAGTTGGCCGCGAGGGAATCGCCGCCATTCACGCCGTTGGAATAACCATTCTGCAAGGACGCCATAGTGGGCGAATGCGGGAAGATAGATCGGGGAGGAGGGGAGAGTCCCCTTTAGAAGGTCGATGTTGGGGAGAGATAGCAACGGAAGCACGGAAGATGCGAATGAGGTCGGGGAAAACAGGATCGGGAGTAAATCTCAGCTCATCATCATATCACAACACGGAGGGAAATGGGATCAAAGGCCCATGAAAAAAAGAGAGCCTCCGGTCTTGTTGCGAGATTGAAGCCAAAGACAAGCTCTGGAGTTGCGACAATACAAAGTCTGCTTGTCCGTCTGTCATCGGTGAAGTTTGGCGCCTGAGGCCGGTAGCTCGGTAGATGAGGCTGGGGAGACTGCACCGCCACATGTGGCTGGTGTCCTTCCAATGCCCTAACCCAGTTATAGGCTATAGCGATGGAAATGGGCGATTTGGGGGAAATCAATCTAAATTGGTGTAGAGACATCGATCACACGCGCTTTACGTGGTTGAACAGAATAGCAGCGGCCATTGTCCAAAATTTATCCCAACAATACCCGGGACATGCGTGTTGTACAGTGCTTGGAACACCGTGATTCTCAAAGAACTTCTAAGATAGTTGTTACTATAATAATATGCTAGGTTATTTCCCTCGCATGTCCATGACCAAATCATTATCGTATAAGTAAGTGAATCAACGTAAGCGGTCTCGTCTCCAGATATTCACCAATGTCGCTCAATTACTGCCGTACCCCAAGCCCCAGAACTGCAGCCTGCACAGGAGTGCAACGCCGGCCAGCACCCCAAATATCCGCCCGATTTCATGCCAATGGCCGAGGCGCACATGCGCCTCCGCGTAACCGGCAGAAGCGGCCGTCTGTTGCGCCGGAGATACCGCGCTGGCGTCGATTGTCCCGGCTAGCTCGGAGGGGAACCGCCCCGTTTCGAAGAATTCGTCCATCAATTGATCCTTCTCGGTCCATCGAGCTCTTAGCCAGTCATCGAATTCTTGTTGGTCATCGAGAGGGATGTCGGACACGGCAAACCGTCTCCAGTGCATGTTGACAGAGGTCGGAGGCCTTCCCTGCAGATAGGTTGATCGTAGCGTGAAGTACTTATCGGGATAGCTGCCCTTTCTGTTGAACACCAGGGGGAAAGCGGTAAGCGACGAACTGCCTAGGAACATAAGAATGTGGCAAGATTGTAACTTACGGAGGTCCCTCGTAGGCAACAGTGCAGTCATATACCCAATCAACCGTCCCTCTGAGCTGTTGCAGGCAGAAGAAAAGCCCTGTCGACCGTGGGAGAAGCACGTGGCTCAAGGGCGAAAGTCCTTGCTTCTGGCCGTAAGCATCACTGCGACGTTTGGTGTTGATCGACAGGTTGGTCCCTTCGGGGAAGATCAGGAGCCACATAGGGTCATAATCGGGGGAGTCAGATTGGGAGCCCGTATGCCGGGTCTTGAGCTTCTCCAGGCGATGTTGCAGCCTCGGCTTGTCGGAGAGCCATTTGCGCGCCATGAAAATAAATCCGTAGAACATCATGCCCTGCCCGACAATGGGAATGTATTTCAAAGACTCTTTGAGGATAATAAAGATGCGGCCGTGCATCGTGTTCGTATAAGCCACCCACCACAGATAAACCCAGTCGGTATAGACTTGGTGGTTGGCAATCATTACCAGACGCTCCGGGAATTGCGTCTTCAACCGACCGTTTCTGGTCAGATGGATCTGACCGCGCACGCTCTGGTCTCCGCTGACTCGAACGTAAGTCGGACAGCCCCATTGGGTGAGGGCGGTGATCACCAAGCCGAACGATTGCTTGGTAAAGGCCATGTAGCCGTAATAATAGTCTTTATTGATAAGATAGAGCGGCGATCCAACGATCTGGGTCACTACAATCACGACGCAACAACAGTCAAACCACGTTGCCAACAGCAAAGACCGCAGAAGTTGCATTGGAATGCCATGTTTCAGGCGTGGCTCCGTATCGTGGCCATCAGTAGGCGCAGGCTGATCAAGAGAGGGCTCCTGCTTTCTCCGACGAAGTTCCGGCTCATCCATTGTGGCCAAGCGAGCGGTCGACTTGACGAGTGTCGTTCTTCTCTAGGCCTGCGTATCAAGCGGTGGCAGTTCAGGATGGCGGAGATGCAGCTGGTTCAATGCGTTCTATCTGGGGGATAGGAATATCTAATTACGTGAGAGCTGGAAAATAGTTAATTTATGTTAGTGACAAAGGTACTTGGTAGCACCCGATAACTTGCCATGGGGCAGAAGAGGTTTGGTCCAGACCTTCACAAGAATGCAGCAGCGCTGGGGGGTGATCTCTATTAGACGTCGGGAACGGGGATGTTCAGGAGACCGGGGGTCGATCTTAAGGAACCAGAGGTATAAGGTTGAACACGAACCAGGTCACCGCAGGAGGTGGAAATGGACTCATGCCTGACCCAAGGCGCTCGCATGACGTCCTGCCGCTTTTCTCATACGTCAGTCGGCCAAGGCGGTGAGCCTCTTGGTGTCGATCATCTGCGAACTTGCTTTGCTTAATCTACAGTACGACATTTACAGCTGATGTCAAGCTTGAATCTCTTCTCCTAGGGCAGTGAATGCCATTCGATCATCCAGCAATAATCATTCCCTTTCGACCTCTTCGCCCTCGCTCAAGATGCGATCCGCGCATGTTCGAGCGCATCCAATCCGATTTGGATGGCCGATCCCCCGACGGAGCCCGTGGTTGCGAACCTTCACAACGTCTCCGCATCGATATGAGATAAGGGACATTGAATCTCTTTCTCAGCGAGTGATACCCAAATACCAAGGTGTGCGTCGTCGTGGCACTGCCCGCCTCCGCCTGATGGGATCTCACTGACCCCCGCTATCCCATCTCAGAATCTCAAGAGGGAGATCTCCTCTCGCTTCATTGGTCAACACCACCTCGGAACATTTTCGTGGTTAAGAAGGACCGCGCACCGGCGGTAACCGAATCGCTAATCGAATTTGTCAGGTACGAGAGAGGGGGAGGGACAGGCGTTGCGAGATCCGCGGGGGCATCTTTCGCTGACCGTTTTGCGCTTGCGCAGCCATGTGACATCCAGCTATCCGTCAACTGCCGTCATTCTCGAACCAAAGACGGCCGAGGAAGTCCACACGTCACTCCCATGTCCCGTCTACACGGCGCAGTCGGACAAACTACCACCCTCGCTACACAAGAAAGTGGACCTTACGGTTACGCTGGGCGGAGATGGTACGATATTGCATGCCTCGTCGCTGTTTGCCACGTGCCACAACGTGCCGCCCGTACTATCCTTTAGTATGGGGACGTTGGGCTTTTTAAGTGAATGGAAGTTTGTTGAGCATAAGCGCGCCTTTCGCGAAGTCTACATGTCGGGAGCGGGCGTTGGAGATCGAGCGCCCATCCTGGAAGACCGAGACATGACCCCGGCGGCAGTATCGGGGCAAGGCCCGACAGGGTGGTCCTCCGTGCGCGGCAAATCGATGGGCGCAAGCCGTGGTGCTCGCATCCTGATGCGCAATCGGTTGAAAGTGGGTTTGTTCACGGCCGACGGCGCGCCCGTTCAACGCGACGAGGACTCGGTCCCTATGCAGGGCACCTTGGGTAGGGACGGCGTGTACGTGATGAACGAGGTCCTGTTCCATCGCGGAAAGGAGCCGCATCTCGCCGTGGTGGACGTGTACGTCGGCGGGCGCTTTCTCACCGAGGCAGTCGCGGACGGAATCATCATTTCGACGCCCACCGGCAGTACGGCCTACAGCCTGAGTAGCGGCGGCAGCATCGTGCACCCTCTCGTGCCATCGATTCTCTTGACGCCGATCTGCGCGCGGAGCCTCAGTTTCCGACCGTTAGTATTACCATCCAGCACGCCGATCACGCTGCGACTGAGCGAGAAAAACCGGGGGCGCGAGTTAGAGGTGAGCATCGACGGGGTGAACATGGGCCAGGGTATGGCCTTCGGAATGGAAGCTCGGGTCTGGAACGAGGAGATGCGACATGGGAAGAATGAATGGCAGGGTGGCGTGCCTTGCGTGATGCGCAGGATCGTCGGCAGCGAGGCGCATGATGGATGGGTGGGCGGACTGAACGGACTGTTGAAGTTCAATCATCCATTTGGCGAGGAGACATGAACACCTGCCAGTCTGGATCTCTGTATATATATAAATATCTAAGATAATCTCTGTAATCTAGCAAGAATGTGGTGGCAGCATGGCCATCTGCCACATGGCATTCCCACAATGCCGTCACGAAGAACCTCAAAAAAGGACGGGTCGATCCCGAAGATCGTGAAGGGATTATTCGGTGGATCGGAGGTACGAAGGGGGAGAACCTGCGAAGAACAGAAGAAGAGTGTCTCAAATCTCAAATATCAATCAATCAATCATCTATCAATCTGAGCCTGGCTGACCAACTTCTTTCGGCCCCGAGTGGAGTCCTGCTTGGCCCTTAGTGAGTCCGCTCTCTCCATCGGGGACCAGGGTCTTTTCTTAAGGGGGAGAGGAAAGAAGTAAAGAAGTATTCAGTAACTAGAGCGCAGAGAAAGTGCTAGCAGACATACGGAGTAGTCAAATCAGATTGGGACGAGAATTGCATTGCCTCTCGTCGGTCGGGAGTAAAAAAGAGAGAAGAAAGGAAGAGTTGAAAGTTGCCCCTGGTTGGAGACTGGGAATTTAGTGAAACTTCATTTACTTTTTGCTTCTCCCTTCCCTTTTCCTTCCCCCCCTCTTCTTCTTCTTCTCGTTCCCTCTCTCTCTCCCTCTTTTCTCTTTCTCTCCCTCTTTCCCCTGTTCTCTCGTGTCGCATCTTCTCTTCATCTTCATCCTCATCCTCAAATCCCCCGCTATCTCTATCTCCCCTCCATTCTCGTCCTGGTCGGCCACCTTTTGCTTATCCACTTCCCCCACCTCCGTCGAGGCGTGCAGCCCACGCTCCGAGAGCGAGGGTTCGCTCTCCCATTTGACTAGTCTCTGGTAATGCCATTCCCCAATGTTCATGCAGGAAATTGAAATCAATTTGCAACCGAAATCACATTAATTGATTTCGTCCCCCCTGTATCCGGATTTCTTGAAACGTCTCTGGCCCCCTCTCTGCCGGGATTCTGGTCATCTAAGAATATCACAAGGCTGACTGCTCACCCCCCTATTGCAGCTGTGAATTGTTTCGAAGCCAAGGGATCTCACCGATTCCTATCTCGCGAGGCCCGTTGCGTCTCGCTTCTTCTCCTGGCCAATGGCTTCCCATGGCAAGTAAGTAACAGTCTGCCTGATCCTACTCTTCTCCTCTCCTTCTTTCTTTCTTCCTACCTCTGTCTGTTTCCTCGTTATCTTCGCTTTCGTCTCTCGTTTCTGTCCCACCCCGTTCGCGGTCGACCATCGACGAGAAATCCATCGGAACGTCGCGTGTTGACTCGGTCGTAGCATGTATTCTCCTGACCAGTTCATGAACCCCGGACCGGCTCCCCGCCCGCCCGCCGACCGTCCGAAGTTGAATCTCCCGGCTCAGTCGACGGCCGCCTCGTTCGGCCAGATGAGTCTGAACTCCCCGAGCACCCCCGGTTCCGCCAACCTGTCTCTCTTCCCAAATACCAGCTCGCCCGCGCTCTCGCACACCAAGACCAATCAGTCGCTGCAGGGCGGGGTCTCCGTCGTCAAAGAGGGCTATGTTCGCTCCAAAGAGGACAAGTTCCTGGCCACCTGGAACCAGCGCTACCTGATTCTGAGGGAGTTTCGCCTGGACTTTTTGAAGAATGAGACCGGCAAAGTCGTCCTGTCCATCCCGCTCACCACCGTCACCGGCGTCTCGCGCTCGGAAGACACCCGCATGGCCTTCGAGATTGTTCGCCTGGCTAATCCCAAGGATGCTACCTCCAAATCCGCTTTGATCACTCGCGACGTGCCCACCAAGAGTATCACCTGCGAGGTGAAGAGTGACGACGAGATCTACGACTGGATCGATAAGATCTACGAGCGCTGCCCCGGCATGGGAGGCGTCAGCAACCCGACCAATTTCAGCCACCGCGTTCATGTGGGCTTTGATCCCCAGACGGGCGCTTTCGTGGGCTTGCCGCCGGAGTGGGAGAAACTCCTGACGGCATCGGCCATCACCAAGGAGGATTACAAGAAGAATCCGCAAGCCGTCATCGAGGTGCTGGAGTTCTACTCCGACATCAAAATGCGCGAGCAAGACCCTCAGTATTACGGGGGCATGGTTTCTTCGTCGCCCTCGAACCAGTCGAAACCTTACAGCAACAGTTCCGTGGGCAGCTCCATTGCGCCCCCGCGACCACCTCCGCCCGCGCCCTCGCAGCGGCTGGACAGTGGACCCTCGAGTCGCGCTTCTCCCCTCGGGTCCCATGGCAAGCCCGAGTCGGACCGGGCGCTGGAGCAGCAGCAACAGCTAGAGAGAATGAAGGAGATGGCAGATCAGGAGCGCCGCCGCGTGGAGGACGATGCTCGACGGGCTCGCGCACGCGAAGACGAGCAAAACCGACTCGACCAGGAGGCATATAATGCCTCTCTCCCCAAGACCCGTGTTCCGATGGCCAAGCAGGAGCTGGGCGGTTATGGTGGCTCCGAGCAGTCGGTGAATGATCGTTATAAGCCCAGCCGTCCAGCCCCGCAGGCTCCTGGTTCGACCCGGCCGCAAGATCCTGCTCGCCAGCTGACGGCCCAACGTCCCGCACCGCCCCCTCCGACTGCTTCGGGCCAGGGTCATCGACCTGGGGACTACGGAGCCCGGGCCCCCGGCTCTCGATCGGACGAGAGCTCTCCCAGCTCGCGATACCCTGCGCATGATCCGCGGTCTCAGAACCCGGCGGCGCGCGCTCCGGCTCAGGGCCCGCCTCCCACGAAACTGCCGGCCCCTGTGCAGCCCGTGAAGCCTCTGAATATCGCTAACAAGCAGGCGACCAATAAAACAGCCGTGCCCGATGGCGTTCGTCAGGCCGAGGCGGCCTTGACTAAGAAGCCGGAGCCTCGGAAGGAAGTCCGCATGTCGAACATGAGCGAAAATGAGGTGATGGATCGACTTCGCTCGGTGGTGTCCAAGGACAACCCCAACGAGTCCTACAGCAAGCAGCGTAAGATCGGTCAGGGTGCCTCGGGCTCCGTGTACGTTGCGCGGGTCAAGGAGCATGCCGCCTCCCCCGTGGCACGCGAGATGTATCGGCAGTACGGACCCCGGTGTCAAGTGGCTATTAAGCAGATGGATCTGCGCAGTCAACCTCGCAAGGAGTTGATCGTCAACGAGATTATCGTCATGAAGGACAGCCAGCATGCGAATATTGTCAATTTCCTGGATTCCTTTTTGCAGGAGCAGAGCAATGAACTCTGGGTTGTCATGGAATTCATGGAGGGTGGTGCTTTGACGGATGTCATTGACAACAACCCGGTGATTCAGGAAGACCAGATTGCCACGATATGTGCAGAGGTATGTCTCTTCAGCACCCGAATACCCTGATGGAGGACAGAAAAGGGAAGAGGTAAAAAAAGTGCTTGAAGGAAAGCTAACGAACTCGCAATAGACCTGCCAGGGATTGGCTCACCTGCATAGCCAGAACATTATTCATCGTGACATCAAGAGTGACAACGTCCTCTTAGACCGCGCCGGCCATGTGAAGATCAGTAAGCGACTACCTGTCCATCCCCTCTGCCTATATAATACATGATGCTAATCACGACCTTTCTTCCGCAGCCGATTTTGGTTTCTGTGCCAAGCTTACCGAGTCGAAGAGCAAGCGAGCCACGATGGTTGGTACTCCGTACTGGATGGCCCCTGAAGTGGTCAAGCAGAAGGAATACGGACCCAAGGTCGACTGCTGGTCTTTGGGAATCATGGCCATCGAAATGATCGAATCAGAGCCGCCATACCTGAACGAAGAACCGCTGAAAGCCTTGTACCTCATCGCGACCAACGGTACCCCTCGCTTGAAGAAGCCCGAAAAGTTGAGCAAGGAGCTCAAATCCTTCCTGAGTGTCTGTCTCTGTGTTGATGTCCGCAGCCGTGCGACGGCCGACGAATTATTGGCCCATGAGTTCTTGAAGTCGGGTTGCAGCCTTGCTAGCCTGGCCGAATTGCTCCGCTGGAAGAAGAACAGTCAGTAAACGGGCGGCCTCCAGGTATTCGAGCCGACCCTCTCTTCTTAATCGATATTTATCTCCCTTCCCTATCACGATCTAGCACCAATCTTGTCTCACGCACATATGGGTCTCATATACGCGCATCCGGATGATTTTATTCCCTTACGACCTGCATTGCAATCCCATTCTTCTTGTGTGATATCCAACTTACAAAGCTGTGTTCTTTCTGCACACTTGGCATGGATAATTCGGCGTTCATCTTGGTTGTTCTATTCCCCGTTGGTCTCTTCCTTTTCTATATCGTGAATAATCTATTCTATCGTCCTCCTTGCACCAGTCTTGTTTGAGCCAACATCTATTGTCCCCTTCTCTTCACGCCCCCACTCCTCTTCTCTTCACGGTGACGAAGCGAGATGAGTCTTATGTGTGATGTTGGTGTCTATCGCAGTGGTCCCTTGCGCAACACGCATCAGTCTGAACACCCGACGAGGCCTCTTAGAAACGAAAAGAAGGAAGGAAAGAAAGAAAAATAGAGTACGGGATGATGAGTCAGGGAGCATAAAAATAAAAACCGACGAACGGGCTTTGATGTGCGGAGATCCGAGCAGGCTGGAAATGCTTTGAATGCGAATCTCACACCGAGCAGTCAGTCCATAATCATAATCACATTGCAAAGGCCCCCGCGAGTATGTGGCCATTTGACACAGGCACAACTGTTGCGTGTTTTTTCTTTTCTTTTACCTTTTATTTGGGTTGTCGTTGAACAAATAAAAATTTCTTGTTGACCTGGCATGAAGGAAGCTGGGAGACTTCTTTTTCTTCTTCGTTTATTTTTTTTCGATTTTCGATACTTTTTTTTTTTTAACGTTGATACAGGCCAGTCTGATTTTTCAAGTATAACGTACAATTCGTAGATAATTCGTGATTTTGACACTCATGCATCTATTTCTTCTTCTTGTTGCCTCTCGCTCCTGGCCATACAACCGTAAGTCATCGATTCTTCCAATGATTCAGCACAAAAAAGAAAAGAAATTCCAACATAGAAAGGACAAGAAGTTACATAAAAAAGGGGAGAACGTAATAAAAAGTAATATGACGAGTTGGGGGGAAATACAAAATGGAAAAACCGTTCAGAGTTCAGATGGTGGGTTTGGGCTTGGACTTGGGCTTTCCGTTTGATCGAAAAGGACGCTGCGAAGAAGTGTCTCAGCATCGTCGTCGTCGGAAGTCCAGTGTCCGGATTCTGTCAGCCGTTGTGTCCAGAGAGTTCGGTCTTGCTCGCTGAGACCATCCCAACGAAGGAGGTTTTCGGTCTCTTGGGATATCGAGACCGAGTCAACTAGAGGCTCGTTGCGCTCGGAATCCCAGGACACACGAACAGTCTGACTCTGGCTGTAATCCTCGCCGACAATAGGGGAGTTGTCGCGAACTAAGTCACGGAGTGTTAACGTGGGCGAATCGGTCACGATGGTAGGAAGGGCTGACGAGGTGAGAGATGATTGCTGGAGTGGATGAGGTGGCGGAGCGTAGTACGGCCGAGCAATGGAGTCGCGGATATTGAGCGGAAGCCATTCGGTGGCGCCCAGGTAAGGGGGCATGACTCCACGGATTTCCGTAAAAGCCTGGAGAAGGAAGCAGACGGCCAGGATAGAAAAGATGGCGGCGAGACTGCTGGAGATACTGGTCCAGGCATCCAAGTCATACGGCGGCACGAGAACGTACCGTGGGTTGCGACTGGAAGGCGGCGATGGTGCCAAGGGGAGGGTGTGCACCACGACGGTGTTTCCCAGACTGAGGGAAGCGAGCTTGATGTACTGGGGAGGAGTCTCGGGGCTTACGGGCTGCGGAGGAGAGGTGAACGGCGAGAAGCAGACTTTGGTGAGGGAAAAGGGATGCACCTCGTAGAGGCTGGTATACGAACGGCATTTGCCGTGGGTGCCTTGTAGAGGATTCGACTCGAACGTCAATATCTCGATCGACTGATCGCTTCCGGCAACAGCGATGGCTGTTTGCTGCTGTGCATCGGAATTTGGACTCAGCAAGCAAACGTCCAGACCAAGCCCGATCTTCATCGCTTTGCGAAGCTTCTTGCGGCGGACGATCGATCCGGAGGGTTTCTTTGATGCAGGTTGGTGCAGATCAAGCAGGATGAGCTCGCAACCGCGGCGGTCTGGCGCATTTTGAAGTAACAGTAGCGTGGTCGACGAGATGAAGCGCAGCGCGCGGAACTTAGGCCTGGTTCTCGGGCCTTTCTCGGGTACTGGAGTCGTGTATACGCAGCTCACATCTGGCGAGCCGTTGGACCTCTTGTCCGACGAGATCTGGCAGGTAAACACATCGACGCCGTTGGTATAGGCGACCCGGAACTTCCCCTTGGCCTCCAGCCCCGTAATATCCACATCCTCAGCCTCCTCATCAGTACCCAGGCGGATTCTCCCAATGACATCAGAAGCCCCCGGGGTTGTGGTAGTGGCATCGAAGAAGACAATTTCGCCCGATGGAGCCAGTCCGGTGGCAATGGCACCCACGCGCGGGGATTCAGCGCCTTTCCAGGGTGACAGGCGGGTTATTCGCTGGTAGGTACCCGTGCTACCGGATTTGGTTCTGAAAAGGGACACGCGGGACAATGCCGTAGTCTTACCCGGAGACGAGGACTGGGTTTTCGATTTGGTCTCATTTTCGAGATTGCCGCTTTCGTTTGCGCCGGCCGAGGTTGATTGTTGCCGCGGGGGATAATCGATCTGGAAGGACCTCAGGTGCTGATTGTTGTCCCGTTTCTGCTCCGCCATGGAACTGTTGATCCCGGCCAAAGCAATAATGGAGTCATCGCTAGCGCGCGCCGCGGCCAGCGAGGTCACGGAGTCTTCCTCACGCGACAGTTCGATGTCGACCACCTCCGAGATCTCTTGACGTTTGGAAGTGTTTAACAGGGTCTGTTGCGTCGGGACAGAGAGGTTAGCGCACAACTCTCATTCATTCGATAGCATGGGAATGGCCGTCATTAGAGGTACTTGCGATTTTGTTTCCCACTCCCGTACGACTTTCACCTCCTCCGCCGGCAACCAGAAGGAAGCCGGGGTTGCGCGGGTCGAAGTCAGCAGCGAAGAGGGGGCAGGATAGGGTCAATTTGGCCGAGGGAACGGAGGGAGCCATGGTGAAGCGCCGGTCGAAGCCGTCCAGTCAGCGAACGGGACGAGAAGAAGCGACAGGTCGCGGTCGACGGAGTCTTTAAGGAGCGTAAGGAGCGTGAGCAAGGAAGAAAGGGAGGGAAAGAAGGAAAGAGACCAACTGGCGAAAGATGCGCGGCGGGATTCTCTTGGCATGTGATCTACGGAGGGCCATTTTCGGGATGATTAATGTTTGCTTCGTTTGCTTCGGATTTCACTTCGTTCTAGTACTTCGTCTTTTGATCTACACATCTCTTGGCATCTATTCAAGCTCCTGCCCGGTAAATTCAGGCAGACGTTTGCGGATATCCTCCCATGTCTCATCGCCCTCCACCATCGCCTTGAGGGCCTGGACGATCTCGTCCTCGCTAGCGCGCACCTGCTTCGTCGTGTCCCGATCCCGGAGCGTGAAGCTCTTGTCCTGGATAGACTGGAAGTCGACAGTAATACCAAACGGCGTACCCAGCTCGTCGTTGCGGGCGTATCGCTTTCCGATGCTAGCCCCAGAGTCATCCACGCGACTGGAGATGCCAGCGCGTCGCAGCCTGGTAATCAGGTGCTGCGTCAGAGGGCGGAAGGTGGCAAGGTTCGAGAGGGGAACGATGAGGACCTTGATCGGTGCGATGATCGGGGGGAAGGAAAGAACCTATACGTCAAAGGTTAGTGGGACGTACTAATAAGAGGGGGGATATTTGGGGAATAGGGTGTACGTACACCGCGCGCCTCGTCGCCCTCCCGATACCAGTAAGCATGCTCAATCATGCTGTAGAAGATACGGCCGATACCAAAGGACGGCTCGATCACGTTCGGGGTAAATTCACGGACGTGATCGAATCGGGTTCGCTTCTCAATAGTAACCAAGTTCTTGTCCAGCTCGACCTTGCCAGAGCCAACTCCCGCCACGTCCACCTCGATTTTGCCCTCTTTCTCCAGATCCAGAGACAGCTTCTCGCGCAGTTCATCAGAAAGGGCGTCCAGGGCGGCGGTCACAGCCTTACCGTCCTTCTTGAAGCGGGGGCCAAACGTCTTTTGGTTCGTCTCAACCTGCCACTCCTCGACCTTGATGGGCTCCGCGCGAGGCTCCCGGACCACCAATTGGGCTCCGGTTTTGTTCTTGTGCACCGTGAGGTCGTAAGCACTGCGATCAGCACAGCCGACACACTCAACCCAACCGTAGCTGGTCAGCATCTCGGCATCCCAGCAATCGGCCGCATAGTGAGCCATTTCGTTAGCCATGTGCTGACGGAACCGGAGCTTGGTCGGGTCGATTCCAAGCTTGATCAGGAACTGGTGAATGCGAGCGATGAAGTATCCGAGGGTCTCGTTGTCCACCAAGCCGGTCTCAACGGCCTTGCCGATGGTGATCGTTTCGGTCTGGGTGCTGCCCGAAAGCTGCACGGTGCGGTTGAGGAAGGCCATTTCGACGTCCTTGATTTCCTCGAAACGAGCATGCTTCTTACCACCCTCGGGGTCAACGTAGTGCTCGATCTCAGCCATGAGGAACTCTCGGACTCGCAGAAGACTGGAGCGGGGCGAGATCTCGTTCCGGAACGACTTGCCGATGGAGGCCGACGCGAAGGGCATACCCTGTTGGTTGAAATTTAACAGCTTGTGGAAATTCAAAAACTGGCCCTGAGCGGTTTCGGGGCGCAGGTAGCCGGGCATGTTGCTGCTAGGGCCGATCGAAGTCTGGAACATCAGGTTGAAGGCGACGGGGGGGAGGAGGTTGCCGCCGGTGGAGGGGTTGCGGATATCGTACTTGACGATGATCTTTTCCAGCTCAGGCCCGTCGAAGTTGTCGATCTGAGCGAGGGTCTCCTCGTACTCCTTGACGACCGCATCGTCTAGCTTGACGGCCTTCGACTTGGTCTTCCTCTTCTTCTTCGCTTCCTTCGCCTCGTCGACGACGACCTCCTGGCCACGCGCCTCCAAGTCGCCCTTCAGACGGGACTCGAGCACCTCCTCCACCAAATGATCGGCGCGGAAGATCTCACCAGTCTTGGGATCCTTGCACATCCAGTCGGCAAATTTTTCAACGTGGCCGCTGGTCTTCAGGATCTCTTCCGGGGTGAGCATGGTGCAGTCGACCTCCAGCATATCCTCCTCCAGCACGAAGTGTTTCCGCCACAGATCGATGATGTTGTTCACGAGCGAACATCCGGGGGGGCCATAGTCGTAGAGACCTGAAACACCGCCATAAATTTCGAAGGCGGGGGTGTAGAACATTCGGCGACGGAGCATTGCGTCCAGGTTCGAGCGGTCAACGACCTGACCGGTCTTGGTGGTAACGGTCGCCATGTCGTCGTAGGTCTCACGGAACCGTCTCGATTTGAGGGTCTGGATAATGGAGGCGGAGGTGCAGTGAAGGTATTTTCTGATGGCGGGGTTCTTCCGGGCAGGAGGAAAAGACACTCGGCGGGGAAGAAAGAAGAGACGAGCGACCGCCGGATGAGTCATCGAGATCCACGTGACGGGATCTTTGTTGATCGAGTCGAGGTCAACTTGTTTTTTAACGAGCGTTGGGCAGTCGTTCGGAGGACAATCACGAGAAGAAGGGGGGATAGAGGGAGCGCCGATAATGGGAAAGCATTGAGGTCTTTTCTTCTCTCCACACACCTCGTCCTATCTTCCTCGGGTCCTTATTAATTCTTATTTTATCTGGGTTTCAGCTCGGGAGTATCAGTCGAAGAATGCCGACCGCAACCGCTGCGAAAGGACTTGTCGCCGGCAGAATCTCGCTCTGACCGCCGGCTATACCTTTTTTCCGCCTTCCTTCCCGCCAAAGAAAAAGAAAAAGAATTGTCAAGAAAAGCTACAGGTCAACCGCCATCTCCCCAGCCTGCGCTTTCGTCTCCCCCCCCCCCTCCACGATGGTCTCCAAAAAATCACTCCACAGACCTCCTCCGGGAGCCATGTCAGATGAGAAACCGGGCAACAAAATGCGGCGTCAAGCCCTACACATCAAGAGAAAGCGTGACAAGGACTCGGCTCGTCGGGAAGAACGTTATGCATTCAAGAAGGAGGAGGCTAAGAATCCTAGACTCAAGGAGGAACGTCTCAAGCGCAACATCCCCTTGACCCTGGAGCGAAAGCGAGTGTGGGACAACCCGGACAGCGACGCCGAAGATGGACTGGGTCTGAGCGTCGACGTCGAGCGCATCAAGCGACAGAAGCAGGAGGAGGAAGACGAACTCAATCGGCCTTTGGATCCTTCCGAACAGCAGTCGGAGGGATCGCAAAATGATAGCGATGATTTAGACAGCATGTTGGCCAGCAGCGACGACGAGAAGGACGACGACGATGACGATGACGACGGCGACAAACCCGAACGAGGACGGTCGAAATCCTCCGTTCCTTCGGCCACTGCACGTGCGACGAGTCCGAGCCAGTCGACCAAGAGCACCAACATGAACCTGGCCCCCGAGGCTCTGGCGGCCAAATTCCCGTCGCTTTTCTCTGAAGAAACCCCGAAAACGCCCAAGATCCTCATCACAACCTCCATCAATTCGATCCTACACGACGAGGCCGAGATTCTGACCTCCTTATTCCCCAACAGCGTATACATCCGCCGCACTGCGCACCGCTACGCGCACAAGTTCTCCATCCGCGACATCGCCAAGTTTGCTACGAACCGGGAATATACCGCCCTCGTCATTCTCAACGAGGACCAAAAGCGGCCGGCGGGTCTGGATATCATCCACTTGCCCAAGGGCCCGATGTTCCACTTCAGCATTAGCAACTGGATCACGGGCAAAAAGCTCCCCGGACACGGTAACCCCACGGAACACTGGCCGGAGCTCATCCTCAACAATTTCCGCACTCCGCTGGGTCTCCTCACGGCGCATCTCTTCCGCAGCCTCTTCCCGCCGCAACCCGATGTCGAAGGACGCCAGGTCGTCACCCTCCACAACCAGCGCGATTACATCTTCGTGAGACGGCATCGGTATGTGTTCCGCGAGAAGCGTGAGACGGAGAAGAGCGTGGTCGGGGCGGACGGAAAGGAGATGAAGGGCGCGGAAGGACTACGAACGGGGCTGCAATCGCTGGGCCCCAACTTTACCCTCAAACTGCGACGAGTAGACAAGGGAATCCAGCGGGCCAGTGGACAGGAGTGGGAATGGAAGGGAGGAATGGAGAAACAGAGAACGAAGTTTCAACTGTGAATATACCTTTCATTGTATATTTGGATTTTTCTTTTTCTTGGGGCCGGAGTTTCAGCAATTAAAAAAATGGGATCGGTGGTTTCTTGTTCTTATTTTTCTACATCCTGTGTTTATAAATTATACCTACTGGAATGATTAGGGGATTTAGAAATTAGACATTTTATGAACTTTTTTTTCTTTACAAGTCAAGGCTGTTAAAATTAGGATAGAAGGAAACTAAAGTAATTCCATCGGAATGCATTTATTGTCCCCACGGCCGAGCGACGATCTCCCGCCGCGGTAGAAAAAAAAAGTATTGACTTAAACCCTCTACCAACCCTGACTCAAGTATTGCTCATCTACACCACCAACCAACACAACACATTAATCTCATCCTACACAACCTCCCTCCCCCCCGCCTCCTCTTTCCGATTTTCAAATGGCCCAACCCACCCTATCAACAACAGCAACAATATCCACCCTCAAAACCCCCTCCCGATTCCTCTTCATCGCCTCAATCGGCAACCCCCGCCCATATCTCAAAACGCGCCACAGCGCCGGCCACGTTCTCCTCGATGCCCTCACGCCGCTCCTCCCCGGCCGATTCCCCCTCGTGTCAGGGAACCCGCACGTCGCGACGGGTCCTGTCTTCCATCAGACCTGGCACAGCTCGTCGTATATGAATGAGTCCGGGCCGAAGCTTGTTCGTCAGCTGAGTAAGTGGATGACTGCGACGCAGACGGACGTGTTGGAAAGGGTGGTGCGGTCGGGACAGATGGTGGTGTTGGACGGGGGCGTGGACGCAGAGGCTGAGCTGCTCGCGCAAGCGCACGCAGGACAAAATCAAAGACCAGGACAGAAAAGACAAGCACAAAGACAAGGACCGGAATGGTATCATCGCGGCGTGGACCCGTTCTCACTGACACGGGTCCATCCCACGTTAGTGATCCTGCACGACGAGCTGGAGGCGCCTTTGGGAAAAGTCACGGTGCGACGGGGCGGGCCCGAGACGGCGAGTCTGCGCGGCCATCGCGGACTGATCAGTGTCATGGAGAGTCTGCGCGGGAAGGGCCTCTATCCGCCGCGGAGGGCCGGCAATAATAATGGGATCGCGGGCGATCTGGCGGTCTTGCGGGTCGGCGTGGGCATCGGGCGCCCGGAGGCGCGCAATCGAGGCGATGTTGCGAAGTTTGTGCTCACGGAGATGGATTCCGCGGAGATGTCAGCGGTTGAGGCGGCCGCGAGGCCGGTGTTGGATATTTTGGCGGATGAGATGTATCGGGGAGAATAGGTGCAGTTGGGGTTGGGGATAGTACTGCGCCTGTGAAGAGGACAGGAGAGGAGAGGCAAGATACATCCGTGAGATATGTACATTTGTATTAATAGATATAGATATAAACTCGAATAGTAGACAGATATGATACCCTTCAATCAATACAACATACAATACCTACTAGAGTTGGATCGGGCACCGTTCTCTGACACTCATAACTAGGTAGGATCATTGTTCATTCCAATATCGGACACTGTCCTTGTACAGCATTGAGAGAGGCCGTAAGTAAAACCCAAATCAACGAGCAATAACTCCTCGAACTCGCCCTCGAAAGACGCGACAGATTATAGGAATCACCCGGAGAGAGAAAAATAATAATAAAGAAGAGAAACCAGAAAAGCAAATCACCGCCGTAGCAGACATGAAGCGCACGTAAAGCATAATTCAACCAAAAAATATTAGACAGTTCCCGCTATACTCAAGTCCCGAATCTCCTGCAAGACCTCTTCCACCCGATTATCCAGATCGCCCCGAGCGTATTGATCTCTCGTTTCCGCGTCAAGGTACTGTTGGACCTGCGCCATGCGAGAATATGCTTCGGCGCAGAATCGCAATTGGATCTTGACGAGGGCCTCGAAACTGGGGTCCAGGTAGGGCACGCGGAGGTCGATGAGTTGCGGGAGTTCGGTGAAGAGTTGTTCGTTCAGCTGCTCGTAGGCCTGTTTGGCGAGTTCCGCCTCGCGCTCGGTTCGCGGCAGCTTGGTGGCGTCCTTGTCGGGCTTCTCGACGAGCTTCTTGACCTTGGCGCGCATGGCATCGTAATCGAGGAGCTTGTGGTTGCGTTTCTTGATACATTCGTTGATATCCGGGAAGTAGGCGCAGAAACGGGAGATCGGCTCGAGAACGGTGGTTCTAGCGTTGGTTTTGAGGCGTCAGTATGCCACCGGGTTTCTCATAGGAAACTCGACTATACAGACCTGTACGGACCATCCAAGGCCTTGATCGTTTCGGCATCAAGATCCTCCACAGCCTGCTTGTAACTCCGACTGACGCCGTCCCGCGTACCAGCATCGCCATAGAATGCATCTATCGTCTCAGCAATGCGCATCTGTGAGGCTGTCATGGCTAAACAAGCACCAAGGCATCAGCATAACATCCACACCGACCCCAACCCAAATCAGATCGGATACACACCTCGTAGCGAGTCGAGATAGCCCTTGGCTTCCTTCTGTAGTCGATTGGCAGCCGCCTCCATTGTCCGGTACCGTCTGTTATGCAATCCCAATCAGTACCCCGGTCGATCGGTCGGTTCCTTGCCCCTCTTCTGCGCCCCTTATCGGATCACCAGCCCTCCGCGGAAAGCATACCGTTCTTCGATCTCATAGTCACGATCGTTCGTCCTCTCCACATGCCCTAGACAATTCCAGCCACCGATTAGCAACCCATCAACGGATTGGATATCTCAATGCGAGGTAGGAGGGAAAAGCAGACATACCCGTCTTCATCATCACCTGGGTGGTGGCGCGATTCACATTTTTCTTGAACCCTACAGGACGGGAATGACCGGTTAGTATCAACTCGGACACAGATGATCTCGCCGAAACGAGACGGGAGATGGAGGTCTGGTTTCTCGCGCACCTGCCCAAGACATGACGGCGGGATGGAAGCAAGTCGATCGGAGGTATGGATACTGCGAGAAAGGGAAAGAGAAAGCCAATAAGATAGGCCAGATAGAGATCCGCCGCGTAAAGCAACGATTGCGGAGGAGACGGGATGACAGCAATGAGCGTGATGGAAGAAAGAATCGAAGCGGGGGGGATGTTCGTCACAGGGCTGAATGACTTGAATGAATCGGATTTCACGATGCCCAATCCATCGTGGCGGTGCAGTGCAGGCTGTGCTCTGACCTTACCATATATACATACATACATACATACATCGATACATACAGGGTACCGTCGGGAATCACGCTCCGGCTGGAAGAAACCGATCTTACGTCATGTGCCGAAACGCTGCGGCCTTCCGTTCAGCGTAAAAAAAGTGAAGAAGTGATGTCAAGCGTAGAAGATCCAATGCAGGTTTATCCGATGGACTCGCTGTCTCCATCTGAACTACCGCCTAGTGTCCAGGCCCTGATGTCATGGTCGAGTCCATATCGACCTTTCGAAACTGGGATGATGTTTAATCTCCCACGCCCTGCCACATACTATCTAGTTACGTACAGAGTAGGGCATATTGGAAAATGGAGGCACAGGCCGTATGCGGCGGACCTGAGGTACGGTAATATCGGTACGGAGTACCTGTAATAGGTATACAGTACCTCTCGACGGGTGCATGTACTGTATGTATCAAATACATCGTCCCGGCCCAGGTACCTAGGTATAGTGTGTTACATACATACACATACACACACACATCCATATACCCAGGAAGTGCAAAGAATGGAATGCAGCGAGTTCTGCATCTCAACTGCTCAACCACACCGAACCTGCATGGGCTGCATGAGCTGGATGTTTGGCCACAGTCTAGAGCCACCACCGGCTGCGGTTGACCTGGAAATCCCGGAATTCCGCAGGGCGAGTCAAATGATGCTGCCTGTCAGACTTCCTGCACGGTTTTCCACCGATAGGGCAGACAGTGCCAAGAGATTCCAGCCATTAGACGCAAGGTAGAACCACTGTGCCAAGACCACCTGGATTGTTGATTCAATCCCTCGCAATGCACCGTGCTTGCCAGAGCTGCCAAGCAAGCTTGAACGAGGTCAAGGGGGGAGGGAGGGTGTGCCAGAGGATCACCGAGGAGTGAGGGAACACAATGGCTGCTACGAGTATCTCCAAGCATGCCCCAAGTGACTTACTTGCCAAGAGGCGTGTGTTGCGTTGTACGGTGGCTACATACATATACGGAGTACTCCGTACATTCGACTGTGGGCAGATGGTCAAAGACCGGTGCTGTCCTGGCGGGATTGATAGGCATTTGCCGTTGTTGAGACAGGCATGCCGCTAGGACATGCATCCTGGTGCTGCATGCCTAGTGCATTCATTAGAGTCTGGGCACGCCTCTTAGTCTCGCTGCGACGGGATGTTCAGTTGAAGCTGTCCCTTCACAGTTATTCTGTTTGTTACCCCTTCGCTGCTAATAAACAAGATTAGCCAATTCCTGAGTTAGTTGGGATGGACTGTAGAATCTACACCTGCCCATCACACTGAGACCGATCAATCTCCTGGTATTGCATCTTCATTTTCAGCCTAGAAAGCTATTAACAAAGACAAGACATCATGACTGCAACTATCCAATCATCACCACCCCTGGACCGTGCAAGGGCGTTTTCCCCCTCACATGCATCAAGTGAATGAATGGTTCATCGGCATCGGGTCATCCAACGTTGCTTGGAAACAGAAACAAGGGTATCTCCAATGGTAAGCCAACCCACAATTTAATCAGTACACCGCGCTAAAGAGAGAAGACAAATGAAATGCACACGCCGGAGATAAGAAGCCTGCCAAAACCCCTCGGAAAGATAGAAAAAGAAAGAATAGTCTGTACGTTGTCTGAACTCTCCCAAAAGCTTGAAGCAATTTAGGTCAGCCAGATCATCAACAGTTTAAACGATAGTAAATCAGTGTGACGTGAGAAGGAAATCCAGTAGATAAACCATGAATAAAAAGTTAGTATCGTCAAAGAAAAAGGGAAAGAATGAAATGCAAATAGCTCAAGGTCATGACTCTTCGTTGCATTGGCATGAAAACATGACGGTCAAAAATGAAAACTAAACCCGTAAAGCTAAGGTGAGCAGAAACAAGAATAAGGAAAGACAGAAAGATGCGCCCGCATAAAAGATAAGATAGAAAAGATATATCAAAATAAGCCTCCTTCTATAGAACAGTCACAGAAGGAGTAGACCTCCCTGCAAAAGGGAGAAAAGTGCACATAGAAACCACCCAGTTTTGTCACAAACGAGGGCAAATCACAAACAGATCACCAAAGGGTAATACATAGACCGACCGAAGTCAGATCAGCCCTTCCGAGGCCATGCGATCCCCCCCCTCTTCCACCTCTTGAACGAGTCTATTGGACGCATGCTCGCCCCCAAAATACAGTCTCGTTTCAGATGGAAGGAAAAGACGGCCAGAGCCCTTAAAACCCTTCCTCGCCAGCCTTACACAAATGGATCTCACGAAGCCATTCAGACTTAAGAACCTGCGAGGCATTAATGCGGCGAGACGGGTTCGGGTCCAGAATTGAATAGATCACATTACGACAGCGAGCCTGTCAATCTGTTAGTTTCAACTTTCGATCGCGACGATCTCAAGGCAGTTCTTACCCGATGGAGAGTCTCAATCGGCGCATAGCCGTCCTCATGTTTCCGGCCCTCGAGATAGCGTTGATAGAACTCATCTTCATCCTTACGAGCAAGTCTCCAGAGATGTCGGCCCGTTCTCATGGCCATGTAGATGACACCAGTCGCCCACAAGTCGACTGCTCGGGGATCAAATTCCCTTTCCACGTATTCTTCCGGGGCAATGTAAGGAGCCGAGCCGCACAGACCCGCCGTCATGTGCGCCTCTTTCTCCCAAGCCATGCGGAAACACTCGCCATTACCAAAGTCTGTAATCTTGAGGGCACCGTGGGTAGTGAGGAGAAGGTTTTCGGGTTTGAGATCACGGTGGGCCACGCCCATCTCGTGCATGTATTCCACACCACGCATCAATTGTTTGAAGAAGCAGTCGGCTTCGGCAACCTCTAATTTGCCGGCAGCCAAGACCAAGGTGTAAAGATCACCACCGGCACAGTACTCCATAACCTCGCAATAGTCGCCTTTAGCATCCTGGAGGAGGTCCAAAGTGTGGATGACGTTCGGATGACGGAGGGAAGACGAGATACAGAATTCCGAGGTCAATCGCTTCTGATATTTCTTGGCGGTTTCTTGAGGGCGGCGACGAAATTCTTTGACGGCGTAGAGTTGTTCCATCTTGGAATCTTTGGGATCCACCTTGTGAGATATTCTCACGATACCG